AGAAAGTGCCTTTAGAAGATAGACAGTTCTCTCTCTCTCTCTCTCTCTCTACCGGCATGCTTTTCATCATTATTCAAATGAATCAATCTTCCAATGAGTGCATCTTCACAAGTAAGATTAATTTGGTGCTTTATGCCATTAAAATAAGACTTATTTTCTTTCATTTCTTTCAAACATGATAATGTTATGTTAATATTGTGTCATGAACTTGGATTGGAACATTGATTTTGTCTTTGGGATATCCTTAAAGCTATGATTATAGAGTTGATCTCTCAACATAGTGATAATTAAGTAAAATTCTCCTGTGTAAGTATAAATGTTAATTAATTCAATCAGTGAAATCAACTTATGGGTTTTAAAGTTTTGAATTCAATATATTTTTATTAGCTTGTCATACTTTTTATAAGCTCTCATTATGATTCGCGACATTGTCTTAATCTAAGAATAGAATAGCATCTCGTCCTTAAACTTTGCCCTACTAAAAAAAGTAATAATATTGTATCATAAAATGAAAAGATATAAACTTTATGAAATGACTCATTATTCACAATAGAGAATTAGGGGAAGGAAAAAGGCATTTCCTTTTCCACTATGAAAAGTGTTATATTTATAAAAAGAAACAAAAGCAATAGACTGTTCGAAAAAAATTTCATCTTTTTGTGATTAATTAAAGCATTAAATTTTAATTTGTGCTAATTGACGGTTTAAGTTTAATAATATACTATCTCAGTAGTTTTAAAAACATATCTGCTTCCAATTTACAAAATTATTTTGATACATCAAGTTCATTATTTTTGTCATTCAACATTTTTTATAGACAAAGAAGCTTTTTTGATAAAGCTAAATACTCAATTAGCATTAGTCATAACATATTCCTTAAATTAGCTTTTGTTAATATGACACATTCCCAATGCACTGGTAGTTCACACAATAACATATGGTAACTAGCTTGAACACCTACACAACATTGGCTAGAATGACTTGTGCAACCTACTAATAATGACTTCAGCTGCACACTAGCTTGACGCAATCATGCTTGTCCTATATTTTAGAATAGATTGACATTCTGGTACCTTCCTCTTTCTCAAGAATCTTAAAAAGATAAAAAAAAGATAAAAGAAAATTAGAACACTATGGATATGTGGTTTACAAATTAACAATTGAAATTCCATGTTCTGAATGGGCAGATAAATGAAGTTAGTGAATCAATCCACTTTATAAGGATATACCAACTTTCTCCTCTGAATTTGCATTGATTAGTACCATTCATTGAAATCCTTTGGTCCACACACCCTACCAAAAGTTGGAATATTTTCTGGTTCAGTTTTTTGAGAGAGCTGCTTGCCAATGCAAGAGAAACTTTTTATTTCTTTGGATAAGAAGAAATTTTATAAAAAATTAACAATTTTTAAAAAATAAACTTACAATTTTTTCTTTTTTAATTTATCAATTCAATTTTTTTTTCTTTTCCCTTATTTTTTTCCTTTAAGACAGATGTTGACAATTTAAAGGGCACCACTTTTATGAAACCAACCAAAAGAAATAAAGAGAGAATATAATCATCTTTTAGCACCAAACTTTTCCAAATTTGTACTTATATGTAATATATTTTTATTTATCTATATATTCGATTATTGTCGCTAAAATTGTGGCCTGCATTGTTCTGAGATTTGACAAGGTGTATCATTTTGGGGCAAAGGAAGCATTACAATGAGTGCCATACATTAAAGTATTTTAGAATATACCCAACATTGAGGTTCCCCAATTTTATAAAAAAGAAAATAAAAATTATGTACTGTGAACACATAACACATAGGCCCAGACATTTGTATTTGGCTTTGCATTTTGGTCTTTGATATGATCAATGTACGTGCTACCTAAGCTTTCTTTCAACAAATTTTCATATATTTTAATATTTCGAATGAGTTGGCAAAAAGCACTGTCTTTACAGGAAGATTATTTGTTGTTGCCAAAATAGTGATTAAAGATTTTGTTAAATTAAAAATTGATTTAACAGCTACTTTCTTTTAATATATAGTTTGTTTCATTTTCAAATCAAAACCACTGGCGTAGTTGTAATAGTAATTGTTGAATACAGCAAGTCAAAGTGATGTCAAAATTACCAAACCCCTTACACCCAACACATAATGTCACCCATAACGTCATCTGAATAAGGTTTTTTCTTTATTTTATTAATTGAAGTTTTCAAAATTGAATTTAAATATTTAAAAATAATATTCTTTATTTTAAACATATTTATTATATTAAAAATATTTTGAATACTTAAATCTAATTCTAAAAATTAACAAAAATATTTTTTTTTCCATTTTCTTTTCATAGGAGAGTGGCAGATCGAGAAACCTCCACATTTGGATGTATAAGCATTTAACAGATCGACTAGTAATGATTGGCAGAAGGTTTGAAATCTATTATTACTATGTAATTAGTGGAAGACTGGAAGATACGATACAAACAGAGAGAAAATGAAAACATCATTTTATTCAACACCAAACGATGGTGATTAAGATTCTTTACAATGTTTAAAAGGGTTATTAAATATTTTAAAACATACTTGTCCTTTTTTTATTTTGTTGATACTTTTCTTTTTCTTTTTTTATCTAAATTATATGTATTTTTTTTTTATTAAAACAGTTATTGTTTAAACCAGAAATATCTATATCATCATAAAACTTATTTTTGCAGCAAATTTTTTTTTTCAATACATAATATTCAAGCTCAAGGCATTATTAAAGGACGATCAAATATGTATGTGTGTGTGTCATTTGAATCAACCAACCAACCAACCACCACCCATTGATTATTGATATTTTTCTATTGTTATTAAATGAAAAAATTAAGAAGAGTATAGCTAAATAATGTTTATAATTTTTAATTAAAGAAAAGTATAAAATACAATCACTCTTTTTAAAAAAATTGATATAAAAAAACTTTTCTTCTCACTTTATTATTATTTCCCTTACACTTAAATAAGATTTTTTTATATATAAAGAAATGTATAAGGTGTTTCAGGAATAACCTGAATTTTACATTACATAGTCATTGGATATGATTATGTACAATTTTTAAAAATTATTTAAATAGTTTATTTATTTATCATACTCAATAAAGATCAATAAATCATAAATGGTTTAAAATTCAGGCAAATTACTTTATAAAAATCAATCCTTTTTATAGCACAGTAAACTGAAGCAATTGAAAGTATCAAACTAAGTGGACTCAAATGGATCTAGTCCATATGAAGGCTATTTTAAGATTACAAAATTAATCCAACATTGACAATATTTTGTTAGTATTACATATGTAATAATTAATCAATAATTGTGATAATAGATATGCAGGTGGTTTTTGTTTATTCTAATGTTTATAATATTAAAAAAATATGTAATTGAATTAGGACTAATAAAATAATAAAAATCCACTAAGAAAGTAAATAAAGTAGTTATTAATTAAGTGAGAAAGACTTATCATAATAAGATGATGAGCATATTTTTAATAGAAAAATATTTACTCTTAAAAGTATTCGTATATTAATTAATCCTTTTTATTTTTAAATAAAAATATTAACAATATTTTAAGAGTTTTTTTGTTTATTATTATTGGAGAGTTAAAAAAAATACTTGCCTTTCATTTGGGCCAGGCCTGAACTCAAAAAATCAATGAAATAAAATAATGTAACGAAAATAGTAAAAGGTCCAAATTTCTTATAGTTCACTTTTGTTCCGATAGGGGAAGTGGGGTCTATAATTTTGTTTGTGTAGGGATTTAAAAACCCAAATGAAAACTGGTACTTGCTTGAGCCATTGAATTACCTGGGCTGCAAGAAGATGATGACCAGTGAATAGCGATTAACCACTCTCTCATAGCAATGGTTTAAAAACCAACTATTAAACGTGAAAATAGCCAAGTTATACAAACAAATCACCTGTTCGATTGTTCATAGTTTTGTGAAAAATATGACATAAAAGTATCGAGGAGAAATGAGAACATTTTTTTTAGAAACAGTGTTTGCATATGGTTGTTGGTTGCTAATCTACTCTGCTCATACAATGACAAGCTTTTGTTATCTATTTTGAAATGCATTGTTTCGATTAAGCTATAGAATCCGTGATCAATGCTCAATTGTTAAGAAAATTATAATTCAATTATCCAAAGCTTATTCATGGAGATAAAAGTCGAGAGTTCTCTCTTGTTCTCTTTACAGTTTACATCAGTATCGAAAGATGAAACTAAAATACAACAGATTTCGCGTGACCGGGAAAAAAAAAAATACAACTTTAAACGTGCTATTGTTTACTGCAAGAACAAAGCACATTAAGGGAAAATACAAATTTTTCAGTTGAAATAATTATATTTTACTGTATTTGTAACCAAAAGTGCTATAAGATTTAATAAAATTATAACTCCTTATCCACTTAAATAATGACTCCATTTCATTTTAAAATGTGCTAATCATAAATCCCTATATTATTAAGTCATCATTGTTGAAAATGGAGTATTTCTGGTCTTCACTACTCTTTCTTTTGCGAAGACTAACTTCTAAACTTTCATATCAATCAATATTTTTCTCTTCAATTAATTATTTATTCAAAAGAAAATCTTAACTCAATTTCCTTGATCAATGCTTAGTTATCCATTTAAACTTATTTCATTCCAGAGGATTGCAACTTACAATCAAGACTAATGGACACAATAGAAAGGAGGCAAGAGATAAAAGATTTCCAAGGTTTATACTACCGACCAGTCTTTAGTATTAACATCATATGAAAAATTAAAAGAACAAATATTAAGTTAATTCCGAAATTTTTTTACAGTGGTAAGGCATAGTTCCAAGCCACTCTTTGGTGCCCCATCGTATATTCCTGTAAAAAAACATACTGTAGTTCGTAACAAATGTTGAAAGTTATCGTGTTGAACCACCCTATCATAGCTAGATCGCAGTCGGAAAGATAGATACAAACAAAATATACAAGTGTTTTTAGAAATACTACTTAATTATACACTTAATAATAACTTCTTTTTACATGAAGGCTTACGCCATAAATTTAATCATGAAACTTAATGAAATGAGCCCGAAATAACTTATGACAAGACTCTTACAAATGCTCCTAAAGTATACATTGAGTAAACACTGCACAAGCTAACCTCTAATCGGACATTGGACTACAAGAGCTAATGTAAGGGCTAGCGCACATGTATTCTTCAACTTTTTTTGGGATGTTGGGCATCACTATGGTTCCGCCATTATAACCATCCATCAGCATTTTCCCTATTTTAGATCGCCACTCAAAACTGTCCTTCTCATTTTTCCTGTCATGCACAACTCTGTCACGGTAGTTAAGCATGGTTCCCAGGCCAGTATTTGGTGTCCAGCCATATTCCATAAACACCTTTGCCTCACCTTCAGTCAAATCTTCCCCAACCTATACCAGAGATAACAAAAGAATTGAGCGGATCAAATTTCAGTTTCTGTTGGGGGGAAAAAGCAGTAATAAAAGCAAGAAACTTTATATGAATGGGTAGCAAGACACTAAATCCAGCCAATAAAGTAATCCAAGTGTTCAAAACATGCATGAAAGTCATACCAATAATTCTTTGTTCTCAATAAGGGATATCCTGCTGCAGGAAGTCAGTTTCATAACAATCACCAACCGCTTGATCTGCCATTCAACAGGTAAGGACTTTACGAGCTCAAAGAAGTAGGTTGCATAACCATATTCGGGGCGTTCCAGCACTATCCTACATTGAAATTCAACACATAGGTAACATCAACGTATATAATGATAAGAAAACAAGTACTTAAAAAGATGAACATCAATGCAAATCAAGCACCTGTTATGCCTCTCAAAAACAAAAATAAATGATTGTAGGTCTCGGCACCAACCCCACTCAACTGGCCATTTTCGAAATTTCAAATATCGTGTCTGTAGCAGAAAAAATGAACATAAATAAAATAAGAATAACTGTAGCATGAAATCAACATGTAAACTGTTTGTTAGAAAATAATTACCTGCTCTACAAGTGAGATAAGACAAGCTAGGCAATAGCTTGCTCTTGAAGCCTTTGAGGCCCGAGTAATAGGGAATTTAAGAAAAGAGTGCCGTTGAGAGAAAATCTGACTCCAGATGGAGGAAAAATACATAATTTAAAGCAATTGGGCAAAACCATTAAATGGCTCATAAGAGAAATATTTGAATGTAATAATATAAATACTCAGGATATTGCTTTTGTCATTTTTTTATCAAAGAATAGTTTTTGGAGGTAGTATTAGTCAAATATGACATCTCATTTTATCCGTATATATATCCTGTATAAAACCGCTCATCAAAAGACATGATCATGTAACATCATAAAATCCAAAAATGTCAGTGTGCAAGTGACTTGTTTCTCTTGGGCCTTCCAGAAAGGTAGTGATTGACTTTGGATTATCTAATATACTAATTTATAATATACTAATTTATTTTCATTACTTTTCCTTCTAAGAGTTTAACTCTAAATTTAAATTTAGGAGACAAACTTTGGTTTTTCACTTGGGTAGAAATAAAAATTATATATATTTATTGTTATTTTAACAAGAAACAAGACAGATGGTTATGCGTTGCAGCGTTAGAAGTCAAAATTAGAGATGACATAGTACTATAAGTTTTCAAATTTAAGTATTAAAGTGTGATCCTATAGAATGATGAAAAATATAATGAAATTGTTACTTATAAAATATAAACTAGGTGGTTAAAGACATCATAAATTATTGTGAACGTGAAATACCTACCAAACTGAAAAGAAAATTTTATTATGTTATTATAGGACCAATTATACTATATGATAATAAATATTAGACTTTAAAGAGATGGTAACATAAAAATTATAGGATAAGAAGCAACTAAATATGAGTATTTCTGTAGCTCCTATTGCAAAAAAGATAACAAAAAATCAATTAAGATAATTTGGACATGTGCAAGGAAAACCACTAGAAACACCAGTAGAGAGAGTAAATGACATGACTTTTAGTCTGATATAAAAAAATAAAAGGAGATTCAAAACAACTTTGAAAAAAATTATTAAAAAATTTTTGATAAATAATATCTTAAGAGAATTTAATTTTTGATCAAACACAATAGTATCATATGATTTATGTAGTCAACTTCATCTTTGATAGGGAGATAAGGTTTGGTTGTCGATGTTGTCTCCTTCTAAGAACACAAGAGAACTAAAGATGAACCAGTTTCCCTCATTTTCCCTAGAGGAGTTGAGTCTTGACCATTCAATCATTCATTGACAAATAAGCAATCAAGGTTCACTTTCATTTCTCTTATAAGATTAGCATTCTCCCTAGATCGTCCCTTGAAATAGTTCCATCATAATAACTGATTAGCTGGAAAATAATTTCCATGTTGTTTGCTATTTGATGCAGCAATTAGTGTGTGGAAAAGTTGTTTTGAGAACAGTGCCTCCTCTTTTCATGAAATAGAAATACATTTAAGGTACCATAAAATAAAAAAAATGGTGTTCCATTTTTTTAAAATAATGATTTAACTGAAAATATCTTCAGCAAACATGTTAATTTTTTTAGAAGAGCATAACTATCAATTTTTGTCAACTCTTAATCCTACTTTACACTAACGAAACCAGGGAACTACTCGCACTTCAAAATAGTAGCCATGGCTCATGTCTAAGATGTAACAAATATAGGATGCATTGTGGACAATTTAAATGCTCCTCCTAACTGTGTTTTACAGTTTTTCTTATTATATTTTTTTCAACTTGTTTACCAATACAAAAGAGAGTATCACAATGATTAGATAAACTTTTAACATTTTATAATTTATAATAGTTACAATAACTCATGCTTATTTTTAAAACATTGATTCTCTTTTGACTTAAGACTTGTTGTGTGTTACATTACTATTATACTAATGGCTTTTCTTAGGCAAATGATAAAAAATCATTAAATAGTAAATTTTTTATTGAAAATTATAATATTTAATGTTATTAATGCGATCTTGGGATATTTCTATGATTTTCAATAAGAACTTATTACATATAGCTTTTTATTGTGTGCTCTTAGATACACATTAGAAAACTGTTATACTAATTAATTAATGCATTGCATTATAGCCGTTTTGTATCTATGTCTATGTAGGACAACAATCTATTAATCTGTAACCACAAAATGATATGAGAAGGTAAACAATTAAGACATTATAACTACCTAATGTCTTGAATTAGTTTGGTCCTGAAATGAAATGAAAAGGCAAACCATTGTGGAAGACAATATAATTATGGTATGTCCTTCACCTTTGTTATCACAGCCTCAAGCTCTGAAAAGCTATCTTCAAAAAATGATTCATCCAAAGCTTCATTATCCTCTTTCTCTCCATAAAGTTTAATTTCATCTACCAATACACCTTTGTCAAGCAAAACCTGCCAAATGGCATTTCCAAGAAGCTTGATATAAATTCTAATTTCACACTGACTGTACACAAACTAAAATATGGTACCTGCAGAAGCCCAGGAGCATCCTCCTCCAGTGCTGTTTGAACTGAATCACTGCAAAACAATTTAAAATTTGAGATAATTGTTATGATGGAACTATGGAAGTAAAGTTGGCATAATCATTATAAATTTATAATGGATAATTTAACACAACAGAATTAAATAGTACGTGGCTGTTTTTTTCCTTTTTCGTCTACAGTTGATGCTTAAAGGTTCTGCAGAATTTGAAAAAATAAAGCTCGATAGAAAGGAAGAAGGCTTAGTCTTCTTCAAAGATGAGTCACTCGTAGAAATATTTAAACTAGAATCCTCTCCAGCCATGAGAAAATTTAGTCGATCAATTAAGCTCATATGTTCCACTTGATCATCATGATATTCATTATGGACTTCCCATTCACTTTTAATATTTGGGAGTTTGAGAGAAATGCTACCCATAGCATCCTTGTTAACATTGTGGTTTTCACTGTAACCCCAAGGTTCATCCTTGACTTTGACAAAGGTTGGAGAAGCTGAACAACTTGGGCCATCATTATTTACAGGCATAACATTTTGTTCCACATGTGAATCAAATTGCATCATTATTCCTCTGGATTTTAATATATGGTCATCTTCTTGAAGGACAGCTGAAATTACCGATGCTGTTGATTTAGATGAGGCATAATCAGTTGAAAGAGATGATCCAGATGTAGCCCCAAGCGGTAATTCAAATAGTGTAGTATCACCTCCTTCTAGGGTGTCATAGCACTCATCTCTAGCCACCCTTGTTTTCCCATCAGCATAATCAATCTTTTCATCTTCTTTTTTAATAGTTTGTTCCATAATGTTTTCCAACAAGCTTCCATTATTCCCCTGTAACATAAATGAGTTGCATCATCAATTGAGGGATCCAACCATAACAAAATAGACTGACTTCATTTCTGAGAAATCGACAAGAGACTGTTAGTATCAGAACACTACATAAATAACAACCTATTGGTGGTTACTCGGAAGAAAAGTGCAGGCCCGTCAATTTAAATTAGAAAAGAAAGAATATATGAACACAAGTCATTACTATTGACAGCCCTAAAAATTGTGTGATTTGAATCACTTGATCACAGATTATTCCTTATACTCCCCAAACCAATTCTAATTTCTACAAAATAAGAACATGGAATTTCTTTAATATCCATCCCTATCTATTGTATTCCTGAGCAGTGCCCATCTTTCCTATGACATTAATTGAATTGAACCAGGGTGCTGATTATTGAATAGTAAATTACGTCAAAAAGTGGCTACTCATTAACCAGTGACCATTCTTCAAATATCATTAATGTGGTTAATTGTTCCTAAAATGAACATATTAATTTTTATACCAAGAATTCATGTTTTGCAGAAAAAAAACAAAAAAAAAAAAAGATAGCGCATTAAGAAAAGGCAAGGATGGGAAGGAAACATTGAAAGGTTTTATGTTATGAGTCAGGAGGCATTCAAATCCCTATCAGCATCTCAGCAGTTGACAGAAACGCTACAATGTAATGCTTTCTTTATAATTATCAAGACTAATGCTAAATCATCATACATGAGTGATAAGCTAACTTTTTTCAATATATCATTCAACTAAATGTACCATATAACTAATAGAAAAATAATGCTAAATTACCTCACCGGTTGTATATGACAATCCTGAAAGATTCCTGCAATAACAAATATATTTGTCAACAATGTTAAACACTTTAAAGAAGCAAACTCTATTTAGCTTTCTTCAAACAAGAAATTTTCACTTTATTTCTTCACAATGGCAAAAATATGATATGCCATATTTCCATTGAAATAAACTAGGTTGTTTACCTATAAAAAAATGTTAAAAGGAACTGAAATGATAATGCAAGAAACTGAAAAGGAAATAGAAGGGTTAGGCTCTTGAATTTCCAAACATATACATTGTCATTCAAAGTTATTGCATCTGCATATAAAAAAACAGAAAATATCATGTAAAAAACGTAAGCTAATTTACAGAAACAAGTTAAAAAACAATTTTTTTTCATTTATTTTTTCCAGAAAGATATCAGGTGTCATCTGGTTACAAGCCATTTCAGTCCCTTCAATTCAGAGTGCATGATATGCCAATGATATACAGCAACCAGAATTATCAATCCCAAAAAGCGGCACACAACACTCCACTCCAAAAATGCTATAGTATGATAGTGCATAGCAGGATGACCATTATTTTAAATCTTTTTACATAAATATATAACCTATACATATGCACATAATTACATATATAATACTCATAACTCCATAATGCAAAGCATATGAATAATTATCAACAAAAACCAGAGGTTTTAAGCAAAATATACAATTAAATAAAAAAGATTGCTGTTCACTATTGCATAGAGGAAACAACAGAGAACAAAACAAAGGCAGCACTGCTGAACCGAAGAATACAAAGAAGAAAGGAGATGGATGTTGATGGAAAAGTCACAGGAGATGGGTGGCACCACCAACAAACACATTAGAAGAGCCAAACAAAGTTGAGAGCAAGGAGGGAAGGAGTGTCAAGCAACCAAGGGGAGAAGAGAAAATGTGGAGAAAAAGTAGAGTTAGGGTTTTTCAAGTATTTTGAAAGGGAAAGAAAAGGACATTTTACCCTTAAAAAATCCTCAAAATTGTGCCTTTTTAAGGCAAAAGGGGAATTCGTCCCCATTTCTCTATAGCAGTACAATAACACTACAAAAGCCCTCATTTTGGGCTGCAAAATCAGCCGCAAAGACCATGATATATTTTCCTTTGTGGACAAGGCACTATTTATTGCTGATAAGCTCAAGCTTATTTTGATCAATGATGATATATGAAAGATGTCGCAAAAATTTGATAATATTTATGGATTTTATCCTCCATGCTGTCCACAAGGACTTCAAATCTGTTTGAAATTTTGAAGTAGACCTTGTCAACTAGGCGACAACATTTTCTTTCTACAATGCCATTTTATTGTGTGGAATGAGGACAACTTGACTGATGAATCATCTCATGTGAAAACATCAAGGAGTCAAAAGGGTAGGAAAAATAATTTTTTGAATTGCCACTATGTAAGATACAAATGTAGCAACAAAATCTGACACGGTTGCCAATTAGTTTGGTCATCTGAACACTCTAAATAAGGTTTGATTCCTATCCATTCTTTATGGAATAGTCATTGTTAGGAGAAGCAAAGCTCAATTCAGCAATCTTTGCACCTTGAAAGGGATTAGTCTCTTATTGTCAGTGAGGAGATATTTTTGGTGTAGCAAAAAATACAAAATAATGCATTCAAAGTGAAATTTGAATTTTAAAACAAAAAATTCAAAAATTGCCAATAAGTAAATAGCAATCTTTCATTAAAAATATCCAAGCACAGCTTGATAATTCATCAATGAAAATAAAACAAAATAATTGTAAAGTTGGATAAAGTTGGCACAAGGACATCAATATGAACAATATCAAAGAGAGATTTTGAACAACGATTGTCCTTTTGTAGGAAAGTAGCTTGAACATGTTTTCCAAGCAGACAAACTCACATTCAAAAATTTGTAAATCACAAGAACGGAGAATCATTTTTTCTTTAATTTATGTACACTTGGATGACCTAAACAACAATGAAGAGAGTTAGGGGACTCTAAAATAGCAAATATGATTAGATTATGGAGACTGAAGATAGTGGAGTCCACAAGATTCAAAGCCAACTGTTTATCTAATACTCTGATCCTATATATGAAAAGACTCAATATGAAAGGTAATGGAACAAGACCAGAACCTACCTAGAGACTCAGTAAAAGCAGAATCACTCTGACACCAACTTGAAATTTTGAAAAGATTGTAAGAACTTAAGAGATTTCCTATAATTTGCTTGAGTAAACTACACTCAGCATACTTAGGATTATGATTATATGTACAACAACAACAAACAACAACAATAGCAACCAAACCTTATTTAATTAAGTGAGGTTGGCTACATGGATTACATGACGCCACTGAGCTTGGTCAAAACCAAATTTTCAAAAATCTGGTTAATTAAAAGGTATTCTTTAATAACTTCGTCTAATATTCTTTTAAGTCTTCCTCAACCCTTCTTTACCGAATTAAAAGTCATGCAATCAATTCTCCTTATTGTCGCATCCAAAGTTCTTCTTTCCACACGACCAAACCACTTTAGCCAATTTTTAGTCAATTTTTTTTACTACAAGTGTTACTCTAATATTCTTTCGTATACTATCATTTTGTATTATGTCTTTTCTCGTATGTCTCTTCATCCACCTTAGCATTGTCACTCCCACTCTTTTTTTATGTTGTTCCTTTAAGACCCAGGATTCACTACCATAAAGGATAGCTGGTTATATTGTCATACAATAAAATTTTTCTTTCAGCTTGATAGGTAATTTATAGTCACAAATAACTCCTAATGTTTTTCTCCACTTGTATTTGTGATTAATATCTTCATTAATTTCTCTATCATTTTGTGTTATTTACAACAAATAACCAAAAAATTTACACAATACTCCTCAGAACAAAAAAAAAGAAGAAAGCATTTCCTAGAATATTAAGACTCCAATACTCCTCAGAACTAATTGCTAATTTAATACAATGTAAATTCCAAAAGACTTCAAAAAATCCATTTGTTTTGTTATTTCAATATTTATCCAATACTTTTTGGCCCCTCATTTGTTGTTGTTTTAGCAACATGAAAAACAAAGTTAGGGAGGACAAAATGACAAAAAACAAGTTTAATAGCTCAACCAAAGGGAAAACATGAAGTACCTAGCTAGCAGCATTCTTGATCTTTTTTTCAATACAATATGATCTAGATCATCATCAACACCTTCAGGAATCTCCTTTTTCACCTCTGTGGTAGGAAAATTTAGTTGAAGAGATGTTTTTCTACCCTTATCAACAGAATTTGAAAGAATCTCATAATCCTCAACCTTTATAGTGACAACACCATCATAAACAGACAGTGTCGGACATCGGGCTAAACTGCTGACATTAACACTAGTTCTCTCTACTCCACTTGCATCAGTTTGAAATGTGGGACATGTTACCTGCTGCAAATCAGGGCATAATCATGCTCGAATATTCTACCATTTGCCACCTATGCAAATGACAAACTGCCACTTCTAAATGGTGGGCACCACTCTGTAACTTTTTGTAGAAAATAATATTTATTGAACGAATCATTAGAACAATAATTATGTAGACCTTGCACGCCAAATTTTAGAAAAAATAAACAAGAATAAGTATATGATCAAGTGATTTATCTTTTAGTTTATTTGAAAACTATTTTCTACGTAACTATCGGGGAACTTGAATTGACTTCAAAACAATGTCAGATTAATGTAGCATTTCATGCACACATTATGTTTGATGATATAATAGAAGAGTACCGCTTATATTTGTTATCAAATATTCAGAAAAAAATAAAGGGAATTTATTGATAAAATAATTCTTAATATTTCAGAACATTATTGAGAGGGCACGCCCGTTATAAAAGCATTAAGTAAGCACCAGAAAGAATATGCAAGCAGAGCTTTGGTTGGATAAAAGAAAAAAATCTCTCGAGAGAAGAAAGAGACATCCTATACATTTTTTTCCATAACAGGCCAGAGAAACACACATGAGAAACAACATATGTGCGGGATCACACTAAAGCTAATTTCTCAGGAAGTCAGGATATCTCAAAATAGCAATTGGAAAAAAATCCTTAGCTCAACACACGTGTGCAAGCGCGCATAGGCGTTGAAGGCGCAAGAAAATTTAACTCAACCCTAAAACAAGTACAAAGACAAAAACCAAAAGTCTGAAACACTGTTTTCTTCGACTAGATCCCCCATAGAAGCACATAAATTTTGTATCTCCACAAAATTTGGGCATCTTCCCATGTTTTGATGAGTCACAATTATCAACAGAAATCACTCCAAATTTTCGCCTTAAATTCTAACATCATGCTCAACCAAATGCACCAAATCATTCTACACATAGCATGTTGCAGAAAAACAAAAATCTTCACAATACAAAATCTCTGTAACGAAACAAAAGCAACTGAAAACTTGGTCAGCAAACATAAACCAGTCAACCCATCATCATCATAAATAGGATTTTTAGACCAAAGTAAGGCTTTCATAGAGACCTTAGCTAATTAATTGCTCGCATTCATATTTGCGCAATGAAACTGAAATCAGAAGAAACACACCGTCGTATAAAATAATAATAATAATAATTTACCCGAGAATCGCAATCCTCGTTTTCCTTTTTCACGACAACATCCAGCGGTATGCGAGTGTCGTTTTGGAGAGTTGGAGAGTAAGAATCAGCAGAACGGGAATATAAGAAAGTTCGGCGTTGAGACAAGGGAATGTGCTCAGAGTCAACAGAGGATAGGGCGCAGTTTGTTGGGTTCATGTCGTTTAAGGTTCAATGAGTTGAAGGGAGGGTTTCAAAATGAAATTTCTGTTGCACAGTCAGTGAAGAGAGGACATTCAACTATTCAGTGTACACGTGTGACCTAGCAATAAAATACATCGTAACATTCATTACTCATAATGCAAAAATTTATCCATTAAAAAATAAAACATTAGAGCTAGATTAGTGTGTATAATAATTTTTTTCACATACTTAATATTATTTTTAGTAAAATTAAAAATTAATCTAAGTTATTTTAATATATTAACTCTTAATCATAACAAACTAAAATTTATTCATTCGAAAAAATGAAAACTAAATTAAATTGCATGATAAATTTTTCTGCAAACTGAAAGTTATTCAATTAATAATATTAAAATTTTAATTTAAATCATTTTAGTGTACTTACTTGATGTTATTAATCATAGTTTTTTCATAGTTTAGTTCAAGTTTATCAATTATATTTTTTACGTAGAAACATATTAAATTTATATATTTTTTATTTTATTATTATATAAATATCAAACATTGTCCTAGATTTAATATCTTTAAACCTTTTTTATATTTATTATTATTAAAAGACTCAATATATACTCATATATTAATTAATATATTCAACGTGTAAAAAGTAATATCCAATTTTATTAACAAATTTAGATATTATTAGTAAATTTGTATACAAACCATGAAATTGAAAAAATACACTGAAAATTAGCAAAAAAATAAAAAACACACTGAAAATGTAAATGTTTAGTGAAATTTCTCTTACTATTTATAAAAGCTAAAGCACCAACCAAATCAACTGAACATCTTTGAAAGAAAAATATATATATATATATATTAAGTGCTATATGAACATTATTTTACCAATACAAGATTGTGACAATCTTGAATCTTCATTCACCTAAAAATAAGATCTAGCTAGAGAAAAATGAAAATAAGCCTAGTGGTCATCACTTAGGAAGTATGCATGCTGTTGTGGGTTTGCGTAGAAGATGAAGGAATTGGAGCTTGAGATTCATGAGATTTGCAGGTAGGTTGAAGAAGACATAGAATTTTTGCATTAAATTTTAATTTTTAAAATAATATAAATATTTTTAGAGACTTTTTTATAAATATTAATTTTTAAAATAAGTATCACAAGCTGAATTTTCGTAATTTAATTAATAATAAGGACTAAATTTTAACATTTTTTAAATATTTTAATTAAATGATAATAATTTTTTTAAGAATTTAGTGACAAAAAAATAATTAAGTTTTGAAAAGATTTTAACTATAGTGAAAATATTTAAGATATTTTCAGCGTTTTATTTTATTTACCAATTTTAAAATAAAAATAAAAAGTTTTAAAAAGGGAAGAGTTTTTCAGATATTAAAACTAAAATTATATATAAGATTGTTAAGATTCAAATTGAAATTCATAAGCAAGATAATTTCAAATTGTATTATAATTTATTTGATATTACTTATAAAAAAAATGTGGAGAAGGCAAAATATGTATTAAGATACAATAATAATAAAATTATTGATAAGTTATGATATTACTATAAAAGTTATAAGGTATTTTTTATCAAATTAAAGTGATTTAAACTAAAATTTTATAAAATACAGTCTCTTAAGTTTTATTTAAAAGTTTAAAGGGTTTGAAAGAGGAAATATGAGAAGGAAAGAAAGAGAAAATGAGGTTAAACATCTCTCTTGTTTAGATATTTAATATTGAGAGAAAATGATGATATAAGGTTTAATTATATAGATGATATTATTGTATTTTATATATTTTATTATTTAAAAAAATAAAAAATTAAATATTCTTTTTTCTTTAAAAATTAATATTTTAAAAAAATTTACTTGAAAACTAATGTTTAAAAGAAAAATAGAATCCTAAGAGTATAAGAGTGTGGAAGAGAAAACTCCTAACAAACTTCGAAATTGAAAAAATTCAAAATATTAATGTTAAGAGAATTTTGAAGAATTTAAAAAAACTCTAAACTCTTTTCTTTATAATTATGTGACTCCCAAATAAGGAATAACTTTTCCTAATTCTTTCCTTTCCCTCCTCTCCTCTTCCCTTCCAAATACAACCTCCAAACATAATTTTAAAAGAAATAAATATTTATTCTTTCATTAAATTTTAAGAAGTGTCATTTTGTTGCATAATAACTCAAATTGGAAGTTTGTTAAATTTATTTCTATAAACAGATTTATTAATGTTAGTTGATTTTAGAAAATCAACCTTCGTGAAACTTTATTAGATATATAAATGCTAACGTTAAATAAAAATTTTAATATGAATAAGAAATAATTTTTTGTATCTCTTCTTTATCATTTTCTCTTTAAATAAAATTTTATTCGGTGAATCTATAAGCTTAGAATTAAGCTTCTATTATATTTTATTTTTAAAAATAAAAAATTATTTAAAAAAATTGCTCTAAGATATCTCTAAAATTGCATACCTATTTTGTGTTATTCTTTTAGAATCATTAGTCAGATTCTTAATTATTTAAAGAAGTAGCACTTGTTAGCAACTAAAAGAATATTAAGATACCTAAGTGAGATAATGGATTATGATATTTCATTTCCTTCTAAAATATACGAGATTATGAATGAGTTGCTATAATTTTTTAACTCAAATTAGTGTGAAAATGAAGACGTAAGGAAAAGCTCACAAGGTGCTTATTTAAGTTTTTTGAAATATCAATCTCATGGTACTCCAAAAGTAACGTGATTATGTTATCGTCACGTGAGGCTGAATATATAGTTGGTCAAGGTTGAATATATCGTTAGTCCCTCTGCTGCATGCCAAGTAATTTAGCTTGACTTTATTAAAAAATATTTAATGGTGAGATGCATAATCATATTGAATTTTCGGTAGATAACAAGTTTCTCATAAGACTTAACTACAAATCTTGTATTCCATAGCGTAAACAAACATATAAAAATCCAATTTCACTTCCTAAGAGATCAAGTTAATAAAGAAAAACTTGAAATGAATATTAGTATACAAGTGAGCAAGCAGCTATGACTAAGCATTGAAAAAAGATAAATTTGAAGAATTAAGAAATTTAATGTGTATTATCTCTTTGAAGAATTTGAATTAAAAGGAAGTATTGTATGATAATTCAAATTAAGATTTTTTTAAATTCGTTGTTGTTAAAACAATTATTGATGTTAATTATTTTAGTTAATTTTAGAAAATAGATGTGATGTGAAACTTTATTAGATATATAAATGCCAATGTTGTATGGAAGTTTTAATATGAATAAGAGTTATTTTTTGTATTTTCTTTCTATCATTTTATCTTTAGGAGGAGTTTGTTCACACTACATTTAACACGTATAATTAAACTTTTAAAGCAAACAAACAAATATTTAATACAAATTAATACACACCTAATCAAAATAATTAAAATAAAAGACTTAACAAGACTCATTTAATTCAACTCGATTCAAACTTAATTAAGATGATTAAAATAACTCTAAAAATATTTGATGAATATGACCAAACTCAATTATAAAGAAAAAAGTAATTGAATAAGCATGAAACTAAATAAAGAACAATTGTATTTAATAAACTAACGTATTAAAAATACATGATAAGAAATTATAAGTAAAAAGTATTTCTCAAAATAAATCTCAGAAATTTTTGACGCAGTTAAATGTGTTTTTTAAGAACGTACATTTGATTGAATTAAAAATTTATAAGGAAGGTTTAATAATTACTTTTTTTTATACAAATATTTCACTTTTTATTTTTTAACCAAAATTTTGAACATTTACCTTATTTTAATGTATAGATTAGAATCGTATTGCAATAACTTGAACATAAGCCCGTTAGATGTTTTAGTAAGCATCTTTCTTTATAATTTATGGTTGTTTATGAAAGCAGTGATTTTAAAAATTGAATGACAAATATGATTCTTTATATTAAGGAGAGATTTGAGTCTCCTTAGAATTCCCTGTGAATCAATAGCTTTGATTTCATTAGCAAATTCTTAATCTTGTGCGTCATATGACTATGCTTAGAGGCTATTTGGTTTAGAAATTAGTATTATTTTTTAATTACAAAACATCTATTCTCATCAAATGATATTTTTTTTTCTCTAAATCAAAACTAAAACAAAGCTTTTCTACTTCTTCTCTTTATCCATTTTTGAATTTGAGCATTATTTTACACATTTCCAACCTTGGATAAATCCATGCATGGTATCGTGAAGAGAATATTAAAGAAACAAGATAGATAAAAATGGCATGGATAAAAGAAGAAACCAAAAAGTGAAAATCTTGTAGCGTATCCAATAAATAATAGGGTGGCAAATGGCATTTACGAAGTGGACCAATTGGTAGGTGCGAAAACCCGTAAGGAGGGGTAGATTGGACCGTTGATGAATGATGTTCCATTGTTCAATGCTTGTGCCTAGTGAGAGAGAATATGGCCTTTTCGCTGTGTTTAGCAATGCACCCATTCACCATTCTTTGTTTGTTTTGCTCTTTTAAAAAACACAACTCAGCGCAAACACTGTGTCAGACACCGCTATTACTACTACACAACAAAACACTCCAACTGAAAAAGAAGTAACGGCTAGCAAAACCTGCATCTCTTCTTCTTCCGCATGCACCCTCTCCCATGCTGTAATCAGATAAATAACATCTACTAGTAATAATAATATTATCATAATCAAACCATTTTGCAATCTTTAACTCATTCACCCTCTTCTTATAAAATTAAGTTCTTATTTTTTAATAAAATATCTTTAAAAGAAAGTTGTATTCTCATTGAATTTTATAACTTTTCATATATAGATGTTTAATTTAATTTTAAGTTACTCTTATGCTTATTTTTAAATTTTTTATATAATGTATCAAATTTTAAATATTTTAAGTTTAATAATTTATACAAATATTTTTGTTCTTAATCTTAAGAGTATATTTTTATTTTAAAATTAAAAAAATAGTCAAAGTGGTCTTAATTAAAACACTAATTTTTTTAGTGTTTTAATTAAATTTTAATTTTAATATAATATTTAATTCCATTTTTATTATATAAATGAAAGTTAAAATTTTAACTAAAAATAATAAAAATGTTTAAGATACCATACTTGTTTTATGCTTTTAAAATGAGTATATTTTCATATTATAAAATGAAAAGAAGAATAAGAAAAAAATGAAAAAAGGATCAAAGGAGAAAAAGTTTGTCTAATTCCTGGGTTTTGTTTCTTTAGGCTTGGGGCTACATCTTTAAGCCTCTAGCTTGGTTACAGTGAATCTAACATGGTTGATTCCTTAGCCGTTTGATTTGTCTGACAACCTTTCCACGTGTGATTTATGTCTTGATCTTGTAGCCCCTCACACACACACAGTCATATATTCTCCTACAGCTTTACCCCACTTTCCTCTTTTCAATTTTCCCTTGGTTTTATTTCTTGCTAAGTCCCATTTCACACTCCTTGTCCCTCCCTCTTTCTCTCTCTTTCATTATTGAGTTTTTTCTCCAGATTTCTCATACAGATTCAATCTATGGCTGTGCATTTTCTTCTTCTGCTTTTTGCAGTGTCTGTTGTTGCAGCTGATGAAGGTGAGTGAGTGGACAGTTTTAACTCCCTCCCTACTCTTCTTTCTTTGCTGTTGTGCTTTCTCTTCTTTTAGGTTCTTTGTCAAGAGATCCTGTGTTTTCCACTTTTTGAAGTTATGCTTGCATTCTGAATCTTTCATTGCACTTTTTGTGTATTTTCTCCACATGGGGTTGGCATTGTTGAGAAATGGCTGTAAAACTTGTTTTCATTTTAACTGCATGGTTCTTCTCAAGCCATTACTTTCTTGTTCAGTTCTCACCATTCTTCCTTGCTGTTTTCTGGAGATTTTTGGAGTGTTCTTGGCGTGAGTAAACTTAACTATGCTTTGTCATTTCAAGGCCCAAGTACACCCTTCCATGCCTTGCATTTTTCACACCTTTTTCTAGCTTTAGCATATCCTTGTTGTGGGTGAGAGTGTTATTTGAGATTTATGACTAGTGTTAAATGTTTAGAACCAAGGTTTGATGAGCATGCTACGGTTGAGTTAACGAGTGCTTTGTTAGTCTGTTTCCTAGCAGAGTTTGTATATTTTCTAAACATTTTTATTTTGTCTGGGATTAAACTTTTGGCTAATAATTAATAACATATATTTGAAACAATAGCTAGGCTTTTGTTGTTTGATCTCCTTGAATGCGGTCCACCTGTAGGATTCAGATATATTATACAGAGTAGAATGGCTCTTTTGTCCTTATTTTCAGTCATATATTGTCATTTTGCTTAACACTTGGAACTTGGATGCGTGTATCACTATGTAGGGAAGATTGAAGGAGGTACTATTGTTGAAAAAAATAAAATTTCTTTTTTAGGAAACTATTCTATTGTTTAAAAGTTTTGCAGGTAATCTTCGAAGAAAGCTAGGATTTTTTTTCCATCACCTGGGTACAGAAGCATATTTACTGACAACATAATCATTAAATTATATTTCTCCGCAGAAACGGGGATTGTTTTGATCTAACAAAATGTGCAAAAGAGTCTGCTTTGTATATGCTTCCAAGTTGCAACCTATTTGATTGGTTAATCTAGTGAGGACTTAAATCTTCTTTCTGATGAATCTTAATGTTTGCACCTTGCAGAACCATTTGTTGGAGTGAATATTGGAACGGATCTCTCAGATATGCCACACCCTACTCAAGTAGTAGCTCTACTTAAAGCCCAGCAAATTCGGCATGTTAGATTGTATGATGCTGACCAAGCTATGCTCCTTGCACTTGCAAAGACAGGCATTCAAGTTGTTGTGACTGTCCCAAATGAAGAGCTCCTAGCAATTGGTCAATCGAATTCCACGGCTGCCAACTGGGTTTCCCGCAACGTGGTAGCACATTATCCAGCCACCAATATCACAGCCATCTGTGTTGGTTCCGAGGTTTTAACTACCCTCCCAAATGCAGCAAAAGTACTTGTCAACGCACTTAAGTACATTCATTCAGCCCTTGTGGCATCCAATCTTGATCGCCAAGTTAAAGTTTCAACCCCACTTTCCTCTTCCATCATCCTTGATTCATTTCCCCCTTCTCAGGCCTTCTTTAACCGCTCACTTGATCCAGTTTTAGTCCCAATGCTTGATTTCCTGCAATCCACGGGCTCTTATCTAATGCTCAACATATACCCTTACTATGATTACATGGTATCAAATGGAGTGATTCCATTAGATTATGCACTTTTCAAACCTCTCCCTCCAAACAAAGAAGCTGTTGATTCCAATACCCTTGTCCATTATACCAATGTCTTTGATGCCATGGTTGATGCTGCATACTTTGCCATGGCTTTTCTAAATTACACAAACATTCCTGTAGTGGTGACAGAGTCAGGATGGCCCTCTAAAGGTGGCTCTAACGAGCCGGATGCAACAGTAGACAATGCCAATACTTATAACAGCAACTTGATTAAGCACGTGCTTAACAAAACCGGAACTCCCAAACATCCTGGAATTGCTGTTAGTACTTACATCTATGAGCTCTACAACGAAGATATGAAGCCTGGGCCTGTGTCAGAGAAGAACTGGGGGCTCTTTGATGCAAATGGAACTCCTATTTACATTCTACACTTGACAGGGTCAGGAGCAGTCTTGGCAAATGACACCAGCAATCAAACTTTCTGCGTTGCAAAGGATGGTGCTGATCCGAAGATGCTGCAGGCTGCACTAGATTGGGCATGTGGACCTGGCAAGGTGGAATGCTCTCCATTGCTGCAAGGGCAACCGTGTTATGAACCTGATAATGTGATTGCACACGCAAATTATGCTTTTGACACTTACTTTCATAAGATGGGAAAGACTCCCGATGCATGTGACTTCAATGGAGTGGCTACAATCTCCACCTCTGATCCAAGTAAATTACTATTGCTATGGCCTTTTTTAGTACTGTTTGTTGATAACTTGTAGTATAATTAACAAATTTTTTTTAATGGTTGCAGGTCATGGTTCTTGTGTATTTCCTGGAAGGTAAGATGAGATATATTGGTTTGATTTATTTTCATTATTATCCTTTATTTGCTTTTGTTGTTATTGCTCCCTAGTGATTGGTTTGTGAATATGTACAGTCTTGGCAAAAATGGCACCTTAGGTAACTTCACAGCTCCATCAATGAATTCTACTAATGCAGATTCCTCAGCCTACAACCTTAGCAACTGTGACTTGGGATTTAGAAGCCTTCTAATGATAACAGGATTTCTAGTATGGGGAGTGGTTTTGCTATGAAGTGGTATATGTCAGAACATGTTGTTATTAACAAATTTTGTGGTAGATGAAAATGCTACATATTGGTTTAGGTAGCATTGTGTTGTTCATAGTGGTCCATTCAATTTTGTACAAAAACCAGCTAAGGGTTTGGACTGAATGAGGCTGCAACTGAATCATTATTATTATTCTTTTCAACTAGAATTGATTCGGTCTTTATCAACCATTTTATTTACATTTGGGTTAGGTATAATCTTTATGTTACATAAATCTGTACCCGAATGTGATCTTTAACCGTTACTGCATAATATGTTGTATTCCTATGCAGTGCGTGGGTGAAATTTTCTAAAACGGTAAGCGATGGTGACATGAACAACAGGGAACGTGTGAATTTGAAATCGGCAATTTCATTCATTTCTTGCGATATCTCTGCCCTGAATTGAACTTGTTTGTGTTTTCATACTCTTCCTCCCCCATTTTATAAATCTAGGTGTATCTAACTCATTGAATCCATTAATTGAGGTGAGTTAAGTTAGGACAATTATAACTATCATCGCTAAGAAAATGACCAAGCTCACTCTTAAAAGATATCCTAAATTGAAAGTGGTCCTACCAGAAATACCAATATGTATGAAACTAACATTTTATAGAGACGATTGGAAAAAAAATACAAAGTTTATAAAAATGATTAAAAATTTTCATAATTTTTTTAATTTATTAAGTTTTTTTTTTATCATAAAAGTAAGTTTTAATTTTATTTTAATAAATTTTATGATCAAATTTATGTTATAAATCTTAGTATAAAATAATTTATCAAATAAGTATTCAGCTAAACTAATTATTCAATTTCATCCTTTGTAATTTTGATAAACAAATTAAAAAATGTTAGATTGTTTTAAGAAACATTATTTTTTTAAAATAAAATACAAGAAATTAAATTTTAGCATTTTTCATGAGGATTTTTTTTTATATATGACTTTCATAAATTTTTTTTTTATATATATATATACACGGTATTATTTAAAAAATTATGAAAATATGAAATTTAAAAATTGTCAATGACAAATTTTTGGTTCAAGTATAGAAATTCAGGAATAGCAGATTGAAAAAGTGATAGTATCAAACGTGGCCCATAATTTTTTAAAAAATATTAAAAAAATAAAAAGTCACCGATGATAATTTTTAAAATAATTAATATTTAAAAAGTACTAAAGAGTAATCAAAAGTTCAATGGTGATTTTTGAAAAAAAAATCATATTTTTATAATTTTGTCAAAATTTCATATTTTTCGAATTTCAAAAAAAAAAAAAATAAGAAAAAGTCTTTTTACAAATTAAGTAACAGAAAAAGATAGAAATATAGCAACAAAAATGCATTTTCAAAGTTTGTTCAAATACATGTGTCTTAAACTATGATTAGGTGATATAAATTTAAATTTTTAAATACTTTTAAATATATAGTTACATGACAGTTTTGTATCCTAACTTCGCTAAAATATATAGAGAAAAGTTGTTTTTACAATTTTAAAAAATTAATAAAATATAAAAAATAATAATTAAACAATGAATATAGAGAATGAATTCGAAAATAAATTGTCACTATAATATTTTGAAATCCAAATATTTATATCATTTTAAAAAATTTTCATGCAAATTTTTAAATTTTTAATTTTTAAATATTCATTTATCACTATATTTAAATATTCATTTTAAAAAATATATACAATTATTATATTAAAAATATAAAAATACAATAAATATATTTGCTGTTTCTAATCAAATTTCAGCCAGAAATATATCCTCCTTCCTCTTCTCTAAATTTAGTGGCATCGTGCATTCGTGCCAACGCGCTGCCCCCGTCTCCGCTAAATGGCTTTGCAGTTACATTGGTAAATTGGTAATTTCGTTTAATCCCCAAACCCTAGCCCAATCAGCCATATATAAATTAACTACGAGCCCCTTCTTCTCTGTCACTACTTCTGCTGTTTTCCCAGATCTATTCATGGATCGTAGCCCCTAAACATTTCTTCTCCAAATCATCTTTCTTTTCTCAGTTTATGATTCTCTCTACTGAAACTAAAATGCATCTACTATGATTCTCTATTTCTCTAACCGTGGCATAGAGAATACGAAAAGATGCAATATCAATCGGTACCTCTGGACTGGCATAGTCCCCATTTCCAATGGATTCTTGCTATTTCTCGTAGGTTCCACAATTTCTAAATTTTGTTATTATTATTTTCTTTTTGGGTTTTGGTATTGTTCCTTAAGATTTACGAATTCACTGCCGATACTCCCAAGTTTTTTCTAAATTGAATTTCGAACATTTTTAAAAATTTTTTGAAGTTGTTTAGTCTTCTGGGTTTCGATTGTTATTCATTAAAATTAAGGAATTATTAGCAAATTTTGTTTTTTCCGCATTATTCTATATACATATGTGAATGATTGGGGAATGCTCGATGATGATTGTTTTGCTTTAACCACACCGAATAGAGGCTAGATGGTGGCTTGTGGCCCTTTCTATTTAAGTTTGAGATATAAGCCTTTTGTGCTTGGTTTCGCCTCATGATTTCTTTTTCTAACTGAAGAGGTTTAGTTTTCTTACCTCTTCTTTTAGAGATCGGGAGAGGGCTTTGTCAAGTACTTGATGTGACTCGCTTAAATGGAAGGGGGCCTTACTCATCTAAGTTCTCTCATGTGGAAAAATTTGGCCTTTCAACTGAGAGCAATAAATAACCAATCTTGATATTTTAAATTATATTGTAATGCTTAATTGCTGGATTGTGTCATGGTAAATATGGAAGATTGAATTGGATTGAGGTCTTGTGAAAGAAAGTCTCATCCTTTAAAAATGAGATTTTGATCATATGAAACAATTCTAAGCATAACCAAACAAATGCAAAAAAATTTAGATTTTAAGGTGGCAGAAGAAATTCTAAACACAGCCAAACACGTACAAATAAGAGATTTTAATGTCGAAAGGTAAAGTTGTAAATTTAGACGAACAAATTCAAATATGAAGGCTCTCTCTGTTCATTGGTTATATAACTTGTAAATTCTAAATTCTAAATTCAGAGGTTAACAGACAGTTTCTTCTTTTTGAAGAATTGTGGGGCTTGTTTGAAATCTCTTTATAAAAGTAATTTTTTAATTTTGAAAACAAAAGAATAAGAATATGTTTGATTTACTGTTTAAAAATAAAAAACTATTTTAGAAAAGGAAATTAAACATGCTCTAAAAATTTTATTTATAAAGTTTTTTTTTCTGTTTACAATAAAGTTTCAAAGTCATGTTTTTGAAAACTGAAAAATAAAAACAAGTTTAAAATATTTTTCGAAAGGCAAAACACTTTTCTTTTTTTAGTTATGAAGTGAGTGCAGTGGAGGGAGGAATGGTGTGAGGGATATTGGAAAAAACAGTTTTTTTTTTGTCTAATTGTCAATCAGTTTTTATCTTCTTTTTAAAAAGTAATTTTCCTAAAATTGTTCTACAGAAAAACTTAAACGCTACCAAATAACTCTTAATAGCGCGTACGTAATAAGAGAACGATTTTTTCTCGTGCCTTGTACGAGAAAAAAGAAAATAAAAAATGTTATAATTTTTAATTTTTCAAAAAATAACAAGAGATGAAGAGAAGATTGGCATTTAAATTATTTTCTTTTTACTTTAATTCAAGTTTTTTTTTCTTTTAAAATAAATAAATAGTGAGTTCAGGGTATTTCTTAAAGAATAATGACACTGATTAAGAAGCTAATAAATATAAAATTTTTAAAATTATTTTAGGTGCATTGAAAGTGATAGATTGTTACTGTTACACTTTAAAATTCACAGTATCGGTTACAATATACTCCCAAAACTATGGCTAAATGGACACCGATTGAATTTTTTGGTTATAAAATTCAGTGTTTCAATATATTTAGAAAAAATTAAGGTGATGGCGCCGGTGCTGCAGAGGGAGCTGATGAGAAAAGAACAGAGAAGAATTTTTCTGCGAGAACAGCGTTGGCTGCATCTGAAGGATGGAACGCATCCCAGAATACATACTCATTTCGGTTGCTGCACAACTTTGAATTTGGCAAGCATAAACCTCCAATACTCGTGTCTACATTGCAACAAGACGTATTTGAAACCTTAAAACCTGCGGAATCATTAAATACACACTTAATGTTAAGGATAGCCGGAAACAAAAAATTGATACATGATTGCAATTTCTATTGATTTCTATTGTCTAACCTTCCATACTAGTCTAATTTGATATGTTATATTGACATTTACCCGTCACAAAATTTTTTTGTTAAGTCTTATTGATGTTTAGTAATAATAGAAATTAGTATAAAAACAACTTAGGGACTAAAATGAATTCTTTATTAAGTTAGAAATGAAATTGAAAACAAAAAAGTTACAAATTTAAGGACTAAAGCAATAATTTACTCATTTTAAGATATAAAGTAGCAATGCTAAATTACCATAAGTAGATGGGTTATTGATCAAGTCAAGAACTAACGGATAAGTGTCAGCAAATATGAATTTAGCACTTGGAAGACGATGGTTTAGTGTGTTGATTAGCTTCTGTACATTGGAGTTGAACTGAAGGATCCATTCATTGACTCGCTTTAGACATAGGCCTCGTTTGGACTTAACCCTTTGCGATGGAATACAACCAAGTGGACCAAGTCCGTGAAAGACCATTTTTCGTGCTCCAAGCTGATAGAGACTCTGAAATAATCAAATTTAGTACTTGATTGAGGTTAAGTGTGTGTATTATTTCATGTAATGTTAAAACTCTTAGATGATATTGATAGAGATATTAAAAAATGGTCTCATAGAGGATGGTGTTTTGTTAAGTTATTGCAAACGTTGGTTTTAACAATTACTCGTTGACTAACCTGAAGTTGTTGATCTAAGGTTGAGATTAAGAGCTCTATGAACTCATCATGAGTGTATTGCTGGCCATCTGCCAAGAAGGGCTGCAAGAAATTGTTGACATAGTCATTGCTGCCTGCAATGGTGCAATTGATCGATTAAGGTTGTAGTATATTTGGATTTTTTTATCAATTACCCTAAAGTCAGTGATTAAAAAAATTAATGAATAAAGATGTATTAGTAACATTAAGTGCATATTTTGGAGAAATTAAACCAAACATGTTATGAATGACATACTTTTCAATAAAAGCTTTTAAATTTTTTTTAATCAGTACCTTAAGCTAACAGTTTATAAAACCGTAACATCTAAGGAATTGAAGTTTTTAACATTCAAAATAATGAATTGTAAAATAGTATTCTTCTGTGAATATGGAGCATTACCAATTCCAATGAAGTACATGGCTTCATTGCAATGCTTGTTGGCTGCCACTTCACCTACTCTTGCCGTGATTGCTTCTTTAGTTTTCTTGAAATTGTTTATTTGATCATCAAAAGAGAACCTCTGAATCTAAAATATTCAAGACATAATACAAGTTAGATAAGAAACCACTCAAGTTCTAACCTGTAAATAGAGTCCTTAAACTTTGAAATATTCTGCTTACAAAGTAAAGTCCTGTATCATTGAGAATTCCTGCCCCACCAGATGCATAGTTTACCCCTTTAAGGAGATTATCAACATTTTGAGACACTGACAAATAAGCTGGTGGTGATGTGATTCCAAGCTTAGCCGCTGCAGAAGGCCATAAAATAAAAATATAAAACCATTAAAGCATGGCTTGCCAAAACTATTCAATTTCATTACAAGAAAGAGGTAACAAGAGAATGCATTGAGATGCAGGAAATACATATGAAATCACCAATAGTCCTCCCATTGGTGAATCTCCCAGTAGCCTGGCCACCACTATAGTCAATACCATACCAAGGATAGTTAGACTTCGCTAAAGAATATTGTAGAAAATTATTGTTCCCAACATCTGTCAAGGAATCACCAAAGATATAGGTCACAGGCTGAGCTGCTAAAGCAATTGCTGCCACTGAGAAGATACAGGCAACAAAAACCAACCTTGGCATTGACATCTTTTGATTTTTTTAACCTTCTTTTGCTGAACACTTGGATATGAGTCAGTTTTATAGCGAGCCACATTATGGTTTTACACTGTAGTCTTGTGTCAATTCTCCAAATAGGCATGTTAGGTGGTTATATTCCAAACCACATTGACACTTGAGGAGTGAGGCTAAATGGTTAATCTCATCTTGGTGAAATAGTAAAATCATAAAACTTGGTGGTTGAAGTCTCTAGGAGTTGGCCAACTTAGAACAGTGAGTCAGCAATGTAAAGCTCTTGCTAGTTCCTTCACTTAAATTTTTGTTGCATTAGCTGTGACTAGCCTCGCTCAACACCTTTACTTGATCTGCTTGCAAGTTAATTGAAGGACAAGGAAATTAAGTGAGGAAGGAACTATATGAAATATATTCAATATTGTTTACCAACTATATTGTCCATTGAAGGTAATGCAAGATTGCTTAAAATTAGGCTTGACCTCTAGTGCTGCTTGGGTTAACTAAGTTGATGTTCTACTTGGTTAATTGGCTGAAGACTTTGAAGAATGACAAACCAAGCCTATATTTTTGTGAGAAAAGAACAACAGCAAGTAATTAATGCCATGCCTACTTCGTGGACTTGATTTTAACAGGAGGAAAGTGAAGGGAAAGGATAAGTTGAATTTTTATTTTGGGTATCCTTTTCTCATAGAAATTATGAAATAAATTTTAGATTTAAATATGTTTTTAGTCTTTAAAATTTTAAGGGTTCTTTTTTAGTTTTTCAATCTTTTTTTTTTTGGTTAATTTTTGTATTTTTATGAGTTTCTTTTTATCTCTTTTTTAAGTAATCTTGCAAACAATTGTCATGCAGTTGTCTCTTAATTAGTTATGTCATTATTTATAATTTACCAGATTAAATTTTTAAAAATATGGGACCAAAACCGAAAGAAAAAGTTTGGAACGACTAAAATAAAATAAAAAGAAACTCATAAAAATGTAAGGATAAAAAATACATATAATTAGGTTTAAATTTTATTAATTTGTAGTTTGTTAAGATTCATTGTAAACAAATAATTATTTTTTTGTAAATAAAATTCAAATTACAATAATTAAATGTATAAAATAAAAATATAATAAATAAATATGGTTTAGATTCAAATGTTAACATATAAAAATTATATTAACACGCATTTGAACTTTTTTACTTTATAATGTGTTATACAAATTATAATCATTAAAGATACGTATATTTTTCATATAAATTAAATTTTAAAATAAATCATAATAGTTCATTTAAGAACAATTAAATATAAAAATTTAGAAACAAATTATTATATATATTGAACATTTTAGATTATGTGTGTAAGTTGACCTAATTCTATAACAATTTAAAATAGTTTAGGCAAGAAAATTTATTACTGTATGACTAATTACAATAAAAATAAAACAATTTCGTAAGGCTTAATTTAAGCAAAAATATTAATATCTTAAACATTTTAATGTCATGTGATTTAATTTAAAAAACTTTTTTTTAAGTTAAAATGCTTTTACACCAAGTATCAAATTAGTTAATTATATTACTTCATAGTTTTTTATAAAATGAAAAATTAATTAATTTAATAATTTATTTGAATAGTATTATAAAATGATTAATTTTATAATATACAAAAATAAAAGATAAAATAAAATTTTTCATCCTTTAATTTTAAGATAGATTTTAATTTATTTTTTTTATTTTTTATTTTTTTTTTCACATTGATCGTTTACCAAGATGACAGTAAAAAAAGACTACCCAATTTCTGACTGACTCACGAGAAAAACAGTCACTTTTTATGTACAATGTGTGTATGTTACTTAATATTTTAAATATTAAAATTTTGTTAACTTAGTCCATTGAGATGAGTTTAAGTATTTGTAAAATAAAATTTTTTTATAAAAAAAGTATAAATTTATTATATTAAAATTATAAAATTATAATAAATATTTTTTTAATAAAATTTTACTATTATTAGCTACTTATCTTTAGATTGAGATTACTAAAACTTTAAATATTAGTTATCATCTAATGTTTAAATGAGTGTTAACTGTGTTAACATATTTTGTTTAGTTTTTACATAGCAAAATTTTTTAACTATTTTTAACCAAGAATGCTGAGTAAAAAGATCTTTAAAAGAGTTCATAAAAAGAAATTAAAATATAATCAAACAAGGTTTTTTTTTTAAAGAACATGTTCTTAAACGCTGAGTACGAGGAGTTTAAACCGATGAAGCGACAGAAAAGAACACTAAAAATATTTCATCGGCTGTACATACATTGTTGAGTAACAAGGGTTTCGAGGGCACAAGATCCCGTGAAACATGTTGCGACTTTCTTAAAATGGTTTTGAGATCTGAAGACCACTTTTCAACACAAAAATGCCGAAAACAACGAAAAAAATGCAATAAATAGTAGAAGCTTATGAGAAGAACAGATAAGGATAACTACAAATTTTCACAATTTTTAGTAATTAAAAAAATTACCAACAATTTTTCTTTCCCTTTCAGTTTCTTCTTTCTTTACCTAGTACAAGTTTGTTTTTGTTTAACCAGGCTTATTACTAAATTAACGTATCAATATGGTTGATTATATTATTATTTTATATTTTTTAGAATGTGACGTATGTATGTATGTTTCGTATCTTCTATGATGAGACTCGGTAAAAAATAAATATATTTGCTTTAATTTATAGTAGATATATTAACTTTAATTTATAATATATGTAACATTTACTATCATTACTATATATGTACATAATGAGTTTTAATTGGATTGACTGTAGGAATTAAAGAATGGAGAAGCTGTTGAAGTAAGCTGTAAAATTTGGAACAAATCGTGTGTGCATGTGTTAACGTAAATGCAACAATAAAAAAATTATGAATTTTGTCACTGCATAACCTGTTAATTTTATATAGTTAGTTATTTATTTTAAAAAATATAAATATTCTTTAATCTTTTAGATATTAAATTACAACTATTAATTCAGAGATGTTATCCCTTACGAATACGGTAGCAAATAATTTTTTTTAAAATTTTATGAAAATAATTAAAGAGACTCCAAATTTAATTAAAGAACATAATAAAAAAACATCTATAATACTAAACTCTTGTGCATTGTAATTAAAACATAATTTTAAAAGGGATGATTACAAATTGTGACTTATATTTCAATATTTTTTAAATGATATTAGGATGAGTCAAATGAGAAACGAATACCACACTCACTGTAAAAACTATCGAAACACTGGAAAGGGAACATGAAAAAGAAAAATATCTTATGATGAATAGACTTGAAATAAAAATTAAAGATGATAAAATAAATGAGAAAATCATAAATATTTTACTGACTAATCATGACTTAGTTAAGCGCATAAATCTTTCAGGTTACAGCCTAGTTGTAGAGCCGAAGCCATCTAATCTAATCCCACGTCACTCATAAAACAACGGCATGACTCCCTACACTGATTGCAAAACGGGGGAGAAAAATCCATACAACGTCTTTCATTAATGGAAGCATTATAGAGATAGATAGCATCTAGGCAGAAAGTGTTTTTCCTAATGGATACTATAATTCTTCTACTTGGACTGAAAATCCACATTTGCATCGCTTTGTCAATAGAGCTGTTTCCTTTTCAAAGTTCTCGAGCTCTTTCAAAAATACATGCTCATGGTCTTTTACTGGAGTACATAATGAAGCATCAATATCAGTATCCCGTTCGTCCACCTGTTGGTGTCTTGGAGTCTGATTCATGTCATAACTACCACAAACTGTGGCATTTGACTCGTTAACATTCGTACATTGGACACTAGTTGATGGCATCTCTGATGACAAACTGTTATTATAACGATTATTTAACCTTTGACGAGTTACAATAGATGAAAGAAGCTGGTACCACCGACTAAGAGCTTGTGCTTCATCCCTTCTCTTTTCTTCAGCCTGTCGTCTTTCATCTTCCTCAGCATATGCCTGGTGAAAGGAGTAATAGAAAAAATTTAACTAATAGCATAAATGTAAAACAAAACTGTAAAAAACATCAAACTTTAGAAGAGGAGAGAAGATGGAAGTTTAGTCCTTAGAAATAAATCTAGCGAAAAAGGGCTGAAGGATTTCCAGAATCAAAGAATATATCCTTATTAATAAACTGCTAGCCCCAGTAACCCAAGCTACCATACTTTACAATGTAAAAAGGTTTATCAAATTAAATTCAACAATAAAGCAGAATATACTCATTTCACAAATCAAAATTCAGTTTATCTGCAACAATAATATTTATTCAGTAAGAAAACGAAATATACCTCTAGCAGTACATCCTTGAACTCAGCACACACCACAATACCATCAAAGACAGGATATGAACGACCATTTTTAAATTCAAAACCAATCATAGCAGGTGCATAATCAATTTCAAGCCTCTTGGCAACCGAAAATGCCCTTGGAAACCGTAAGTGCACAGTCCCTGGTGGAAGACATTTCTCAGACCAAACATCTACCTGACCACGTTCATTCTAGATGGAAAATAGTAAATATAACTCAGTAATATGACAATATCTATATTCTCATTAAACAAGCAAATATGCATGTGCATTTTATAGTTAGTTCATATGCATGTCTATTAAGACAGTACAGTCACTAATGCAGAAGCCACTTGTGTTTAAGCACAATCAACTTCATTCCCATAAACTCATGCCTAAAAGGTCTTTCTCTCTACTGCTTCCGTAGAGTTAAACGTGAAAAAAATATATATAAAAAGTTGACTATTTGTAGCACTCCTCCCTGTCACAAGACAGATGGGGGTTTAAAAAATGTTTTAAAATTGGATCCATCATCAAATAGGCGGGGAATGTTTGGGTTGGGGAATATAATCTCCAAACTATTGTGTTGGTTGAGAAATGGAAGTGGTTTTTTCCATTGCCACCTCATTGTCTACAATATGGTAATTAAGAACAAGAACAGTCTTCATCAGTGCAGTCATAAACTGGAGCAGCAGGAATATATTGTTGGGGTGCCAATCATGTGATGAGATCCAAATCTAAAATTTCAAACCAACAGTTATTTTGTAATGATCCAGTGTGCAAATCACAGTAAAGAGTTCAATGCTTTGCAAGGTAATTTCCACAAACACATTATCTTTCATATCGATGTTTTTCATTTATTCAAAGAACGCATAGAAAGTACGATACAATACCTTAGGAACTATCCCATCCACAGCATGAGGCAGATTTAATGGTTCCAGTTGCCATTTCCCATAAAGTTTAATATTTTCCTTAGAAACAGTGCAGCCATAGTCATCGGCTTCAGAATCTTGTACTTTTTGAGGCTTTATGGAACGTTGAAGCTCCTAGATGGATTTTTTTTTTGGCAAAAAAAAAAAAAAAAGGTGTTAGAAGGAAAATAATACAATGGAGTACTGTAACACTGTCAGCCAGATGATACCTTCACAGGATGTTCACTGGGTTTAACTTGCAGCCCTTCCCGGAGCCATCTCTCTTTTGTCTTAACTATTTGCACACACGTCCTAGGGTAAACTGCGTGACCTGAACAAAATCCAAGAATTGGGCCCTTTGGATGAAGCACTTGATACTTTGTAAGCCATTTTTCTAGGGCATAAAGTGGATGACTTTTGTAGGCCTGCAAAGGGATAAAAAAAATCAGCATAAATGTCACCATGTGTAATATTAAACCTGTTTTCCATGGTTACTTTGAAACTACCTGCTGATTGGTTGGAAGCGGCTCAGTTAAGGCCCTAGTTTCCAACTCAATATCCTCAATAGAGCTCCTTGTAGAGGCAAAAGAATTGCTCAAGTTGGATTCTGAAGCAAGGATTTGGTTTGTTGTCAAATCAACCACACCTCCAGTTACCCCAGACTCTAAGTGTCTCAATGGTGCCAACACTGACTCCCACCACATTGAATTAACTCGATGTGATGCTATCTTGTACCACTTCATGCAGTACCTAATAGGTCAATGTGTACTAGCATTTTCAGACAATGTCACAAACCTCAATAATTTATGCAATGTTTGGTTCAAACAAGGGGTAGGGAAAAGAAAACTAATGTACTATTATATCCTAGGAGAGGAGAGGGAAAATAAAATCTAAGGACAAATTAATCAGAATAATCCAAAAATTATAAGCTACTTATCTTCCCCTCCAAATGGTCCCAACATTGAAGGGGAGGCAAAAATGAGAGGGGAGAGATTTGGTCCCCCTTTTCCCCAAATATCTAATCCACACAAGGTAAAATTATAAAAATCTCTTCCCTCTTTTCATTCCCCTCCAACTAAAAACTATGTTAGTCCCCATAAAATATTCTTTTGCAATTTCAACAAATACTATCACACTACATGAATAGAATAAATTACTTCTTTCAATTGATTATTATTATTAAGGATTTATTGGAAGCTAAAATTATCCTGTGTCAAGGTAGTGCAATAAGTCCGCACTGAAATCTGGATAAAATGATGGTGAGTTCATCCAAGAAGGGCTCCCACTCTGGGGTGGTTGTGGTCATCCCGGATCTTAGTCCAGCTGTGGCGATGGGGTTCATCTTGGATCACTTCTAAAAATCAATTCAACAGCTTGAGTAATTTTAACTTTAATCCTTCAGACATCTAGGAGAGCATTCTGGTTTTTCAATATCCAGTGTGTCTATGACCTAATGAACAATAATATTTTGTTATAACAGGTTTTCTCATATATTCTCTTTTGAGGGTGAGAATGAAAGAAATTATATAGTATATCATAATATCATTAACCATAACTGATCCCATCGTGCTTGTTCACTTCAAAACTTGTCATGGGTTGGCTTTCTTTTAGGGGTCCAAGAAGTTTTCAATGAGTTTGTGCCAATCATCAAGAAACAAATAATTTATCCCAACTTCCTAAGGATAATTGAAATTTCCAAAAGAAAAAAAAAAAAAAAAAAGACAACTTGAGCACTAAAAAAGCTTATGACTTATACAGAGCTATCAAGAATTTGATTGGTATTAAAAAAGTTGCAAAAACATCACAGAGATCATGCTGAACATATATGAAGGTGAAAATATCAAACCTGCGGGTCACATCTTTGGCCCCTTGCCCAGCAAAAGCAACAACATATCTCAAAGATGTTTTGCATGCAGCTGCCATGGCTTCAACCTTGTCCTCTCCATCAACAATCAAATTCACAGCATCAACATGCACCCACTTTCCTGTCAAATTTTCTTCACTGCAATACACTTCTGCCCAATACAGAGGAGATCCCACTTTCATTGATCCAATTGCTGTAGAAATTACTTGGGGGCAGTTTGAAGATTCTTCACCTGTAACCCTTTTCATTCCTTTTGATGGACAAGAAAAATTTGATGAATCAGTATTTGCACCTGACTCCTTTTTGCTCTCCTGACATCCAATTGCTGTAGCAGAAAGAGCCATTTGCAATTGCATCTGAAATTCAAGATCCCCTTTCCTCTTTGATTTTTGAGATCTGTCACTGAGACATGATTCAGGGTTATTATGTGTCTCAGAAGTCTGTGAGTCTGTAACACTATCAGTCAAGTCTTCACTAGATTGAGCCATGTGGCTTGTCACACGACATTTCTTACTTCTCCGTGAATGGACAGGAGAACTTTCACAGACATTTTCTTTCTTGTTACAAGATAATGATTCTTGAGGTGACTTAAAATCCAATTTTCGCTTAGTTACCATTGGTGTAGAAGTATTAAATATTCCCTTACTAGATCCACTTGCAACTGGTCTAAAGGATTGATCTGGTTTGAGAGACGCAACATCCAAAATGGACACAAACCTGAAATATGCCTCTGGTAAGAAACTTAATTCCACATATTTAGTCCATGAGTTATAAAAATTGAACAAATTTTCTTAACACTGGTAGTTCATGGCAATATTATTGATTCACTTATAATTTTTTTCTTTTTTTTTTTGTTTTAACATATTTCATTTTACTTCTTATTTTATGGTACTCTTCTGACTTGCCTATATGCCTAAATCAGAACTTCATTCTTCTACAAGATTTTAACATATGAAAGTCAAATTAGAGTAATTGCTTCACTATTATTGTTATTGTTCCTTTTCTAGATTCATTTCATTACATGCAACATCACTGTAAGTATTTTATCATTCCCATCCCAAATAATAAAAAGTGAATAATTCATTTAAATTCATAAATCAAGGATTGCTTCAGCAGTTGGAAATCAACTATATAAATTATGCAATATCATGATCTTTTTCATCAAATAGAAAAATACTAGTTTAATATTGCACCTAAAGTATTGAATCTACAAATTTTTCAAACCAAAACTATAATTAAAGTAATTGATGAGTGATAGAAAGATATTCTGTTCTGTGCTCATATGTAATAGTAATACCTGGCTGTAAGATTTAAAGCTCTTAATAGTGCCACTGATAATGCTGCAATCTGCAATTGTAAAAATAAAAAATAAAAAATTTCCTTGCAAACTTTCCTCAAAGTACTATGCAATTATATAAAGTATATTGAAAACAGAATCAACCAGTCTTAAAAAACTTTATTTTATTAATGGTTTAGGTAACTCAATTATAAGCAGAAGAGAGAAGTTAAAAGATTAGCAAATCCTTTCTTTCATGCCAAGAATGAATTATTAACAGATCCCGCACTTTCAAGTTTCAATGATAAAAGTAGTATGAGTTATTTGCCTGTGCAATCATACTGCAATGAATGGGAACCTGATCAAAGGACAAACTCAAAATCTAGTAAAGTATATAATCAAAAAGTAAACATAGTAAACAAGAAGGCCCTATTAAAGACATATTTACCTCTTCAGGACTGCCCTCATGTGATTCTAAAGCTGATGCCAAAGCAAAGCCTGGTGAAGTTTCTCTATTCGTACAGTTTTTAACATGGAAATTATTGTGGAACTGCAAGCGTTACACAGAAGGAATTAGACAAGATATGAGACATGATATAACATGAATTTTTACAAAACTTCACATTAAATGCAAAAAAGATAATATCTATATTTGCTAAATCAAATCATACCCATGATATTAAAGGATGTAAGGCTTTTGAAGTGAGTTTTGTTGTGACACTCGATAGATGGAGTAAATGTGCTGGAAGTAGCGAAAGCAAAGAAGCCTGAGATGATCAAGAAATGCAAAACTCAACAAGCAATATTAAGTCAAAAAAGCTTCAAAATTTTGTGCGATTAGGTTAGCATACTTTGGAGCCAAACAAGTTTCTTGTTTTTAACTTCCGAAGAGAGCTTAAAAAATTTTCTTCAAAATTAATAGCTACTAAACATGCTAGTCAAGATAGAACCAAGCAAAATTCAATAATACACAAACTCAATCAAGATAGATAATGCAGTTAACGTATACATACACATGAACATTGCAACCATTTAAAAATATAACCAAAACAAAAATAAGATACAAGAAATTGAGCTATTGATTACCACAAAAGAGGGATGTTAAGGAGGTAAAGGCTTGATAACACAATTATGTTGTTTATAATAGCAATGCTAACATAAAATTTTATCATATTCCGAAGAATTTTATCCACTAAATATAATAAAAATTAAAAGTTAACCTGAATGAGAGGGTCATCACAAGCATTGTCGATTAATCTTCCTCGAGCAAGTAAACAGAGCAAATGAACCTTGTGTATGAGTTCAGCCAAGTCCTGAAGAATTTTACAAAATTACTTTTAGCAAGTGGCTAAAGGTTATTTTCATATTAAAGGTAACTCCAATACTGCAGTAATTGACCTTATCTTCAGCAGAAGCTCGACGAATTTGCTTCTGTACAGTTGAATGAGGGGTTACATTCAATTCAATTGTCACATGCTGATCATCCATGGCAACTGTACCATCTTCCCAATCTGAGTCATCTTGTTCTTCCTGGTTATCCAAGTAGTCCTGATCTAAATTACTACATTTCTCCCCTATAGAAGCGTTCTCCATGTAATTTCTACTACAATGACCAACCTCCGAAGTCTTTTGTTGGAGAAATGGTTCCATGACTTGAGTTCCATTTTGCTCTGGCTCAAACTCAGGCTATAAGCAAATCAGAAGAACAACATGCTGCTTTAAGAACTTAACACGCATAATTTGACTAAAACTTAAAACATTAAGGATAAAGTTAAATCATGTAACCAAGTCACCAAAAGAATTGCACAAATTATTAATAAGCAACAAGAACAAGTTAAGAGGGGCCAACCGTCCTCTTCTTCCTGGAGGTGCCAACTTTATTAGCACGACATAAAAGCTTTCCCACGGCCTCCCGAGATATTTTGGTCAGTGTTCCTGAAATCCAGCATAAACATGAATTATTCATGAGTATTACGATTTTGCTTAATTGTGGTTGGACATGATATTAATCAAACCATTATCACTAGGTGATTGAAATTTGTTTCCACCTTCTGAATTTTGCTGGGGTCTGGTTTCATTTTCTGCAATTTTGACAGGAAATACTCAAAAACAACAGAATTTACAAGGTCAAAAACAAATACTAATTTCATACATACCATCAATTGATATGAACCTACGGGTATAGCATTAATTTGTTCGATTAGGGGAAAGCTAAGACAATGATGCTTCTCCTGTTAATTTTGGTTTCAATTCCACTAAGAAAATGATCCCTGACTCAAGTAGAAATTGAAACCAAGCCAAGTAAAGATTATTATTCCCATATTACAATTTCAGTGATCAAGTATCAAAACTTGCAACTTCAATTCTATTCCCCATTCCCAGCACATAAAAAAAAAACTCTACACTTACAAACTCAAAACAATTTCCGCAAGTCTATCTAAGTGATTGCTATATCTTCAGACTGCTTCTTCCAATGCATACAAGTTTCACTAAAAAATGAAATAAAGTAAACCTTCCCGATTTCATACAGGTTTCAATAGAACGAGTAGACTCAATCGAAGCATTGCCTCTTCAGTGTTTTTTTTCCCCTTTTTTTCTTTTCAATATCGTCCCATTTTGAATTCGTTAATGTTATGACTTATAAGAAACAGAGAAGAAGGTTGAATAGCGACGGAAACTACCTGAGGTTGAGGCTACGTATTGCGTCTTCCGCTGGAAACCGCCACCTCTTCGGTGTGGCATTCTTCTTCTTCTTCAGAGAGAGAGAGAGAGACCCGTCGCGCCCAAAACTGTTGGGAACCTCGATTGTGTTACGCTACTTGCGTCTGCACCCCTACTATCCAAGTGACGCTGCGGAAAATACCAAAATGACCCCCATAAGCAAAAGGACGCAAAAGCCCCTGAAACGAAAAATATTGAGTAAATACATATTTTAATCCTCAAATTATATTATTTTAATTACTAACTTCATGAAAATTCCAGTTTTTTAATGTAAAATAAAAAATAATTATAAAAAATTAAAATAAATAAATTTTAAATTATGAAAAATTAAAGTAAAAATCTTATAAAATTCAAAACTTAATTAATTTATTTTTATAATTAAAGCATTACCTCCACCTTAATTTTAAAATGTTTAGTATAGTTTAAATTAATCCTCTAAAACAAAATTTTAAACTCTTACTTTATCCTTAAAATATATATTTTAATTAAAATTCATCTTTAAATTATAATTTTTAAAATTTTAATTCATAAATTAACAATTATTAGTTATATTAGTTTTTATTATTAATAAATTAATAATTTATCATATTAAGTGACATATGAAAATTATTTTTAATATAAAATAGTGTTATTTTAAAATATTTCAAAAATAAATATTTTTATTCATAACTTTCAAAATTTTTAAATAATAAAATCTTTATTTCATCTTTTATTTTATCTTTTTCTATGACAATTTTTTTCTTTAATAGTATCATCGTTGCAATAACTTTAACTTTTCTATATTATATATTTTTACTGTAGTAACCTTATTCTGATTTTCTCTTTACAATTCTTACCTCTATTTTATGTAAGATTTCATCTTTTTTCTTTTAAATATAATCCAATAACCTCAAGTTTTCATTAACCCAAATCTCATCCCTTAATATTTTCTATCTCTCTCTAACTTAGTAAAACTATTTTTAAATCCAACATTTTTGCCAACTCACTTCACAACCAACACTCCCTCAAACCTCATTGCCCCTTTGACTTCTCCTATGTTGTTGTGCCAACACCTCCTCTGATGGCATGCCTTTGAACCTTTATCAAAACCTCTAAGCTTGAAGTTTGGTTCTAGTGGTTCAAGTGAGAAAATCTAAGATGAAAGAGCTTTGCAACATGAATGTTATTATAGTAGTGGTTGGAAGAAGAGAATAAAACGTCATGAAAGAAGAAAAAGCAAAACATGAAGCAAAAATCTTATTGCTTGAAATTTTTAAAAGTTAGGGATGAAAACAAACAATTTTTGAAAAATTTTAAAACAAATTTATTTTATGTTTGCAATAAATTGCTACATGTTATTTAATGTGACAAATCATCATTCTATTACTTAATTTTAATATATCTTAACAATAAAGACTAACATAATTTATGATTGTTAATTTTAGATACTGCATATTTAAGACTCTTGAGTAAATGTTTACTTATAATTAAAATTTTAAATGTTAATTTTTAATATTAACAACTATTATTTGATTTAGTACTTGTTAAAAACCTTTTGAAAGTGAATAATAAAGTGGTGAATGACACAATGACATTGTTTTAGATGTTTTAAAAAAATAGTTCATTTAGTACTTGACTTTTGAGTTTTTAGAGCATTTATGTATTTATTTTTTTTGCTATATTTTGTTCCATGACTTATTATTATCTGTTACCACTACAACAACATTTATCTCTTAACAATTCTACCAAACTAAATGCTTAAGGATAAAGAAAAAAGAAGGTCAATGATATTTTAGTTCAAATGACAATAATATTGGTAACGAAAGTGGTTCGTGGTGGATAACAAGGTTATTTGTGGTATGAAACTTGAAAGTGAAGAAAGAAAATGTTAGCAACATTTTGACTAAATGACAATGACATTAACGGTTGAGGATTGTTAGTAGTTGTTAAAAGTAAAAAAAAAAATGTCAAAAATAAAAAATAAATAAACTCGTGATAGGAGAGAAGAGAATTGACAATATTTTATTCAAAACTTTGATTAATAATTTTGTTCAAATAAATATCTTTTACAACAAATCATATTTAATTCTATTCCATCAAATATTAAAAATATATGATGTGTTCATAATTTTAAGAACATAGGATGCTTCCATTTAGGAGTGTCAAAACAGGCAAGCTTGTCTCAGTTTGCCAAAACTTGCCTAAAAATAGGCTAGCTTGAGCCCGCCTCGTTTAGAAAATGGGCTAGCTTTTCTAGCTCAATCTGTTTAAGAGTAGGCTAACCCGTCAAAAATAAAATAAAAAATAAAAAAAGTTAATGGGCCATTAAATTAATGAGCTAGCCTCACAAAAAATTAACCAAAAAAATAAAAAAGTTACAATAAATATTTAAAAAATATTTTTATATTAATAAAAATATTTAATTGTTTTTTAAAATTTATTTTGGGTCCAACTGGCCAGCCCACCCTAGCCTGCCATTGGCCTGTATTTTAACAGACTAGACGAGCTAGTAAATCTACATCACTTAGCTCGGCCCGCCAATTTTGATGGGTTAAACTAGTCGATCTGTTAAGTTAAGTCCATTTTGCCAACTCTACTTCCATTGATAATAAATATCTTCTTGTTCATTTTTTTAACTATTTTTTTTATTTTATATAATTAATATATTTAAATAAAAAAGGTTATAAATCTATATTGTCTAAAGGAAGAATAAAGGATTTTAAGCATTTATAACGTCACCAGCAACTAATAAATTCAAATTTTCAATACTAATCTTTTAAATATGTAAACGATAATAGAAAAGTTTTCTTTCAACATTCAATTATTTGGTGTTAGTTCATGTATATTATGCTTTTATTTTTTTATTTCAACACAATCTTTATGAGTTGTTATGATTTTTTTTTTATGTTTTGTTAATTTTAACCTTTAAGATTGAGTTTAAGCATTTATAAATAAAATTTTTTTATAAAAAAAATACATAGCTTAAAGTTATAAAAATATAATAAATATTTTTTCAATAAAATTTTATTATTATCATCTGTTTATCTAGAGAAGACATTAACGAAACCATTTTTCTTTTATCACAACACGAAATTGTTAATCCACTTCCCATTGTTGGAAATAATATAATTATATTTCAAAAGAATTTATTAATTATTTATTTTATTTTATTATTTTAATTTAATTATTATTATTATTTATATCTTCAGTTATAAAAAACATTTACATGAGCAATTATAATGATTAAAGTATTTTAAATCTTTTGAAAAAATCTCACGAAACTGCATGAAAGATGCGCAAACTTTTTTATTATATTTATTTCTGTGAATTATGAGTTGAGAGCTTTGTATATTCAGACAAAAAGAATCTGTTACAAAAAGAATTTGTTGTATTTTGAAGGATTTTTTATTACATTAAAATAATCCTTTAGAACAATATCCTATACGCCTCAAACTGAATTATTGATCAGCTACTTTGAGTCATTTTGACAACAGTCCAAACGTTATACTGAAATTTAAAACTAAATGAAATAATCAAACATCTAATATATATATATAAGACGTAAATCACTTGTCTACTTTATGTTCAAATACAAATGCATTTATTTTGAAGGCAATTAAAGAAAGTGATGCAAATGGTTTTTGGTTCTAGAGGCAGAGTCAATGAGCTTTACAGAGGAGCATCGAAGAAAGGCCTTTACTATTTTGTCAGTATGTGAATTAATGAAATTAAAGTGGTTGAATGCAACCTTTTTGTCATCCATCGATTTACTATTAAGAAAATTTGATTACTTCTCACTTTCTTCATTCCTCCTTCCCTCTCAACACTCATGTTGTTAATGAAAATTTGCTATATTTGTCCTCGACCCTTTCAGCTTACTACCAGAGTTTACCCTTTTGAGTTTTGAGATAGCTATGCAAAATCCCTGACGTGCATCCTGTTCACTTTTCCTATTAAAGTAAAATTACTTTTTTGTGTATCTTCAAGATAAGCATAAATCAAGGCTTCGGATACAATTAATCATGTAAGTTTTGAGCGAGAAAACTAGAGAAAATAGTGAAAGAGAGAAGTAAACTATTTAATTTTATAGATCACGAGTCTATTTAAATTTTAAATTATAAAATATTTTTAATTTAGGATATATCTAAAAAAATATACATAATTACTTTTAAAATAATATTTAATACCTTTTTATAAATTCATTTAAGAATCAGTTTTATCCGTACGAGAGTCTTGTCATATATGCATCAGCTTGTTTCATTTAAGAGTCAGAGTTAATTTAGCATTATTTCATTTAGGAATCATAGTTAAATTTAGCCTTATTTCATTTAAGAATCAGATTTTTATCGTATGAGTGTTATCATTATCATATATGCATCAGCATGCACCAACAGGCCTTTTTCTCTTATTTAATGCTGTTGCAGCACACAAGGCCATGACACACAATTCTAATGGCGATTTCTCCTTCTTTCTCGGGTCATTTCCACAAGGCCGCTCTGTTCAATGATCTGGGTTACGCCTCTCGTCCACCAGCATGGGCTGAAGGAGGTTGCATTTACCACTGGAACGCTCCACGCTTTGGTCCTCCTCTTCCTTCGTATAATTCTTATAACCAAGTGCTGCCGGGCACAACCATTAACACTTGTTTCCTTCCCTTGATCCTTCCTCAAATTTAAAGTTAAAATGCTGCAATGCATTTATATTGTGTACTCTGAATATTTATAATGTTTAACTGGCTCATGCTGAGGTTATAAGAATTATAAGGAGGATGAGGATTACCAAAGCGAGGAGCTTTCCAGTGGTAATTGCAACCGGCTTCAGCCATGCTAGTGGACGAGAGGTTTAATCCGGATCTTTGAACAGATGCTGATGCATAGATGGTAACACTCTTGTACGGATAAAATTCTGGAGCATGCTGACGCATATATGATAACACTCTCATCTCTGATTCTTAAACGAAATAAGAAGGCTAAACTTAACTCTGACTCTTAAATGAAACAAGCTGATGCATATATGACAAGGATTCAGCATATATGACAACACTCTAATCTCTGATTCTGGAATACTATTAAATACCCTATTATGAGAAGGATTTAGCATTATAGAAACTCAAAAGCAAGAGGAAATCACGCATTAGCATTTGTTCCAGAGAGAAGCTCATGCTCAATCGTTTTGCATCCTTAATGCAATTGTCATTGTTCCATAATATTGCAATTAATATGCACCTAAAATATGTTTACTTTTGTATTTGGGGGCTTTGTTACAGATCTCTGATGTATGAAGGAGTTCATTGGTGATTCCTAGCATATTATGTAAAGTAGCTTCTGTGAAATTTAAAATGGAGCTCTTATCAGTAGCAAATAAATCATATAGCTATAAATGGAGTTAATTCTCTAAATGTTAATCCATTTGATTAGATGAGATGACTTTAAATGCTTGATTACTTGGTGTGTGGATGGGCGTTTTATTGGATCCTCTTGCTAAGTTTGGTTCTACGGTGAAAGGACCTTCCTTCACTTACATCAGAACTGGAGCACTCATGCAGTCGGTTGAATTCTTACTCCTGCTTACACCCTTTACGATACCTCCCCCAACCCACCAATAATATATTACTACAGCCAGATCTACTTTATGGCATGTTTTATTGTTTATGCTTGCTTGAAGAATGGTGAATATCTGATCTCATGTGTTCTTATGTCACTCTGGAATATATACTTTCTGCTTTTTCCAGTCTATTCGCAGAACCAGGCCTTTTTCATGGCAGCATGATTTGTTTGAAGATAGCCTAAGAGCCGCAGGGATACAAAGGAGTAGAAGTTGGCACTAAGTTGTGTGTGTCAAACTTGGAACATGGAGTAACTAATGAGGACATAAGGGTATAGACTATGTCAATACTTTCTTCATAGCCTCTGCTTCTTGTTGGCCACAATTGAAGTTATCTTGAAACTTTGTTTGCTACTCAGGAACTTTTCTCTGAGATCGGAGATTTGAAGCATTATGCAGTTCGTTATGATAAAAATGGACATCCAAGTGTAAGTAATGAATTTGTATTTTTTACCCATTACAATGGTTCAATTATTTCCTTCTTGATTAGTCTATCTCCTTAGCTTTTTTTGTTCTTATGGACAGTAGTGTAGTTTGAATTGCCAGCCATAATGGATGTTGGAACAATTCTGAACTTGTAATTCCCAGCTGGGTCATGATAGGATCTAGTTCGTATCCTACATGATCCAGACAGAAAAGTGGCTTCATTTTCCCTATTTTGATTTCTTTTGTTTTGGGATAAAGGGAGGAATGCGCATTAAAGAAAAAAGAACAAAAACAGAACCCTTCTGGTTTATAATTTAATAAACCATAATCCCAATTCTCCCAGTTTGTTTAGATTGCACCATGACTCACTGGAACATAAACCCTAACTCTGGTGTTAGCCTTTAGTTTACTGACTGTTTCCTTACCTTTGAACAAATGCTCAACAGGAGAAGCGTCAACCTTGGCTTACTGTTTGGTTCTTGGAAGATGAGGATGATCTAAATGATGACGATGCTGATCAGGGGGAAGATGACTAGAATTGAAGTGGTGTGTCTTTTTCTTTTTCTTGAAGGCAGTGTTTAGATAGGACATTTTAAAATTCCTACCATTTATGTATTTGGATAGAAAAAAAATAGTTTTAAAATACTATAGAATTTTATCTAGATAATTTTCATGTTAAATAGAAAAAAATTTAAATGACTTGTTTTCGGAGAGAATTTAAAATTTTATCTATTATGCTTAACTTTTTGTATTTGTCATTTATAATTCTTTTCATATTTGACTCTCTCTAAGCCTCCCTCATTAGTGTTTTCATACTTTCTAGAATTCTAAAATCTCTCATCCAAAGTAACACCACTTAAATATTTACATGTCACTTCTAAAGGATTGAATCATGTGTTATTATGTATAAGGGGGATGTGTATTTTATGCTATTTTACATTGAGTCATGAATCATATGCATGAAATTGTTGAAGGTCATGATTTTTCAATTGGTTCTTATGGCATGAAAGTGAGATTCGTGTCGAAGTTTGTTAACTCTTGGGAAGATATGTTACAGAAAATACAATGTGTAGCAGTCATGTTGTATGCATCTCAACTTTTCAATAATGCATATGTCATTTTCTTTTCATTTGGATGGCTGGTGGTTACAGGATTCAGGTGAAGTTGTCTATACTAGAAGAAGTGATGCATTTGCTGCTCTTAAACGATATAATAATGTACTTTTGGATGGAAAGCCAATGAAGATTGAGATTGTTGGTGCCAATGTAGAATTGGCAGAACCAGCTCCTGTAAATGTCACTGGAGTAAATGGGCAGAGAAAGAAGACTGTTGTAATGAATGTTATTTTCATTGAGCGTAGAGAATTCTATCTGCTTATGAATGAATATTATTATTTTTTTATATCTATGCATATTGTGATGTTCGTTTGAAATTCTGTACTGCATCAACTACATATATGATGCTAACACGGAGAAAAGAAAACATGTTTAACTTAAATTCTGCTTGTGCTAAGTTTCTTCCAAAATCATTCATCTCTTGCCATTTTGGATGAATAGAATAAATATTATTTTGGATTGTATGCTAATGTTAGTGATGTTGCTGGGGGTCCTGCTTTGCGCGGCCGTGGTGTTAAGTTTCTATATCTTTAATTGTGTAATTTGTTGTAGATGTTTTAAACTTGAATTTTCGTATTTGACTTTGTATAAATTGAATGCATGATATTTTTTTTTGAGATATTATATATAATATGAAGATTTGGGTCATTCATGTAGTTTTGAAATTTTTTGGTAAAGGATCTCTTGTTTAGTATAGGACAAAGTGGCAATAGCGGTGCTTTTCAAAGAACTTTCTGGTGTATATGCTATGAGATTGGCAAGCCCTGTTTATTGTTTCATTCTTGTTTTTTTAACTTTTCCTTTTGTTTTGTTTTCAGAAGCATTTCATAGTCTTTGGCAGTTTAGTTTGGCTTTCTAATTCAGTCATGTCTTCTTTTAATTTGTGTAGGGCTGTAGGCCTTTTGAGCAAGAGCTAGACGATATTAAGTTTAAAGTGTTGAACAGTCTGATGCATCTCAAGATGTCCACATGTTGGCTATAATTTCCTTTTTCCGGCATAAAAAAGCAAATGATTAATAGAAACCTGGTCATATTAGTTTTTGAATGTTTCCCAATCACTTTAAAATAGGCATGTCATACGTTTAGTGCATCAATTGGGCAAATTTGAATAGAATTTGCACACTTTTAGAAGTTTCACTTATGTGAAGCAGAATTCATAAGTGGAGTTTATTGAATAGCTCTATATGATCTCTTATATTGATATCAGTAGATACAGACCTGTTCCCTCCTAAATCCCACTCCAAAATCTCTACCCCCTCCCTCCCTCAGTAATGTATGAGCCGTAGAATCCACTTCCACTTTGACAGAAACAGAAGTGCATATCTCTGTAAATGGGTCCTTCCTCACTGGGAATTAACTCCTCAATGTGATTTTATCTTATCTGAAGCAATCTTGTGTAATTTTGCTTTGATCTTTTAATTTCAATGTGAAAAAAAATATATAACTTAAAAGAATAAAAGACATAATAGAAAATATCAAATTTATATAATATTTTTGTAACACATTAAATGTTTACTCTCATCTCTTGGAGTATTGTACGCAATAATTTTATTGTTTTATTGAAATATATATTTAATTTTTATAGTTGACACTTATTTATGAATTAATCTTTATATTTAAAAATTTACATTTTAGTTTTTACACTTAAATTTATTTATGAAATTCTAAATATATAATTTTAATTTTACATTTTTGATAATGATAAAAAGAATTAGGATCATTGTTTAAATAATTTAAGGACAGAATCTTAATTTTTACAATTTTTTTTAAATAACTTGTTTAGAATTTATCTAAAATTATATTTAAACTAATTTATCTAATAAAATAATTTTTTTAAAAAATGCATAAATTTAAATAATATGTAATGTCTTACGCTTGAGGTATTTAGACCTTTTAAGTCAATGGTGTGATTTATGCAGGATTTTAACTGTATACATGACTGCTAAAGGTAACAAACTATTTATAATATGGTTGTAGCAAATTAAGCAACTTAAAGATTAAATATTTTTTTTTTAATTTTTGGTTTGTCTCACTTATAAAATAGCATGAATTTGGAACTTCTGAGTGCATTTTTTATTATTTTTGGTGTGTAAATCACATCTTTTTTACAATTTTTTTTAAATAACTTGTTTAGAATTTATCTAAAATTATATTTAAACTAATTTATCTAATAAAATAATTTTTTTAAAAAATGCATAAATTTAAATAATATGTAATGTCTTACGCTTGAGGTATTTAGACCTTTTAAGTCAATGGTGTGATTTATGCAGGATTTTAACTGTATACATGACTGCTAAAGGTAACAAACTATTTATAATATGGTTGTAGCAAATTAAGCAACTTAAAGATTAAATATTTTTTTTTTAATTTTTGGTTTGTCTCACTTATAAAATAGCATGAATTTGGAACTTCTGAGTGCATTTTTTATTATTTTTGGTGTGTAAATCACATCTTTTTTACAATTTTTTTCTTCTAAAAACAAGCTCTTTAATTACTCAACAAAAAAGAAAAATGTATAATAGTTTTTGAAATTTTTTGAAGCAAATATAAAATAAAAATGAACATCATAATTTCAAGAAAAAAATATATGAAAAGAAAATCTTTAAAAAAATAATAATAACATTATTTTATTTACTTTTGAACTTGTACAAAGTTTGATAGAAAAATGAACTAATCCCCGCAGTTACCACCGGGTCCTCCAAATTGGAGAGAATAGTCGACATCCTTTCCTTGATCTCCATAGTATTCAACACCATAGCACTCAGGTTTGTCAGTGAATGTTTGTGTTTGATATATCTGAGGTCCATAACTTTCTTCTGTTGTATTCTTAAAATAAACATGTCTAAAGTAACATGCATGAACGAAGTTATTATCAGGAAAGGCTCCAGATCCCATTGGAGGACTACGGGTACCTGCTGGAGTGTTTGTTCTTCCACCCCATCCCACTTGATCAGCTTTGGCCATGTTGGAAAATAAAGCTGCTGGAAAATATCCAACACTTCTATTTTCCATATTTAACCACCAATTTTTTGTCATCGAGTCCTGCGAACATACATAAACTTCTGTGAATATATGATTCTTGGCCTTGTGTCGTTTAATCTTGTCATTATATTAATCAATAATATATAGTTGAAAATTAAATTTATTTTAACTTAATATAAGCTGTATATCATTTTACTTTTTTAATAATAAAAATTTCGTAGCTCTGAGTATAACCTGTATAATAGCAATCGAAACCTCATATATGTCTCCGCCATAAACAGATGTTTCTTCCGCACGTGTACCAAGATGAATTTGGTCGTCAGTTTGAACAAAACCTGGACAGTGATAATTGTAGCATCCTGTCTTCTTGAAATTATCTGACTGTCAATTATGAACACATCGCACACTTTTAATACTTGAATTAATGAAATTTAAATACTTTATTATTAAATATATTTAGTTGAACAAAATTATCAATCTGTCTATGTTAACTAAAGCTAATATATATATATATATATATATATATATATATAATGAATCAGTCCTTACTGTCCATGCTGCGTAAACATGAGTTGCGTTATCACCGTATAACTGCGGAGCCACCTAATACCAATATGTGAGATAAATTAAGTATTGCTTTCTATGTCTTCAAATTGAAACCAATTAACAAGCTACTGTCCATATAATTTTTTTTAGCAAAAAATATGATAAATGCATCAATTAAAACTCACATGCCAACCAACCACAATTCTGTTGTTAGTCTCTACAGGTCCATTTTGAACCCATAAATAAGCAGCACTGATTTGATCCTTCTCAACTTTTGGATTCCAAAGACTAGTATCTCCACTAACTCCAGTATAAGAACTAGTTTTTGATGTAAGAATTACTTCTGCCCCCTACAAAATCATGAATAGATAGTAATTTATTATTTTTTGCTAATAAGCACAGGACTACTCTAAAAACTGAAAAAATAGATGTAATGTAGATTTATCAAAAATTCACTTAAGAACATTTGAAGTTTGGTGGGACAAAGAAACTTACATGTGTACCAGGATGGTCTTTGGTCAGCATATGATAATTGAATAATGATTTAGCTCGTATAAGATCCTCTTTTGTTGTCCTCCGAATAGGAACGGTGCCGGTTGGACAAGAGTACTTCTCAAGCAAAACTTTAAATCTAGTCGATGAATTCTTCGCACCAGTTTTTTCAATTGACTTTTGAAAGCTAGGTTTTCTCTACAATTAAAGAAAGCAAGCAAAAAAGAATAATGATTTAGTTCGTATGAGATTTTCTTTTGTTGTCCTTGAAATGAGAACAGTGTCGATTGGACATGAGTGCTTCTCAAGCAAAAATTTAGATCTAGCCGGTGAATTCTTCACACTAAGTTTTTCAATTGATTTTTGAAAGATAGGTTTTCTTTACAATTAAAGAAAGCAAGCAAAATAATTGAAAATGAGGGTAATCAAGCAAAGACTCAAAATTAACGACGGTCAAACGGAGTTTATAAATATCACTTTACCTGCAATTTGTGATTCTTTAATAAAGGATGGTCAAACGATGATTGCTTGTTAATATCAATGCAATCAACAATGTCCCCAAACTTTGTCTATAGAAACCAAAATACAACATAAAAAAATTATTAAACCATGTGCAGATTAATTAAACAAAAGAAAGCAGAAAGTGATGCAGAAGAAGGATATGAACTACATTAATACTCTTGATAGGAGGCTTGTTAACGATCTTCATATGGCTCTCTAACTCCAACTCTTCTTTTATTATAGTTTTAATACCATCAACGCTGTCAGTGACACTGCAACTCACCAAAATCAAGACGAAGAACAATATATTAATCATTTTCACAACTCTTTTGCTAAACAAAATGACTTGACAAAGCAATCATGTTTTACTATCACCTATTTTATACCAAGGCTGCAAGGAGAAGTGAAATAATAATACTAAAACAGAATTTAGCTAAAATAATTTTTAATTAAATTAATTATATTTTGTAATAATTTTTAATTAAAACAATATGTTTCTTTTGTAAGATTTATTTTACTTTATGCATATCCCTAAAAAAATGTTAATTAAATTAATTGTCTAATTTAATAATGATTTTTTAATAAATTAAATATTCCTTTTATTAAATAATTATTTTTTTATTTTGTAATAATATTGTTAAAAAATAATTTACCAACAACACGAAAGAAAATAAAATAGTAATATTACATCTAAATTTACGTCAATGTCTATCAATGAGAATTGAATTTTTGTAACTATCGATATTCTTAAAAAAAAACTTTGAAACCGAAAATAATGAAAATTAATTAAAATTTATAATCAAATAATAGTAAATTTGTAACTATTAATATTCATAAAAATCATGTAATAAAAATACAAATAATGGCAACCGATTAAACTTAATTTTTGAAAAAAATTAAAATACTTAGAAATATAAAAAAAGAACTAATATGATAAAAATAAATAAGATACACTATATATTTAAAAATTAAGTGTGAATATTTAATACTTTATGCCTTTATAATGAAATAAATAATTGTTAAGATTTATAAAAAGTAATAACAAACTAAATAATGATAGTTAACCATATTTATTTTATAACTATTGAAATTTCTAAAATATAACTGTGAAACTAAAATAATAACAAATGATTAGACATAATTTATAAAAATTATCAAAATTTAAAGAAAAATATTAGAATTAATGTGATAAAAATAGAAAGAATGACAATTGATGAGACATAATTGGTAAAAATTGTACAAATTTGTATAAACAATATAAAAACATAATGAAAAATAATATGATAAAAATTAATAGCATTCATGTGAAACGATAAAGTTTAAAAAGTTATTACATTATAGGCTTAATACAACATTGAGTAATGCATTAATTACACCATATATTTTAAATTTATGTTTATGTATTTAATACTCTGTGCATTTATAATAAAATAAATATTTATTAAGATCTAAAAAGTTGGTAAGAAACTAAATAAGGAGAATGAAATATATTTATTTTGTAATAATTGACATTTCTAAAAAATTAAAAAATATTAACTGATTAGAATTAATTCATAAATATTATCAAAACTTATTTAAAAAATATATAAAATTATAATCTTCTGTACATCTATCTATACATACATGTAAATTTGACTGCAAATATTTAATAATTTATATATTTTAAAATAAAAATTTGTTAGGATTTATAAAAACTAACAACAAGCTAAATAATAACAATTGAAAATATTTATTTCGTAATTATTGTTATTACAAAAAAGCTTTGAATAGAAAAATAATAATAACTACTTAGACTTAATTCACAAAAATTATTAAAATTTATTTTAAAAATAAAAGAAATAAAAATAAATTATATTTTAAATTTAAGTGTATGCATTTAATATTGTATTCATTTATAATAAAATAATTTTTTTTTAAGATCTAAAATGTTAGTACGAAGCTAAATAAGAAGAATTAAATGCTTAGCAAAAAAAAAAGAATTAAATATATTTATTTTGTAATAGTTGATATTTCTAAAAACACTTAAAAATTTAATTGGTTAGAATTAATTCTTAAATATTATCGAAACGTATTTATGGTCCAACTTACCTAAAACTAACAAAAAATTAAAAATAATAAACATTAATAAAAATATTTTTATAATAATAAAAATTAATATTAAGTAATAAATAATTATTTTTTATAAAAAATAAAAAATGAGCTACAAGCTAGCTCACTTTGGCATGCCATTGGCTAGTTAAAACAGTGCAGACTAATCACGGTAAAGTATTCAGTCTGAACCATCAAATTTGGTGGGTTAGATGGGTTGGCCTGTAAGGTCCATTCCACTCTATTATGTTAATCCTAAAGTAGATGTGCAAATTATGTAAAATTAGTCCTGTTTAAAAAATTATTTATGTATTATTTATGATGAAAAATGTCAGTTTTGTAAATAAATAATTCAAGAGCAATCTGAGAACTGAATTAGATCTTCTTTGAGTTCTTTTAAGTATTGTTAACATAACAGTAAAAAGGACGTTTCAGAATAAATAATTTAGCAAGAATAGTGAATATAAAACGCTTAAAACTGAATCACAACATAAAGATTCTTTACAGAAAAGTGTTAAATAAGAAACCAATTGTAGAAACAGGAACTAAATTGCGTGCAAGAAAATAAGTAAAAGGAATATAAATTAAAATGCAGAAAGGTAAATGTGCAGGAATGTAAACGTACGACTTCTCACAACAGCGAACAGCGGCTACCGTGAGTCTCCTTGTAGCTGGTGTCTGGCGCGGTGTAAGGTTTCAGCATGCAGAGGTTTTAGGTGTGGTGTCAGGGTGCAAAATGTCGTCCTCTGTAAAATGACGCTTTGGAGTATTTATAGGATGGAAGACCACCACCGTTCTTCTCATTTTGCGGCTACTTCTTAGTAACTACCTTTAACTGTTGATGCCCATTATCCACGATTGTTTGTGATCGTGCTGTTGGTTGGGGCTTCTTTCGTAACTGCTATCGCCTACGATCTCCTTTGCGTAGTGATGAATGTTGATAACTGCTGGTAACCACTTTTGGACTTTGCAATGACTTGACCTATCAAGACTTTTGTTTTTCTATTTTTCGAGTGTTTCTGGGAGAAGTCTAAGAGGCTCATTTAGTGTTATGGCCTTAGAATAATTTCTCCTTAACTTCTCTTTTCGACTAATTCTGGAGTTTTGAGAGCTTGTCTTGGTCTTGTGGACTTAGAATATTTTCTTTGCTCATTTATGTTTTTCGAGCAATTCTAGAGGGACTCTAGAGCTCAACTATGTTGGCAGACTTAGAATATTTTCTGACTACTTCCTGTTTTTTCGAGCAATTTTAGATGTCAGAGACTTGAAAACTCCTCAAAACTCCTCGAAAAGGCCATTAGTTTTGTGAACTTAGAATATTTTCTTGTCAGTCCTATTTTTCGAGCAGTTTTAGAGGAAAATTAACGAGGTGACAAAAACATATAAAATAGCTCAAAATGTGTCCTTTTTGATATGAAACAAAAAAGATAACTTTCCAATACTTCTCAAGTTTAGACCTATTTTTGGGCTCCTCCCTGATTCTCAACATTTTGTCGAAATGTAACTTCCTTTAACATAATTTTTAACTTAGAAAATTTTCCTTACCCCAAACATGTATAAACATAAGTATTTTGTTAATTTTATCCTAACCCTCAATCACTATAAATTTGTAAATCATGACTTTAGTATGAAATTTATAATTCAAGTCAGTACATTTTAAGTTTTCATAATTTTTGGTTTATTACACAATTTTGGTGATTTTCTGATTTTATATAAAATTACAGTGTTGAGTTAAATTAATGTATAATCTTGATTTACATGTAAAAAATTAAATAAAGTTTTAGATTAACCTTTGAAATTGTGAGCATTAAGTAAATTATAGATAACTTAAAAGATTTTCTTAATAATATTATATAATCATGAACAACTTAGAGGATTTTCTTATTTTTTTTCTCTGTTTCTATGAAAATCTTCTTCTCATTTGTCATGATTCTTCAAATATAGATATTATGGTCAGTAGTATAATTTGAATTGAGAAAATAAATGTTGGAACAATTCTAAACTTGTAAGTCCCTGCTGGGTCATGACAGGATCTAGTTCATATCCTATATATATATATGCTGTAATTTCAGGTTACAGTCAATTGCTACCAGAATTGCAATTCTTGAAAGTCAATTTCATGTTTCACGGTAGCTACTTAATTTTGGTAGCTTCTAACAAAAGCTCAATTTCTTATTTAAATACCTTATTTATTAATTTATTCTATTATTTTTATGATTATCATCACCTATTTATTCTTCTTTATTCTTCTGCTGTTTTTCTTTTCTTCTATTCTCTAAATGTTGTTTTCCTATATCATGAAACAAAAACACCAGAAAAAGAACAAAAATATTCAGCACCTGTTTGTCACCCAAACTTTGTCAAACAGAAAAAGAGAAGATGACCTACAATAAAAAATAAAAAAAAAACTAAAACAATTAATATATGCCATAAAAGGGCCCGTATTCAAACCACCAGTAGAAATTGCTCTTTGTACCTTTTTTTTTTTCTTCTTTTTACATTACTCTTTAGTCTTACCCTTTGTCTAACGCTACCATAACAATGATATCATCTTCAGCATATCATTCCTATGCTACCAATTGAAAATATATTATTTTTTACCTCAAATTGCTTTCAACGCATTATATTTATCGCAAAAAAACTGTACAGAAGTGGTATAAAGCACCGTGCTTCTTCTTCAACAAAAATAAAGGTACTTATTTCGAATAAAGGTTCCATGTGAAAGGTTTTCATGTTAAGTAATTGTTTGTTATACAAAATTGAGTATAAAATTAGATATTAAAATTTTAATTGAGCTTCAAAATTTTAATTATCATGTTTATATTTAGATATTTTTTTAGAACTGAGATTATAATTTTATAAACTAATTCTACTATCATGATTCACAATTTTTTTATTTTTATGGTTCTTATTTTTTCCTCCTCTTCTTTCTGTGTTTTCTGTTTCTTTTATACATATTTATTCTATTTTTTATATTTTTATTTTTATTTTTTTTCCTTTTAACTTTATATTTATGTTGATTATTAATATCACTTTTTTTTTAATATTTTTTATTCTTTTTTTCTTCATTTTACATTTATTATTAATAAAAGTAATTTTTTTTTGTTTCTTTTTCTTTTACTCTTCTATTGCGTCTTTTTTTTATATTTATTACATGTTTAATATGTTTACGTTACTGTATTGTATTACTTTTCAACACTTACTGTAATTGTTATTTTGTATTTTTTATACTTATCGAATTATCGTAAACTATATTATATTATTTTTCTGTATTTGATATAAACTATATTATTTATATTAATTATATAATAAATTATTTAATATTTTTCTTAAATTATTAGATGTTGAAAGAAATATTAAAATTAATAAATTATTAAAGATAAGAATAAAAATTAATATTAAATACAATATTTATTACAGTGAATAAAATAACTTTATGATATAAATAACATTAAGTAAAAGATAATTGCATTTTTTTCACTTATTTTTAAGTTTATTAGTATTTGTATTTTAGTTAGTTCATAAATTTTTTTTCTCCTTTTCTGGTTAACTTTATGGTATAAATAAATAAAAGTTAACATTAAGTAAAAGATAATTAAATTCTTTTCTCACTTATTTAAGTTTATTAATATTTGTATTTTAGTTAGTCCATAAATTTCTTTTCACCTTTGAGTACTGATTTCCCGTCCCTACTTGCAATATTAATTCCAGAAGTCATGTTTTTAGACAAGTCGCAAACAAAAGGTATATTTTCAATTTGAATTATTTTAATTGTGGGGAAGTGGGAACATACATCCAATTTTATTTTTATGGATTTCTTTTTTAGGCTTTACTTTGAATATTTTACCTCAATTTTCTGTCAATGAAAATCTTGTTTGTAATGTTTATTGAAGTTGTCAAAATCATAGATTATATACACAACTTTGGATCTTATTCTCTAAAAGTAACGAACTATATTATTTACACGATGGTTGTAGCAAATTAAGGAATTTAAGGATTAAATATCTTTTTGTTACCTTTAGTAGTTATTGTTTTACTTATAAAAGGAGCGTGAATTTGAAAGTTTTACATTTGGGAAGTGTGCAAATCATGTCTTTTCATTTATTTTTAAAAAAAACATTCTCTTTAATTGGTCATAAAAAAGAAAAATGTATAATTTTGTTTTTGAATGTTTTGAAACGAACATAAAACGAAAGTAAATAGCATTATGAAAATTACAAGCACAAAAAATAAATAAAAAGAAGTTCTTTTAAATAAAGACAAAATGATATTATGTTATTTAATTTTTCACTTCATACAAAGCTTGTTGAAAAGTGAACTAATTCCCGCAGTTACCACCGGGTCCTCCAAATTGGAGAGAATAGCCTACATCCCTTCCTTGATCTCCATAGTATTTAACACCAAAGCACTCAGGTTTGTCTGTGAATGATCTTGTTTGCTGTAAATCAGGTCCATAAAGTTGTCCTAATTTATTCCTAAACGCAACATGTCTGAAATAAGCTGCATGAACGAAGTTGTCATCAGGGAAAACTCCAGATCCCATTGGAGGACTAGGGGTACCTGCAGAAGTGCTTGTTCTTCCACCCCATCCCACTGTGTCAGCCATGGCCAGGTTGGAAAATAAAGCTCCTGGAAAATATCCAATGCTTCTATTTTCCATATTTACCCACCAATTTTTTGTCATAAGGTCCTGAGATTATACATAAACTTCTGTGAAATTATCATTCCTGGCCTTGTGTCGCATACACCATTCCTAATCTTGACATTACAATGAAAATTTCATAACTCGACCATAAATACCTGTGTAATAGAAATCGAAACCTCGTATATGTCTCCACCATAGACAGATGTTTTTTCCGCACGTGTACCAAGGTAGATTTGGTTATCAGTTTGAACAAAACCTTGACAGTGATAATTGTAACATCCTGTCTTCTTGAAATTATCTGACTGTTAATTGTGAACACACAAAATTATCAATCCATTGTGTTCTATGTAAGCTAATTAGAGTTAACAAGAATATATTTAATGAATTGAATATTACCGTCCATGCTGCGAAAACATGAGTTGCATTATCACCATATAATTGTGGGGCCACCTAATACCAGTATTCGAGATACATTAGGTATTGCTTTCCATGTCATCAAATTGAAACAACTTAATAAGTCATATGCAGATTATTTTTTTAGCAAAATGCTTCAGTTAAAACTCACATGCCATCCAGCAACAATTTTGTTGTTTGTATCTACCGGTCCATTTTGAACCCATAAATGAGCAGAACTAATTTGATCTTTCTCAACTTTTGGATTATAAAGGCTAGAATCTCCACGAACTCCATAAAAAGGACCAGCGAATGAGAAAACCGTTACATATGCCACCTACAAAATCATGAATAGATGCACATGATTACTTTAATACTGAAATAATAGATGAAATGTAGATTTATAAAAAAAAATAACCTAAGAACATTAAAGATTGGATGTACATAGGAACTCACATGTGTGCCGGGATTTTCTTTGGTCAAGATGTGATAATTTAATAATAATTTAGTTCGGATAAGATCCTCTTTTGTAGTCCGCCGAATAGGAACAGTGCCAGTTGGACATGAGTACTTTTCAAGCAAAAATTTAGATTTAGCTGGTGAATTTTTCACACCAGTTTTTGTAATTGGCTTTTCAAAGGTAGGTTTCCTCTGCAATTGAAGAAAGCATGCAAAAAAGAACATTTAAAGAAGAAATATAATGAACCAAAGACTCAAAATTAACAATATTTTAATTTAGTCTATATATGCCACTTTACCTGCAACTTGTGATTTTTTAATAATGGATGGTCTAATGTTGGTTGCTTGTTAATGTCAATGCAATCAATAATGTCCCCAAACTTTGTCTATAGAAACCAAAAGAAAACATAAACGAAATTATTCAAACATATAGCAAGATTATTTCAACAAAAAGAAAAAAAAAAGTGATTTAAAAGAAGAATATGAAATACATTAATACTCTTGAGAGGAGGCTTGTTAATCAGCTTCAGATGGTTCTCCAACTCCAAGTCTTCTTTTTGAATACTTTGATTACTATCAACTCTATAAGAGACACTGCAAGTCACCAAAATAAAGATGAAGAACAGTATATTAATCATTTTTGCAACTCTCGTTAAACAAAATGACTTGATGATAACTAATGTTTTACTATCACCTATTTTATACCAAGACTGCAGGGAGAAACAAAATAATAATATTATAACTGAATTTAGCAATAATAATTATTTATTACATGAATTAAATTTTGTAATAATACCTAATTAAAATAATATATTTCCTTTTTTACATTTATTTTACCTTATGCAAACCTCGAAAAGAAATCTAATTAAATGAATTGAATTTATTGCCTGACTTAATAATAAAAATATTATAATTATAATAAATAAGTATTTCTTTAAATAAATAATTATTTTGTATTTTTAATAATATTGTTAAAAAAATATACCAATTGGACAAAATAAGAACATATTAAAAGTTCCATAATATTAATTGCAACTATTTAATAGTTTATTCATATAAAATATATAAATACTTATTAAGATTAATAAAAAGTAATAGCAAACTAAATAATAAAATTATATATAATAATAATAATAACTTCATATTTTTTAAAAATAAAATTGAGAAGAAAAATAATGACAGTGATTATACTTAATTCATAAAAATTATCAAAATTTATAAAACAATATTAGAATAATATGATAAATTTAAATAATTACTGATATTAAAATTAAAAGCACTAATATTTATAAAATTTATCTGATAAAAATAAAAATAATGACAACTGATTACACTTAATTCTTAAAAATTATCTTTTAAGAAAATATTTTTAAAAAATTATGAAAGAACAAAATTTTAAAATTAATTACATTATAACTTTAATATAGCATTAATTAATGTATTAAGTACAATGTATATTTCAAATTTTAGTGCATGTATTTAATATTATATGCATTAATAACAAAATAAGTACTTATTAAATTTTAGAAAACAAACGGAAATTAATTAATGGGAGTTGAATATATTTAATTTGTAACTGTTGATATTATTTTAAACAAATAAATTTGAAAATAAAAATTTGATTAGACTTAATTCAAAAAAGTTATCAAACATTATAAAAATATGAATATTAAATTTGTAACTACTGATATTCATAAAATTTATCAGATAAAAAGATAAATAATTACAACCGATTAAACTTAATTTATAAAAAATATCATAAATTATTTAAAGTATATATCAATATAATAACAATAACTAGTATGATAAAAATAAATATAATATATATGAAAAGATAAAAATTTAAAAAATTAATTATATTATAAGATCAATACAATATTTAAGAATATATTATTTTAAGTATTAACATTTTCTTAAAGATAAAATCAGAATAAAAAAATAATATATTAACTATATATTTTTTTCAATGTAAGTGTGTATTTAATGTTCTACGCATTATATTAACAAAAATACTTATTAATATTTAAAATAATTAACAGCGAACTAAATAAACTTAGTTGAGTATGCTTCGTAACTTTTAATAATTTAAAAAAATAAATTTAAAAAGAAAAAAAATAATATTAATTGATTAGACTTAATTCATAAAATTTATTTAAAAACATATAAAAATATAATACTCTATACATATATGTAAGACTTACTTCAACTATTTAAAAAATTATGAATTTATGATAAAATAAATAATTGTTAAGATTTATAAAATGTAACAAAAATTAAACAGTGATGATTGAATAAATATATTTTATAACTATTAATATTTGTAAAAGATAATTTTAAAAAGAAAAATAATCACAATTGATTAAACTACCTAACAAATGAATTAATATGGAGTTGTTTGAATTTAATATAAAATTTTAAGTTTACGTTGTAATAAATCTTGTTATGTTAAATATTTAAATAAATAATTTTTTTCTTACATTAGTCAGTTTCATAATGATATTATTTAGCTTGAATCAAGAAAATAAAATAATAATTGGACTTAATTTATAAAAATTATACAAATTTATTTTAAAAATATATTGAGAACTAATAGGATAAAAATAAATAAGATATATACGAAAAATAAAAGTTTAAAAAGTTAATTATATTATAACTTTAATACAATACTATGTAATTATTATCTACATTATATATTTTAAAATTGAGTATACATATTTAATACTAATTTGTAAAAATTATTAAAAAAAATTGAAAAACATATTGACAACTAATAAAATATATATGAAAAGATAAAATTTAAAAAATTAATTACATTTTACCCTTAATACAACAATAAGTATTAAGTAATGTATAAACAACATTACATATTTTAAACTTAAAAGCACATATTTAATGGATTTAATGGATCCTATATAATTTTAGCAGAAACTATAGCGGCCAATCTAAATGTGTTTAAATAAAATTTGCTTCTATTAAATAAATTTGACAAAAAGTGATTATTACTTAAATTTAAAAAAAATATGCTTAAGCAAATTTAGTAAAAAAAAGTAATTTTTATTTAAATTAAAAAGGTATAAAAAATTTAATTTTATCTTCTTCATCTCTAAATTATAAGAAGTTTGAAGTTTTTTTTTTTTTTTTTTTTTTTATCAACGGCCACTTAGTTACCTAAGTCCTTACATATATTATCCAAATCGTCAATGCTTTTTTGAGCATTATCAAGGACACTTTGATTTGTCCCTTGGAGCATAAGCGTAGGCCTAAATTGACTTAAGCCGAATTGTCAAGCCACCGAATTGGGTTGGTAAGTGACCACTTGATAAGGCCTTGGGGTGAAGCTGTAGAAAAACAGTTGATAAGAGAGGAATTGCCTCAAAGTTATTGAACTCTCAGCTTTAGCACCTGGATTCTTTGATGAAAAAGGGCATTTGAACTCGACTGGTCCAATTTTTTGAGGAAAAAATGGGGCTAATTGAGGGCTGAAGGTATGAAGGTTCAAGAAGAAAGTGAAATATTGTTGAAAAACATCAGAGTAATGCTTCTTGGCAATACTAGTGGTGAGAAAAGAAAGACGAAATCCCTCTATCTCTCAAGAATTATTAGGAGGCTCAGAACTTTGTAATTTATCCTAAAAAATAGCATTCAGCCATAGCTGAAACAACCAAAATGGACCACTGATAATAGGAAGAGAATCATCATATCTAAAAAAAAGCCACTGCTTCTTTCAAGTTTTCGTACAAATTCTCCAAATAAGTTTCCCAAGACACACTAAAGACTCTTCGTGTAAAAGCTGGGCAAGAGTAAGAAGAGCCTTTGGAACTTGAAGTGATCTCGAGCAAAAAACATATGCCGAAAGCCAAAACATGAGGAAAGCAACATGCTCCTCATCAGTAACTAGACTAAATTGGACCATGTCTTTTCATATTTAGAGAGACGAAGAGTTGATAAGAAAGTTTTTGGAAATTAGAAATTATGTCTAGATTCTTAGGATGAGAATTTGGTCGAAACGAATGACCAATAGGTTTGAGCGCAACAATAGCAGCAACTTCAAAAAAGGTGGGGGTTATCATGCCACAAGGCACATGAAAAGAACTGGTACTTCGAATCCAAAAGAAAAGAGAACTCATGATCATGAGAAAATTATAAGACAAATTATACCTAGAAAGTTAAATTATGTCATAAATCCCTATCACCTTTCATCTGTCTTATTTTTCTTTTTTGACTCTATCTAACCAAGGAAGGTAAAGGTCTTTAGTAACTGGGGGCATAGTGCGCAATATTTTTTGCAAACTTTGAAGAGAATCTAGATTGTATTTCGAGGAAAAAGTTAAAATTCCCTCGATAGAAAAAGGAGAATCGACAGATTCTTGGGAAACAAAGGAAACTAAAAATGCATGAGGCTTCGAGTTCATTATAAAAGGAATGAGTACCTGGAATTTTCATATGGGCAGTTTCTCCTCCTCTAAAGGTGGATTGGGAAGGTAGCTTGAATGACTCATAGGCACGAGCTCAGCATTCGAAGTAGTCAAAGGAACCTTCGACTTGGATGACATTTCGAGAGAAAATCAGAGAAGGACTAGAGGAAGCAAGGAAATTTCAATACAAAAGAACTAAGAGTAGGAGAGTAGAGCTTCTGGGAGAAGAGAGTAAAAATGAAAGCGTAAAAATGAGAAAGTAACTTCACCTTTTTATACTGATTCCCAACCTCGCGCAAGGCCCATAAAATAGCTTAAGTCCAGAATATTTTGACATTTAGTGGGAAGTTGAAAAGATAGTGGAGCATCTTTTTAATCAAAAATCACCTAAAATCCCCATAGCGCACGTCTCAGTAATAGGATGTTTTGGGTAACTGTCAGGCACTATCTGCATTTAATGCATCGACTTTGGGCGACATGCCTGACACAAAGCAAGTAAGTGGCAGAGATGCCATAGAAATGGCGGGAAACTTGAAAAACAAAATTTTTTCAACTAATATATATTTAAAATATTAAAATCTCATAATCTGAGAAATTAATATTTTTGGGGGCATCTGTTTGGGGTAATGAAATTTTTCTAAGTTATAAAACCATATTGGAGGATGTATTTCTTTCGAGGTGTTTTGAGAAATTTTTCAAGTCCCTTACACCCAAAAAAATAATCGAAAAACAGGACTGGTAAGAAATTACTCTAAGTCCACAAAATTGAAATTTTTTTCGAGGTATTTTGAGGAGTTTTCAAGTCCCTTACACCCAAAAAAACTACTCGAAAAACAGGACTGGTAAGAAATTACTCTAAGTCCACAAAATTGAATTTTTTTATTAGGTATTTTGAGGAGTTTTCAAGTCTCTTACACCCAAAATTGCTCGAAAAATATGAATAATAGGAAAATATTCTAAGTTCACAGAACTGAAAGTCTTTCGAGGAGTTTTTTAGGGTTTTTCAAGTTCCTGACACACAAAATTACTCGAAAATCAAGAAGCAAATAGAAAATATTCTAAGTTCACAAACCTGGTTGAGCTTCATATCCCCTCCAGAGTTGCTCGAAAAATAGGAATATGCAGAGAAATATTCTAAGTCCACAAGATCAAAAAAGAGCTCTCAATACTCCTAAACTTGGTCAAAAAATAGAAACCATAAAGGGAAATTAATCTAAGTCCACAAAGCCAAATGAGCTTATTTGATTTCTCTCAGAAACTGCTTGAAAAACAGAAAAGTCTGTAAGAGTCATGATAGGACTTGAAAGGTCAACACAAGGATCAGAAGTGATTACCATCAGATGAAGATCCAACAACATGAAGAAAGATCATGGGCGATAGCAGTTACGGAAAGAGTCTCAATCGCCAGCACAATCATAAGCAAACATGGATAATAGGCAAAAACAGTTGGAAGTAAGCACGCACAGAAGACAGTTACTAAGAAAGTGCCTGCAAAAGAAGGCAGACAGTGGTGATCTGTCTGCCTATAAATACCTCAGAATTTTAGTCTACAGGGGATGACTTTTTGCATCCAGATACTGCACTTAAAAACCTTCGCACGCTGAAACCCTGCACTGCGCTAGACACCAACTTCCTGAAGATAAACGATTGTCGTTGTGTATTGTTGCTAAGGAGTCGTATGTTTATATTTCGCACCTTTACATTCTTGCATTTTAATTATAGTTTCTTTCATTTGTTTGCTTTTATTTCTGTTTCCTCAATTCAGTGCTTGTTTTGCACGCTTTATGTAAAATCTCTATGTTTGATTAAATTATGCGTGATTATTTTTTGCTATTTCTATTTAATCCTTTATTTCATAACACCAATTTTATTGTTATGTTAACAACACACTTAAAATAACCTAAAAAAGACGTAAATTCAATCTTCAGATTATTTTTGGATTATTTATTTACAAATCATCATGTTTTACTGTAAACACCTTGTTTCTTATTGAATGGACTTGAAATTATCTTGAAACTTTATTTGCTACTCAGGAACTTTTCTTCTTAGAGATTGGAGAGTTGAGGTGCTATAATACTAGATTTTAAGTAAAAAAAAAATCAAAATTAAGAGAAACAGACTCAAACAATTAATTAATTAATTAAAAATCTGACTTAAAGACCCAATTTCAAATACAAACCCACACTAAAATAAAAATAAATAAAATATAAGTCACAACTAAATTAAAACTAATTAAATTTAACAAAAAAAATGTTAAAATAATAGTCTTACATTAATAGCTTAACAACAAATAAAAAAATATATAAACAAAATGATTATAAGTCTAAATTTCTTAATGCATAACCATTAACTCCGTCACTCTTTTTCAATCATGAACTTGGTGCCAACATAGAGGGAGATATTTTTTGGCAATTGCCTCACACCCATTTCAGTAATCTATGTCATTAGGAAGAAGAAGTATTTCACCCTCAACGATATTATAAATTATGTGCAACTTAGTGGATTTTCTTGATCTTCTTTTTTCTTTTCTATGAAAATCTTCATCTTCTTTGCCATGAAGTTCTTCGAATATAGATGTTATGGACAGTAGTAAGAGAAGAACATCTCCTCCACCAGGCCGCTCTGTTGAATGATCCGGATTACACTTCTCCTCCACCAGCATGGCTGAAGCCCGTTGCATTTACGACTGGAACGCTTCTCGCTTTGGTCGTCGTCTTCCTTCTATAACCAAGTGTTGCCTCCTAGTGAGACAAGACCAGAAATCACCTTTGATCCTTAATTTATTTACTTTTAACTCTAACCCCAGCATGAGCCAGTTGAACATTAATTTATATAATATTCAGAGTACACATTATATTGCATTGCAACATTTTAATTTTAAATTTCAGAAAGGATCAAAGGAAGGAAACAGAGTTAATGGTTGTGCTTGGCGGGTGATTGAGGTTATGCCGGAGCATGGTCTTCTGGTGTGTGAGGGAGTGGGACTATTGGGCAATTTCGGCGATGTACTTCTCTTACCAGGAGGCAGCACTTGGTTACAAGAATTATAAAGAGGAGGAGGAGAAAAGCGAAGAGCGTGCCAGTGGTATATTCTATCGGTTTCAGCCACGCTGGTGGACAAGAGGTGTAATCCGGATCATTCAAAAGAACGGCCTTGTGGAAACGACGGGAGGAAGAAGGGGAAGTCGCCATTAGAATTCTGTGTCATCCTTGTGTGCTACAACAGTGTTAAATAAGAAAGAAAAAGGCGTCGTTGGATGCATGCTGATGCTTAGATGATAACACTCTGGTACCAATAAGACTCTCATACCCAAATCACTCTGGTGCATGCTGATGCATATATGATAACACTCACTCTCGTACGGATAAAACTCTTATTCTTTAACTCTAACTCTGAAATGAAACAAGCTGATGCATATATGATAACACCCTCATGCGGATAAAACTGACTCTTCAATGAAATAAGGCTAAATTTAACTCTGATTCTTAAAGGAAATAATGCTAAATTTTAACTCTGATTCTTATATGAAACAAGGCTAAATTTAACTGACTCTTAAATGAAACAAGCTGATGCATATATGGGATAAAACAATGATTCTTAAATGAAATAAGGTTAAAAACTTAACTCTGCCTCTTAAATGAAACAAGAAGGCTAAACTGAACTTTTTTGCTATCAAAGACTAATTCGGAATGGTGTCAAAAAATTGTTTAATGCGTATTAAATTCTATAATAATAATTTTTATTATTTATTAAGATATATTTTTACTTTATAAAAAAGTATTAAATATTTTTTAAAATTATTTATTTATGTATTTTAGATATATAGTCAATTAAACATATTTTATAGTTTAAAAATTAAATAGAATCGTGATCTTTAAAAAATAAATATAAATAGTTTTTACTCTTCAAACATTATTTTTCAATATAAAAATTTCAAATTGTGATAAAAACATATTGTTTATTTTTAATTGGTTATGGAGGAATGATGTGCTGAAGATGATATACGAGTGTTAAACAAAGGTTAAGAGTAAAGGCTTTGATATAAAGTATATTGTTTTATATGAAAATTTATTAAGAGTATTGTCGAAATGACGGGAGGGAGAAGGGGAAGTCGCCGTTAGAATAGTGTGTCATGGCCGTCTGTGCTGCAAAAAGGCGTGTTGGTGCATGGTGATGCATGTACGATAAAATTCTCCGTGCAATGCATGTTTTTTTTTTTACCACTTTTAATGTTTTTAAACTTTTTCTTACAAAGTTTTTTACTATAAAAAAATTTCTGACACTATTTTTTCCTTTTTCGTACAATATCACATGACACAATCTATTAAATAAAATAAAAATTATTTATTATTATATTATAGATTTAAACTTTTGTATTACAAAATAAAATAATGTATGCTAAATTAAAATTTTAAAATTAAAAATATGTATATATATATATATATATATATATATATATATAAACTTAAGTCATTATTTAAACTTTAAAATACGTTTTTAAATATAAATGTTCTCAGTAATTTTTCATAATTACCATCTTTATCACATATCATTCAAACCTTCCTTACTTCTTACCTTAAAAAATGCAACACAAAATTGTCTATGACTAAAGATTGGCTTATGGAGGTCTTCATAACCCAGTGTTCTGTAGAAATTTATCTTAACTCTGGTTAATAGCTAGAGACGATGAAGCTTAACGCAAGAAAAAAATTGTCTACGTTAAAACCTGAAAGGTTGCCTTGAACCAAAAGGAATTACAAGAATACATGGTATAAGCACTATGAGTTCAACATTGTTCCCTGGTTAGTTTTTAGCTTCTAATACATGAAAAGTGATTCTAGCTATAACAAATTGTGCAAAGAGTCTTATCAACGTTTCTTAACAAAATGGTGTTAACTTTTAATGTAAAATAGAATGAATTTTAAAATAATACAAAAGTTTAACTTAATAATATTTAAATCAAATAGAAAAAATTTTAAATAACTTATTTTAATAAAAAATTTAAAATTCTCTTTATTATACTTAACTTTTTATATTTATCATTCATAATTCTTCTCATACTTAACTTATAAACATCATTCATACTTTCATTATTTTTTAAAATTTTAAAATCTCTCACCCAAACACAACTGTAGTGAAGTTAAGGATTGGATTCTTTTATAATTCAAATTGTTTTTCTAGTTAAATATCATGTGATTCCTTTATACTCTTAGATCTGAGAAAAAGTATAAGTTTATTTCTCTCTTCTTATAATTGCTTTAGTAATACTAGACTAGTTTCTCTAATTTTCTTGCTCAAAACTTAAATAGTTTGTATCTGAGGCCTTGTTTTATGCTTATCTTGATTATACAGAAAAAGTAGTTTTAGTAGGCAAAAGTGAACAACATACAAGTTGGTGATTTTGCATAACTATCTCAAGAGGGTAACCTGTTGTGAAAGGGTCGTAGCCTTTCTGAAACGGATAAGCTCTCCAAGTAGTAAGCTGAAAGGGTTAAGAACCAACCAAGTATAGCAAATTTTCATTGAGGTAACGAGTTTTGAGCGGAAAAGAGAAATGCAGGAAGTGAGAAGCAAACAATATTTTCTTAATAGTAAATCAATAGATGGCAAAAAGTTGCATTCAGCCACTTTAATTTCATTAATGTTCATACTGACAAAAAAAGAAAAGGCCTTTTGCACGGTACCATAGAGTATCCTATAACGAGCAGAAACGAGGTTTTACCACACACCCTTCAACAAGATATCCTTTCCTATATCAGCTTCTTCTGCAAAGCTTTTGATGAGCTATCCTCCTGCGGCCTATATAAATCTGCATATACTCCTGCTTCTTCCCCAACTTCTTCACGTACCACTCACTTTCTCTCTGAATTCTAATGGCCTCTTCCCCTTCTCCTTCGGATCAATTCCACAAGGCTCCGCTAACTCGTCCCAATTACAGCTTCCACCCACCAGCATGGCTGAAACCCGTTGCAATTACCACTGGAGTGCTCCTTACTTTGGTCATCCTCATTGTTCTTATAGTCAAGTGCTCCCTCATAAGGGAAGAACGTCGAGGATTAGCTAGACAGTTTCCACTCCCCAATTCACCGGAAAACCAAGCTCCAGCGCAACCTCTGGCACCCATGGAGGACAACCATTGACCTTTGCTTCAAAATTTATATAAATTTCACATCACTTTCTTTGATCCCTCATCAAATGCTTAAAATTTTATATAAATTACTGTTATCATGCTGTTCACGTACTGTTTATTTCATTTAGTTTTTAATTTCGATGTAAAGTTACCAAAGCGAAACTCTCTGTATGAGCACAGTGATTTCCATGGATAATACAAAGGGTGTTGCTTCGCAACCTTCATATACATTGTGCTAATAGATTAACAGTATTGTGATTAAAGAAAAAAAAAAAGGAAACCCATAACAAGCATGGAGGTTAGGTTGTGTTGGAGATTAAAAAAAATGAAGGTTGTGTAATTTTGTTTTTGAATTTTTTGAAGCAAACATAAAATAAAAATGAATAGCATTACGAAAATTACAAGCGAAAAAAAATTATATGAAAAGATGTTCAAAGATAATGACATTATTTTAAATTTTTAAATAAAAATATATATAATGTTGCAACACAATTCTGTCATGAGTGTTGTTATTTGGTTAAAAATATATGTATAGAAGCGACACAAAGCACCGTGTCACTTCTTCAATGAATAAAAATATTAAGTTAGCAGGAAAAAAAAAGGAAAACTGGATAGAAATCAAGGCATGTATTTTGTATAAAAGTTTCATATGAAGGTTTTTCATGCTAAAACATTTAATTTTGAGACTTTACTTTGAATATTTTACCTCAATTTTCTCTCAATGCATTGTATGTCACTTAATCAAAATCTTTTATGTAACGTTTGTTGAAGTTATCAAAATTTTCAGATATTATTACACGAGTTTACATCGTATTACGCTAAATGTAACAAATTATATTATTTACACAATGGTAGTAACAATTTAAAGAACTTAAGAAATAACTATTTTATGATATCTTTGGTTATTGTCTCACTTATAAAATAGCATGAATTTTGAAAATTTTCATTTGATTATAAAATAGCATGTTTTTTTTTTCTACTTAAAACATGCTCTTTAATTACTCAGCGAAAAAAATTTGTATAATTTTGTTTTTGAATTTTCTTAAGCAAACATAAAATGAAAATGAATAGCATTATGAAAATTACAAGTGCAAAAAAGATATATATGAAAAGAAATTCTTTTAAATAAAGACAATGACATTAATTTATTTAATTTTTGAACTTGATACAAAACTTGATTGAAAAATGAACTAATTCCCGCAATTACCACCGGGTCCTCCAAATTGGAGAGAATAGCCAACATCCCTTCCTTGATCTCCATAGTATTGAACACCAAAGCACTCAGGTTTGTCTGTGAATGTTTGTGCTTGATATATCTGAGGTCCATAACTTTGTTCTGTTGTATTCTTAAAATAAACATGTCTAAAATAAGATGCATGGACGAAGTTGTCATCAGGAAAGGCTCCAGATCCCATTGGAGGACTGCGGGTACCTGCAGTTGTTCTTGTTCTTCCACCCCATCCCACTTGACCAGCTGTGCTCATGTTGGAAAATAAAGCTGCTGGAAAATATCCAATACTTCTATTTTCCATGTTTAACCACCAATTTTTAGTCATCGAGTCCTATAACATACATAAACTTTTGTGAATATATCATTCTATACGATATTCCTAATCTTGTCATTGTATTTAACAAGAATGTATAGATGAGAAATTAAATTAATTTTAACCTTATATAATTCTATCTTTTTATAATGAAAATTTTATAACTCGAATATTACCTGTATTAGAGAAATCGAAACCTCGTATATATCTCCACCATAGACAGATGTTTTTTCCGCACGTGTACCAAGGTAGATTCGGTTATCAGTTTGAACAAAACCTTGACAGTGATAATTGTAACATCCTGTCTTCTTGAAATTATCTGACTGACAATTGTGAACACATTGCGCGTTGTTATTATTTGAAGGAATAAAATTAAAAACACTTTGTTGTAAAAGATAATTACTTGAACAAAATTATCAAATTAACTGAAGTTAACAAAAATATATTTAATGAATCGATCATTACCGTCCATGCTGAGTAAACATGAGTTGCATTATCACCATATAATTGTGGGGCCACCTAATACCAATACATGGGATACATGTCATCAAATTGAAACAAATTAACAAGCCACGTCCATTTAAATTTATATATATATATATATATGGTAAAATGCACAAATTAAAACTCACATGCCATCCAGCGACAATTCTGTTGTTATTTTCTACAGGTCCATTCTCAACCCATAAATGTGAAGCACTAATTTGATCCTTCTCTACTTTTGGATTATAAATGCTAGTATCTCCACTAACTCCATAATAAGGACCGAAATTTGATAAAAGAGTTACCTCTGCCACCTACAAAATCATGAATCGCATTACTACTCTAATACTGGAACAATGGAATGTGATTTACAAAAAATAACCTAAGAATATTTCAAACTTGGTTGTACAAAGAAACTTACATGGGTACCGGGAATATCTTTGGTCAACATATGATAATTTAATAATGATTTCGTTCTTATGAGATCCTCTTTTGTTGTCCTCTGAATAGGAACAGTGCCGATTGGACACGAGTGCTTCTCGAGCAAAAATTTGGATCTAACTAGTGAATTCTTTACACTAGTTTTTCCAATTGATTTTTGAAAGGTAGGTTTTCTCTACAATTAAAGAAAAGAAGCAAAAATCATTGAAAGAACAAATTTAATCAAACAAAGACTCAAAATTAACAACGGTCAAATAGAGTTTATATATGTCACTTTACTTGCAACTTGTGATTCTTTAGTAAAGGGTGATCAAGTGATGGCTGCTTGTTAATATCAATGCAATCAACAGTGTCTCCAAACTTCGTCTTCATAAACCAAAATACAAAATAAACAAAATTATTAAACCATGTGGTGATATTAATTCAACAAAAGGAAGCATGAAGTATAAGAAGAGTATGAAATACATGAATACTCTTGACAGAGAGCTTGTTCGCGAGCTTTAGATGGCTCTCCAACTCCAAGTCTTCTTTTAGCGTATTTTTAATGCCATCAACGTTGTGAATGATGCTCCAAGTCACCAAAATAAACACAAAAAGGAATGTATTATTCATTTTCAAACTCTATTGTTGAACAAAATGATGATAAATCATGTTTTACTGTCACCTATTTTATACTAAAGCTGTGGTGAGAAATGAAACAAAAATACTAAAACTGAATATAACTAAAATAATTGCTAATTAAATTTTGTAATAATTCCTAATCAAAATAATATATTTCCGTTTTCAGATTTATTTTACTTTATCTTTTCCCTAAAAGAAATCTTAATAAATTAATGAAATTAATTGCCTGACTTAATAATGAAAATTTATTAAATGATTATTTTCTTTTTATTTTTATAATAACATTTCTAATGTATAATATACCAACGCGAAAGAAAATTAAGTAGTAATACAATATCTGGATTCAAGTAAATCTCTAATTGAGATCACATTTATTAATTTCAGGTTTTGTCACTATTTTGAGGATTTTATTATTATTATTAAACAATTCTGAACAATTGTAATATATTTCTAAAAAATAATTAATTTGATGAATTAATTGAAAATATTGCGGCAATGATTAAATAATTTTTCTTAAACAATGACACTATAATTAAGTAAAAGAAGAAATAGTTATTACTAAAGTCTATACATAATACATAAAATATTATATCGTTTATTTTGGTGGTAAAACTTATTGACTGAAAATCTTTATTGAGAGATAAAATATTATATTGTTTCTTTGTAATATAAAAAAAATGAGTGATAAATTTTATTTCGATATTATTTACGCTTTAAAAAAATTAATTTTCCTTATTAATTGAAAGATATTTAGTTAAAAAAATAAAATAATTACAGAGTGAAGAATGAAGGGTAATAATGTGTTTTCTTTCAAAGTTTGTGTTAAAATTGACCTATCATAGGAATATTTATCAGTAGAGTTTTATAATGTATCCTAGGTGTAGGTGATGGACATACAATAAGAAGTAAAAAATTGTTATAAATGTTAAAAAATATTTATTATATAAAAAAATATATAATAGCTACTTATTTAACTAATATAAAGTATTTAATAAAATATATTTAATACATTATATTATAGATTCATTGAAAAAAAAAAAACTTCTTAATTAATTGATTCAGAAAATTTAGTTGGTTTGAATACATATAGCATATTTGGTTAAGTATTGGAGTATTTTTTTATTAAAAATATATATCACACTTTTATTAATTTAATGTATTAAATATATTTTTTATAAAAAAAAATTGCTTTTTTATATGTTTAAATTTAATTTTAAAGGATGATAATAAAAAAATTAAATATTTAATTCCTGTAATTAACTTTAGTATCATTGACAAAAATATAACATGATTTAATAACAATAGTTTAGTAATTCTTTCAAACAATATTATATCATGTAAGGACTAAAAACAAGATTTATGTATATTCTAAGTTTTTAAGTTTTTTTAATCGTACAAATATAAGAATAGCATAGTAAACATTCCAAATGATGTTTTCTAAACATTTTTGCTTATTTGAATTAACTAAATTACACTTACAAATTATAAATTATAAATAGATAGATTCAACCTTTTTCAACACACTAGATATCTTTATTCAAAAAGTTGCATTTTGTTGATTATATGCTACCTTTCTTCAACCCTTGCCTCCAATAACTTTTTTTTTTCAATCTTTTTGTTAATCTTTGAAAATCCAAAAGCTTGATTTTTAATGTTCTATTCAATCAACTCTTGAATACAACTTCGTTCATATCATCATTAATTTGTGGTATAAAAAAATGATATTTTAGGGGTTCATAACAACATTCCTCTTTGCTTACTCCCATATTTTAGATTGATATATATAATTGAAGCGTTTGACTTTGAATTTCTAGTTCAACCTCCTTACTTTACCTTTGTCTCTAATTTTGCTTATAAGATGAAGAGAATATTCTTTTATCGACTGGACTTGAAAGATTTGGGGATAGGTTTCATAATAATCCGTGTATGGGGTAATTAGTTATTAGACCAACTCTAATATAAAATTCACAATAATTAAAAGGGATTAACTTGGAAAAAATAAAGATTAAAATGTATAAAAAAAAGCTTAGAAGGTAAGTAATCAATAAGATGACATTAAATTATTAAAACTAAAGCCTTTACTTTATTAGTTGATGCACGGAGGGTTTCATAACCCCTGAGCTAACTAGAGAAAAATTATAATATAAATTCATATCATTTTATTGTAAAGTTATTTTAATGAGATATTTTCAAATTAACAATTTAAAAATAAATAAATTATCATAAAATATAAAAATTTCAAATTTTCATTTAAAAAAATGTTACATGCAAATTGGTTCACAAAATCTATGAACTTACGATTGCCTAAAGGATATATGCTCACCTTAGAATGTGATGTTGAACAAATTAGTTCATTTACCAATAAGTCTATGTGATGTGATACAATGTAGGATAGATTGACTCTTATACCATCTTTTATAAAATGTGATTTTGTTATCGCTATATTATTTACACTAATGAATGATGGTGTATTTTTTTTTTTTCATCGGTTATTGTTTATTATATTTATTTGAGTGATAAATGAAATAGAATTAAAAGGTGGAATATTAAAGAAAAGAACTTTAGAGAGATAAAACGTATTTTGATGATCATTACGTCTTAAAAAGTTTAAATTTTAGTTATTGATTGAAAGATATCTTTAGTTAAAAAGAAATAATGAAACATAGAGTGAAGAATGAAGTTGTGGCAATGTGTTTTCTTTGAAAATTTGTGTTAGAAATGAGCTATGATAAGAAGATTCATCTATAGAGTTTTAATAATGTAACATAGGTCATGGACATACAATAAAAAATATTTTTTTAAAATATTTAAAATATTTTTTAAAATATTTAAAATATTTATTTAAAATATTTATTATATTAAAAATATTTAAAAAATGTAGTAATTTATTTAACACAAAATATTTAATAAAATATATTTAATAAATTAACTCATTCTATTCATAAAATTTAGTTGGTTTAGATACACATAGCATATTTGGTTATGTGTTGTTAATTTTTATAAAAAAAATGTTAAACTCAATCTTTAAGACAGAATTTAAATACTCAAAAAAAAATTAATCAAAAATATGTATCATGCTTTTAAAAATTTAATGTGTTAAATGTATTTTTTTTTTCAATAAAAAGTTACTATTCTTAAATGTTTAAACTTAATTTTAAAGACATTAAATAATAATATTTTAATTATTAAAATACACATTTAATTTCTACAATTAATTTTAATATTATTTTTAAAATAATTACACAATTTAATAACAATAAGAAAAAATTTAAATAATGTTATATTATAATATTATATTATATAATGTATTTTTACTTTTTAAAAAGAAAAGTTTTTTAAAAAAATTACAAACAAACATGCTTTAAATATATTTGTTAAAATTTTTTAATAGGATAAATATAAGAAGCATTAACAATGTAGTATGTGTTTAACCTCTTGCAACACACTAAATTTTTTCTTATTTTCCTATCTTTTTGCTACTTTCATATATATATATATATATAACAGCATATTCTTACATTGATATAAATTTAAAAAAAATTTATTTAACTTACATTTAACAAATTATAATTTATTATTTTACTAATAGTTAAATATAAATTAAATCAAAAAAATTAAATAGTGTAAAAAATTTTAAACTTCCTGAAGATCCTTCCAATGAAAAAAACGATTAAGGAAAATACGGTTCATATTCAGCATCCAAAATACTAGGCACATGGCGTTCATATGAAGGTCCATCATTTATCGAACTTCGTAAGGGTTAAAGTCGTAAAGACCATATAATTGAATCCCATTAGGATCCACCCCTTCGTGACCCAAAATTTAAATTCCATTTCCATACTGTGACCAACTCAGTGCTGACTCAATGCAAAATTGAGTATTTGACCAATGACACAAGGTACCAATCTGTCTCACCGCGGAGAGAGAAAGAGACGATAGAAAGAAAGGACATAACAATACGGCTAGTGGTCAAACCAGGCCAGGGAATTTTCTCCACCAAGGAAACAACGACTTCACAGCACACTGAAGAGGTCTTATCAACGAAAACATGGGAATATAGATTGTAGCGTACGAGGTTCTTACATAAGTTGATGTCCAGATATCAAGCAAGAGTCAAACTTATTACATCATATCACCTTGAGCTTCTCCTTTCCCTATCTTTATCTACAGGGCTTTCACACATTGACTCATAAACTTGTTTTAAATACGGGGTGTTCTTAATGATCGCTTTGGCCACACACCCACCAAGAATAACAACCACATTAAAGTCTGAAACAACAACCCTTTTCCACATTATGAATTTTTAAGTTAGAACTTGAGAACACAACAATGAGAAGGTAACTAAATCATCATCAGCTCAAGTCACTGTCCTCTTTGATAATTAGAAAGAAAAACCAACAAAGCCTCATAATAAGCTAGCTACCACTACATAATTTTACAAAGCAATTACATTAACACAAAATCTAAGACCACACCCACCACTTCTACGAAGTAGATCACTACATTTGACATCAAGACAAAGGAACCACTCTATGATTCAACACTGACTTCTGTCAATTGAGGCTTCACCTTGGGAGGTCTACCTCTTGGCCTTCCACTAGAGACGGTGGCAGGAGCCGCCACCGCCGGTGACCGAGCAATCTTCTTTGGCCTACCCCTAGGCCTGCCACTTCCAGTGGACACCTTAGCCTTTGGTGGCTTTGGTGGGGCATTCGGGTCCTTTGGGGGGCGACCCCTTGGCCTTGGAGGGGACAGAACAGTGCCTGGAGGCAAAGGAACCTTTGGTTTTGGGGGCCTTCCACGGCCTCTCCTTGGTGGGGCATTTGGGTCAGGTTTCATGTAGTTGTTCTTCCAGAACACAAGTTCTCCACCATCTTTCATCTTGTTGAGGTGATGTGACAAAAGGGTTGAGTGGCCTTCTGGTAACTCACCATAGGTAGATTCTATGTACTTAGATATCGCTGATTTGTTAGATCCGCTGGGTTCATTCAGGGCTTCCAGTGCTTTCATTATCATCTACAACAGTAACAACAGCATCAGCATACCTAGAGTAAGAAATTGGTAAGCATCTCCAAAAATGAAGTCTTTTTAAGCAACAGAGCTAAGATGTTGTGAAAAATCTTAAATCTTGTTTAAGGGTTTGTCAGAAAAACAAAGCACTCAAGGGTAAAATTTCATTAAAGGAAAAGTTTCAAAAAATAAAAGGTTTCTTATCTTTTGCTTGAATTGCTCTAAAACCCTAACTTTTTTCCTCCCTTGTTGCCAAAAATGGTCAAGATTTTAGCCCAGTGAACAAAACAAACAACCCATGAAAGTAAAATTGAACAGATCAAATAGATCAGGGTAAAATCTTCCAACTTTACTGGGAAAATTGCCACAAGATTTAATCTTGGAAAATAAATAAAAAGGGGAATCTTGATTTTGATGTGAATTACCTCAGGGTATGGAGGAAGCGATGGAGGTTTGTTAACCTCTTCAGTAGCCATTGAAGATGCAGGTTGTGAAGAAGTTCCAAAGCTTGAACAGTACCCTCACCCAACCAAGCGAGGCAAAAAAATGCAAAACTTTAACTGAGGCAGGTTCAAAATTTTTCAGGCGAGTGAAGGGTTTGATATGGATGACTCTTACAAAGATCTGAGGATTGAATTTAAAGGAAGATAAATAAATTAAAAATTGGAAAGAAAATTAATTAAAAAGAAAAAAGAAAAAAACTTCATGCCTCTTTTACAACTCTCCTTTGTTCATCTTTACGAGAATATGGACGGCTAGGAATCACCAAAAAGATGATGATCCAACGGTTGAGAATCTGTTTGGAGAAGGTCACTTGGATCGATGACGTGGCAGGAATGTGCTAGTTCACAGAAATTTTTGAAGGTACCCCGTTGTCTTTTTTGCATGCTCGTTCTTTTTGGATGAAGTTTTCAGGTAGAGACTATCCCAATTTTTAACTCATTTTTTATATATAAAAATGGTTTTTTTTTTTTCATTCAAATTTTAGGAGAGTTGCAGGTTGAAAATCTACGGGCAAAATTTCGATCTTTTTATAGTATCTATTTTTTTAACAGTTATTATTCTTAATTTAATAATTTTCCATTTTTATTAAAAATAGTTTAAAATAAACATATACATTAAATGTCATAATTTTAATAGAAAAAAATTATTCTTGAAGGACTAAAATATTTTTGAAATTATACTCGTTATCTTGGTTTGAACATTGACATTTTTTTAATTTTTATTAATTGCTTGAATAAAAAAACTCAAGTCCTTGTAAATTTGATAATTTTTAGCGTAAATAATTTGTCTTCAATAAATATTATATAACCGTAATATAAAACATCAAATTTTATTAATCATAAAAATATTAAATTTTATTAAATATAATATTTCTTGTTTAAATCATAAATATTTTTCACTAGTAACAATCATTCACTAAGGATGAGATTGCTATGAACAATAAATTTTTTCTTTCAAATATTTATTTACTATACTCAAATTTGATATTACAGGTTAAGTTAAAACATATCATTTCTCCTGAGTGTTTAGTAATAAAATTTATTAAATATAATTAACAATCAATAAATATTCTATAACGTTAATATACTAATAAAAAAATTGTTACCAATATAATTTGATTTGAAATGAAAAATTAAGAAATAAAAGATTTTGTTACACAACACAAATTAAGAATAAAAAAATTCATTGTCTTTTATTAAATTATTTGAATTATTTAGATTTTTTTGGTAACATGTGTTTGATATTAACAAAGCTTATAAATAAAATTGTATGTTGCTAAAGAAATAATTATATGCCGGATTTTCAAAAGATACATACATATAAACTTAATTTGTATTTCAGTTTGATTATTTTAGGAGAAACATTTTTTTTTTCAAATGATCTTTAAAATATTTTTTTAAAAATAAATTAAATCAATTTTACACTCATTTGTGTGACTTTGGTTGTGAAAATTTTTAAAATATTATAAGTTTGCGATTCAACTTATGAGTATTAAATATTATTCAGAATGCATATGTACTAAAATTTTAATTTTAATGTACATACATATGTATTTGTGTGTATGTATGTATATAGAGATGATTGTATACTTATAGAATTATTATAGATATTTATGTGTGTATATTAAGAGGCCTGATAACACTTACAACAAAATTGTTAAATCAATCTACATTAAATATTCAAATAAAAATTAAACACGCATGATTAAATCTAAAAATAATTTAGTAGTCCAAAATATTAACAAACTCAATAACTAATAATATAATAGTCTTCCATATAAAAGAACTTTAGGATACCCATATGAAATAAGAAAGAATAGTTTTTTTTTTCTTGATTTTTTCTTTCTTTCTAGACTAGCATGTGTCCAACAAGTCATACCATCAAGGCTCAAAAGCAACAAATAATTCACCTTTTAGCAATAAGAATTGTTACAATTAACTAGACAGATGATGGAAAGATATAATATAGGAGTTACAATGATATCATGACAAATTTGACAAAGTCACATAGTATAGTTCCAATGATTAATAAAATACTCTAATAAGTTCAGTTGCGTGGAAGAAAAGTGACAGTGACAAATAAAGGATGATGACAAAAAGATGAAAAAAAAGTGTTTATACCATTAACTCCAATAATAACCCAATATCTACCACCATGTGCATAGCAGATTTGTGTGATGCAAGTTGTATTAATTAGTTAGTGTTTACTGGTGAGTACTAGTAGTCCTAATCCTATTCTTTTAGATGGCTAGTTGGTATGGAATTTCATATTAGTAAGAATTGCATAATTGGAGACGATTTCTTGAATAACCATTTCCTTTCTAGATTTTTCTTTGTATTAACCAGTGTTGTTATTCTTGAACTTGTAACCTCTTTTTTCTTGTAAGAAACAACTCTTCGTAGACGCACTCTTGTCGTGAATGATCATCTGGTTACTAAACCACTCCCCTACCAATTTTCCCACAATCCTTGTCTCATTTAGCAATATCTCTATCCCTGTCAATTTGAAAAAATAATGCAGCACTTGCGTCAATGATAACTTTTTTGGAAACTCAGGAAAACTTAAGATGACATTCAAAAGTTATAAAATGTGATTCATGTAAATTTATTTGTTAATTGCATGATTTCACCAAAATATTTTGAAAGATTATAGAATTAATGAATTGTTTTTATTTGTGTTTTCCTTTGACTAGTGTATTCTTAAGAGGGATAAAACTAGGTACTCCTAGTAATGAGATTGTATTAGTTCTACACACATAATTCTAAAGGTATTTTTGTGAGAGAGTTCTTGGAGAAAATGGCATGTTTTTTAAATTTTAAATTAATGTATATATATAATTTATGATTATTATATTAAGTTCATATTAATATATTGATTTATATTTCTTCCAAGTTATAATATTGCACAAGTTAAAAATTTAATTTTAAAATTATTTTTTAAATATTAATCATCACATGTGAATTCTACATGATTGGAGGTTGATTAATAGCAATTAACTTGATTTTTCTTTCAATAGTTTTTTTTTCCTTTTTATGTATACATAAATTAAGCAAATAGGTAGGTTTTTTTATTTAAATATTATTTATCTTTATATTTTTATGAAATGTTAATTTTAATTTTTTTTAAAATAGTTTTATTTTTTATTCTTTTAAATTAAATAATTTTAGTATTAAAACATATTTAAATCAAGTTGACACATTTTTCATTTCATCATGAAGTTATATTAGTGAGATACATTCAATTAATAATTTGTAAAACTATAAAGATTAAATAAAAAAACTAAAATAAATTTTTTTAAAAAAATTAGACTATTTTTCTGCAGATGATTTTTTATATGTCCTTATTCCTTCCACTCAATTTCTAGTTTAATAAATGGAATGAAAATAATATGGGCAAAAATAGAATCATCAATTTCTTTTTTTTTCTTTAAAAAAAAACGTTGAAACACCTATGCGACTCAGTCACGTGTTTCATAACCAGTTCCAAAAATCAATGATAAATGACTAACTGGTTATTTTATCCATCCCTTTTTAATCCCTTGAAATTGAGCCAAATGTAAGTAAGAATATCAGTGTAATTAAAACAGGAAAAAATACTTGCAGAGAAGCGAAATGGTTCTAAGGCTACTTGAAAAGTTAATTCAATTTTTTATTTTTAAATTTAAGATATGGATATTTTTAATTTTTAATTAAATATTTTTAAAAATTATTAAATATATTTAAATTTTTTTTAAATCTATCAAAATTTAAGTTTACTTTTATTTTCTTTATTTTAATCTCTTCACTTTTAAAATTTATTTTTCTAGTCTTTTACTATTATTAAATAATAACATAATCAACTCAAATATTGTCACATATCAATTTTTGTAAATATATTTTGAGGGATTATAATATTTAAGTCTTTTAAAATTTTACAGTTTTTGTCTTTCATCAAATTTTTTCTTCTTAAAATCCTCAAAATTTAAAGAATTTATAATAGAATTAGATAAAATAATTTTCATAGTTTAGAAAAATAAAATTAATTGTTAAATTTTAAAAATTTAATGATATATGAGATTAGAATTTAAAGAAGAACCTTTTATGCGGATAAAATTTGGTATTTTGGATAATTAATTTTCAACAAACAATAATTTAATTTGTAATTATTTTATAAAAATAGATTTAAAAAACTAAATTCACACAATTTCAAAATAAAAATTTAATTGACTGAAAAAATTAAGAAAAATAAAATTATACATAATTAAAACTAAAAGAAGCAAAAATTACAAATCGAGGTTGCTAGAGCATAGGCTTACTACTATTCTCTTCGTTGGCCATTAAACTTGTCTTTCTTAAGCTCAGATTCCCACTGCCAGAAACAACGTAGCTTGCACAAATTTCACAAGGTTTTGGGAACCATCAGCTTTGAAATGAACATTCAACAAATTGAGGATTATTAGATACTCCGTAACCATAAAGTAAGTATAAATTAACTAATAAATAAAAACTGTTTGTTTTTCTCCTTCTTGTTTGGATGATTTTTAACAGGTACGAATTCACAGACAATGACACAAATGACATGGCATAACACAAGCATATTCCATTAATCCAATTCTGTGAACCCCCAAATCTGAAAGTAAATGCAGACATAAAACCGACGACATTGCTGTCACTCTCTAATAATTCACTTGCCGTTTTAAGGAAACTGTTTCGTAAAAGGTGCAGATTTTCTGTGTATGGAAATATGGACTATGGAGTGCTGTGTAGGAACGAGGATTGAGAGCTAACAATGACACACGGATTGATGACGTGGCATGTGCTATTTTTAATTATTAATGTTACTCTCGAAACACTTTTTCCTCTAATTAATGTTTTCGGTAAAAATTTAAAAGACCTGCGAATGCATAACATTTAAAAATGAATAAATTTGTGGAAGATTAAATATATTATTAGAATTAATAAAAATAGAAATAGCATAGGTATAAAATAAGCTTTAATCTTGTTTTATATTTTTTTATTAAATATATTATCACATATTCGATGTTAATGTTTGTATTTAAATGTAGGTGTGATTTCTGTTTTCCAATTTTAAGTATGATAATTATATTTTAATAGATGAGCAATTCTAATATCTCTAATTTTAATTTTTGTTTAAAAAGTAAAAGGAATGAGCAGTGGTATGCTTGTGGATAAGGGTACAAGTTAGGAGTAGGTATGGGATGAGATGGTCCCCGAGAAAGGCAACAACAACATCAGAATCAGCGATTCCCATTTATACGTCGCAATCCCACCCCCCAAACTGAGGAGTAGGATCTCCTACTTTTTGTCACCACAACATAGACTATGGATGCACCCTCCCCATTTTTGTAAGAAAATTCTTACTAATTCCACATTTCTATTTCAGATTCAGAAACTCCAAATTATTATTTCATAAAGGAGTAGTTTTTATAAGAAATAATATCTAATTTATTAAAATTAATAAAAAATAATTATATATTATAACTTGATAATGTATTTTAAAAATATTAATATTAATATTTTTAAAACTTGTATTGCTTTTTAAGTTTTATCCACACACTTTTTAAAGCATATTATTTGAGAAGCCAACAAAATTTAATCTCAAAATCGGGCTAAGTTACATGTAAAAAAGCTATAAACATGGATCAAACCCGTATCATTTAATTAGACCTGTATGAAAGACTGTAATAAATAATACTATATTTGCATTTTTCTCATACGTGGTCCATAGTTTAATTTAAACCGGACCCCACCTTATTTTATGCATATTTACACTAATTTTATTATACTTCCTGTGTAAGATAATATGTTTCTTTGGACGTCAATGTAGTAGTATTTTTTTACATTTAAAACAGTTGGTGTACGTATTCTTACTCTATATATATATATATATATATATATATATATATATATATAAAGTTTATGATATTTGATCCCTACATTTTTTTTATTTTGAATTTATTAGTGTAATATAATTTTTTACATGTGCCTATAGTTTCATACTATTAAGATAATGGTCACCTGAAGTCCTGAACCGAAGTCTTAATACCTTACTAAGTTATACTATAGAGACCTATAATATATAGAAATTATGGATTGCTACTCAACTCTACAGACTAAAACTAAATAAGTGAAAAATATAAAAACTAAAAATATAAAAAATATTATAGGCATGGAAATTCAAATAGATGAATCTGGTAAATATTACTTTTAATTAAGTTAACGAATTGGATGATAATTTGTCTTTCAAATTTTAGCTCAGTCATGTCCATGAATCATACACTATTTTTGGCCACAGGAAGAGAGAGATGTAAAATAGATTGAGTCATAACTCAACTCAATTATTCAAAACTTTGTCTCACTGATCAATTGAGTAATAACTCAATAAATTGTGTGAAATAAATATTATTAGTTGTAGCTGTAGTAGATGATGGTGTCAAGAAAAAGTTGCATTCTCACTTTCTACCGTCCCTTTTTCTTCAGGTCTTTTTTCACTTCAAAATCGATGGTAAAATTTGAAATCAAATAATCTCTTGTGGTATAGTTTACCATAGACAACATTGATTAACAAATAGATACAGATTATACATGATGACGGACACTTGATTTTGCCGTGAGGTTTACAAACCCATAATTTTAACACCCCATTCTACCTTTTAAAAAATAACACAAAACACCCCATTCACCACTCTACAACTTCCCTACTTTGCGTCTTCCACCTAACATAGGATAAGGAAATGAAAGATTTAAATAACCAGATTTGATGTGTATACATATATATAATCCCAGAGAGGGTTTTGTTTTTGGGTCGAAATCCCAGAGTGGGTTAACTTTGGACAGATGTGAGGAGACCAAATGAAAACTCTAGTCCAGCAAAATTTTGGGCTTTCACAATTTTTGTAGGTAGCCCACCAAACTGACACCTTAACAGACTTAAACTTTGCAGTCTGCATCTCTTTTTTACCAATTTAATAACAAACCATCCCATGACACCAAAAATTCCTCCCTCCATCGGAGAAATTTTCTGAACTTTTGCAACAAAATTTGGTCACCATATGTCTACATGATGCAGGATGAGAAAATACTTTCCACAAATCCTAAATGTGCACATTCATCATGAAGCAACATCTGCATTTAGCAACGAGTGAAATTTTTCAGTATTTTAAAACATTGATGGGAGCTAGAATGAATTTTGATATAAGTACATAATTACAGACCTTATGCCTACATGTCTTTAGTTGGTGAATGCAACTTCACTATAGTGGATCATTACCCAAGTTCTTAAGCCTGAGTTCCACAGCCTTAAGATCACGAAGATGTTGCAAGATTTCTTGAAGCAGATCCACTCCTTTCTCTCCACCATTCTGTATGGAACCCATGCAGTGTTGAAGAAACTCCTTATCTGTTTCAAGAGCTTGTAACCTCTCATAAACACGATCAACCTCATGTTCAATGGATGTCTTCATGCTATCCATTTCAAGCATAGGATCTAAGTTTTGCATATCAACTGATTCAGATTCCAATTGTCTCTCAAATGTGAATGTTTCTTCAGTCTCATTGTCAGCTGCATCTAAATATGGCAGTAGCTTCTTTGCCAAGGAACCCATTGTTCTTCTTGAAGAGTGTTTATCATCTGAAAACCCATTAGAATACTCATTCTCCTCTAGACTGATAAAGTTGCAGTTTTCATTTAAGTCTTTGTCACCATATATTGATGAATGCTCAATCAATTTGATGTCATCAAGCAATTCCTCATTATCTCCCAAAGAAATAATCTTTTCCTCTAATGCTTTGAGTTGCTCTAGAATGGATGCTCTCTCTTCCTCAAATTCTGCCAATGTATCATCAAGAGCACTTACATGCTTTACACAATCTATTGCCATCTCCTCCAAATTAGAAACTTTATCCTCAGTTGCATTCTTGTCATTGCCTTCATCATGGTTGAAAAAGCCATTATCTTCGTCCTTTGCCTCGCGGTTAAGATCAATGGATAGCTCATCAGTGTAGCCAGTATTGCTGCAAGAAGAAGAGGAGTCTCTACTTCTTACAGTTCCATCTTTCATTCTTCTTAGCACGCTTAATTTCTCTTTTGCTTCATATTCCATTACCTTCTGCCTGTACTCTTCCAATTCCTTCTCAAGTTCTTGCTTCTCTTTCTCCCTTTTCATCATTAACTCATTCAAAAGTTGCAACGCTTCCTGATCATACTCGGATTGTTCTTCCATCATCCTCTGGTATTGCAATGCTTCCATCTGCATTGCAGCCTTTTCCTCCTGCAGCCTTGTAATCATTGCCATTGTTTGGTTGGCAGCTACTGCTGATGCACTTCTCTCTTCTTCTAGCTCTTGATATACAGCACTTAGAGCCTTTCTTTCGGCTTTTAAAACTGTTTTTAACCTGTCAATTGTTAATACTGGATCTCCATATTCTACCTCACTTGCAACACTACCATCCACAGAATCATCTGCTCCTGATTCTCTTTTATGCAGGTCATGCAGGCCATCTACAAAACTAGGAGTCTCAGGAAGTTTATCTTCTTCTACTTCATATGACTCTGAGCACTTGGCTGGTTGATGGCTTGTTTCGTCATGATTTTTCTCAACCGAGATTGTTTTCTCAATCATTTCAGCATACTTGTGATCATTTGTACCTGCTTTACCTGAACCTGGATTGTTAATTTGATAATAGTTCAATTAAAGTATGAAGATGTTACATTGAAAAAAAAGAAAAAGAAATATTTTTTTCAAGAGTTAGCGCTTCACATTTAGAGAAGGTTAAAAAAAAAAATAGGGTACTAAGGTAAAACTTACAAAGATTATTCTGTGCAATGAATTCATCAAAGGCATTAAGAGCTTCAGTATCATACTCACTTGCTGAAGATTGATCTTCTGGTATGGTTTGGCATGAGCAGGCTGGGTCTTCTGATGGAGGCAGATTAACTGTGTGAGCAAGTATTGAAATCATAAATGTTTGTCATAATGCCAATCTCTCAAATAAAGTATGCTAAAATAAGTCTTTTTTATTCCCTACATATGCGATAATAATTCATATACTAGCTTATTAGAAGACATGAAACATCACAATTCATGCACTTCTTTGTACCCTGTGTATTTTCTGGTTCTTCAATAGCTGCTTCTATACTTTTGTCATCATTGGATAACCTTTGAGACTTTCTTAGATTATTCTGAGAAATAAATTCATCAAAGGCATTTTGAACTTCAGTATCATCATCACTTGATGAAGAAGATTCATCTTCTGCCATGCATTGACATGAGCAGGCAGGTTCTTCAGGAGGAGGCAGAGTAACTGTGTAATAAAAGGTTTAAGACATAAATGTTCAGGACATGATCTCTCGAGTAAAATATGCTAAAGTAAGTTATTTTTTCTACATTCATTTATCACTATTAAAAAACAAGTCAACTACTAGACATGAAACATAAATTTTGCAAAGGGATAATGTTTAATTCTTAAAATTCATGAGCTTCTTTGTACCTTGTAGCGTATTTTCTGGATCTTCCATACCAGCTTCTGCACTTTTGTCATCTTTGGATAAATTTTGAGACTTATTTAGATTATTCTGAGCAATGAATATGTCAAAGACATCTTCATCTTCATCGTCATCATCACTTGACGAAGATTCATCTTCTTGTGTGCTTTCATTTGAGCAGACCGGTTCTAGATATCGAGGCAGATCAACTGCATGACCAAAAACTTGTGATTCTTTATAATCAAGACTCACAACAAGCTTAATAAGATCATTCAACAGAAGCATGCTATGCTTTTTGTTTCTGACTTCAATAATAACAATAATATAAAGGAAATAGGAAATGTGAATGACACAAATTTGAATAGATAATGTTCAATAAATTCTACAAATCATTCACTTTCTTGTACCTTGTGTATTATCTCGTTCTTCAGCAGCTGCTTCAACACTGTTGTCATCGTTCACCGAAGTTTGAGCCCCTTCAGTAGTAATCCCTTGTGTATATACTTCAACTACTGAATTCTGTTCTGAAGTCATAGATTTTGCCAAGCTTTCAAGTTCTCTCATGCTTGTTTTCTCTGTATTCATATCAATTGTGAGTGATCCAACCCCTTCTAAGGTAATTGATTGTGCTTCAATTGGTGCCTCAGTAGCAAAGGTCTTTTGCTTCCTCTCTCCAAGATCCTCAGTAATAGAGTCTATTAACTTGACAGGTATCAAGCGATGGCTATCACAAACTTTAAAATTCTCGAAGTGCATATTGATGAATTCAAGTGATGTATCTTCCCAGAGTGAACCCTGCATGGTGGAAGTGAATTGACAAATAAAATTGTCGTCACCACTTCGATCCAGCTCTGTGATGATAAGATCATCATCCTTGTCATCTTTTTCTGCATCCTTTTCATCTGAATGCAAGTTTGAAACAGAACTTGAACGATCCTCAGCCACCTCTCTGAGGATAAAACTTTCAATATCAGAAAGTATCTGATGCTCATCTGCTACCCCTTCATCATCATCATGATCTTTCTCAAACTCAAGCTCTTTATCACCTTCTTTTTCATCATCTATTGCTTCTTCTACAATAAGTGACCCTTTACTTGGGTAGTCCTCATCACCCCAAGAAGGCTTCAATAGCAAATAAGAAGGGTAAAACTGGCTGTTCAAGCTCTCATTGCAGCAAGAGCACCTTCTTATGTTCTCTTCATTTTCTTGCTTTTCACGACTCACCCATGAAATGAAAGCAATCCTGCGTCTCATTGCAAAGGAGTTTTCATGATGGTTTGGTCGAGAGGCCAAACAATCCTCACACATGCTTTGTGTTTCTGCTAGTCTTCGATGATTTGAACAATAACCCAGCTTGGAAATCTCAGCTGCATGAGCCTCACACACAAGATCCTTGTGCAAATGTTTGTTCTTTTCTGACTGCAGTACATGATCAACCCTTGAACACCAAAGACATGGTGGTTGGAGACCAACCCATTTGGCAAATTTTGTGATGAGATAACTGAACAAAGAGTTGAGAAGAAGAAGTGCAATCAAGACCCATTCTAGAACTGCATACACTAGAATTACAACCACTTTGTTGGTGTTTCTATGCAACATGGTTGCAAACTTGTTGGTAGCCATTGATGTTACCTCTTTCCAACCTTTGTTGTGACTTGTGTGGTTGTGTGTGTTGTCACTGAGAGTCTGAGAAAGATATTGGGAAATAGGCAGAGGAAGGGAAACAAGGAAGGAGCACAATGGTACAAAAAAAGAATAGAAGAAAAGTATAGAGAACAGCAAAGAATGAGAAATTGGCAAGAGAAGCAGTGTCTGAGAAACGTGCTAGTGATTCAGTCACTGTATCAGTAATATGCATCATTAATAATTACCTTTAGACTAAAGTGGATCTCCGCAGTGACTTTGATCGTAATATTATATTTTATCTATGGTTGTTTCAGGGGCAGCCCGACATGATAATAACCTGGTAATATTGTTGCATGTATCTTCTTTTTTGATCTGTCGCACCATATTGTATTTGCTCGTATTCATTCATCCAAAGTGAATGCACACTTTGGGTTTGGAAAATTGGGAATGTGAGATCACATAAATGACGCATATTTTGTTTGGATGTGCAATGGTGTACACATCAAAGTAAGTAAAATTATTTTGACAAAGAAAATACCATCAATAACTTGACCGATCATAATAACAACAATAATATGTATTAAATTATAAGATTTTATTAAGTTGAATTTAAATTCTTTTATTAATAAAATATTTATGACAAAAAAAATAAAGAGTATAATAAATAATTTTATTAATTATTTAAATTCAGTTTTGAACTTAAGAGATTATGTAAACTGTCAGAACTCTTCACCGCTGACATAATCCTAAGCTTACAACAATGATAGTACTAACAATCAAACAAAACAAAAGTAAGTTGGGATAAAAACAAGATTTTCTCTTAAAATTGTCTGAAGCTTGAATTATGTATTTAATTTATTTCCCTTCTATTTGATTATCCAATGTTAGGAAAGACAGAAATAGTTAATATATAAATTTCAATACATATATAGAACTTTCACTTCACTGATGAGATTCACACATATGTAACCATCGTTCAAGACACAACCAAATGGCAGCAGAAAGTTAAAGAGAAATGTAAACTAGAAAAAGAAAAGAAAGAGAATTAATAAACAAACAGAAGACAGTCCTTGTTGTTCCATGAATTTGGCTAGGACCACTTCACGCGCAAGATGGTCCCCACCACCATCCATGAAAATGGCTAGTAGGTCATACATAAGTAATGTGTTACTTAAGGCCCTACTCGCATTAGCACTATTAAACATACGCTCTTAGCAACGGTATAAACTTTACGATTCATTATTCAATATAATTTTCTAAATAAATTATGTACTGATTTTCTTCTTAATCCCTCATCCTTTTTCACATTACTATCATTGATTCAATGAAGTTTCGGCTAAGGCTCTACATAATATTAGAGTATGGTTTTAATGAAATTATTACCTATTAGAGTACTTGTTCCCTAACATTCAAATTATTCAGCTAGGCTATTGCAATTTCAGTATTATATATACATAACTTTCTGATCATAAGTTTTATATTTACATTATGTATGAAACATCATAAGGAATCGTGGGTGACTTGGGATTCTTCTATTGAAAATTTTAAAGTTAAGGGAAGGAATGATGGAACAAGGGTGGCAACAGTGGTTGGAATGATGAAAAGGTTAAATTAGAAAGAAAAAGTGATTTGAAAGGAGGATAGGAATTAAATCAAATTGGGGACTGTGACAGTGATTTAAGGTCTTCTGTGTGAATAAAGATTGGAAATAATGTTATGTGGGATCACGGTCTTGCCTTCAACTTTTGCTTTTTAGGTCTCAGCTTTTTTTGGCTTTTGAAAAGTTCATTCCTGGATTTAAGATGCAAAGAGATCGTTAATGAAATAATCAACTGATACCTTAATGAAATTAGAGGATGGCGAGGACATCTTTAAGCCACGTTTACAAGCCGGGAACCATGATTAGAATTTTGTTAAATAGGGACATAAAATAACAATGACTCCCCCACATGAACCCGAAGCACCTCCCCTTCAGAGGTGAGATGGTTTTTGTTTTTTTCCGGTAAACCGGGTGAGATTAATTTAGTTACTATAAAGAATAAAGATTATGATCAAATAAATAATTACAGTTAAAATTATGTAATTTCGTGGTCCAACTTTTCGTGTGGGCTTTTAATAAATAACCACGTCCCTACCTGTTCACATTATGAAGATTTTGTTTTTTTGCACCATTCTTTTTACTAGTTGTACCACCTCTTTTATTGTCATTTTTACAGTTTAATTTTCAAAAATGTATTTAATGCTTTCCAAATTTTAATTTTTAGAAGTGGTTTTACATCTTCAAAAATTAAATTTTAGAAATCATTCATAAGTTACTTTCAAAATTTAATTTTAAAAGTGTTACATGCTTCTTAAAATTAGATTCTAAAAAGGAGCAGTGTGAATAACGAAAAAGAGTAACACAAATAGTAGTCACCTGATATTATTTACACTTTCCTTTTTACAAGCTATTTTTCTTTCTTTTTCGGCTGGGCATTTTTGTTATAGAGATTCCAACTCACATTTGGTGGCCACTGTATGGCCACTTACAAAATAAGACCTGATATTGACCAAAAATAAATAAATACATAAAATATGATATCATAGTTACCCTATCAGCCAAAATGTTAGGATGTGACTTATGATTATGAACAACGCTGCCAGTCAGCTCAGGGTAAAGGTTGTTTTTTATCAACAAATTTCTCGGTATATATAGGTTTCTATCTTCTAGTTTTGGTGCTCTATTGTGCCAAAGACGGTATAAAACATGTATGCCAATAAAATGTTCAGTCACATAATTAAAAGGGTAAAACAAAAGCCAATTTCACGATTGAAGTTTATCACAACAGTGAATGTACTATGCCACAATCATTTTGTCTAATAATATTCAAATAATCCAACATCAAGGAAAGAAATTGCTCTTTTGTATACGATTATGCAATTTTCGAACCACTATGATACCATTACCTACAGGCCCCACGTATGCAGCGTTTAAGGTAACTCCATTAGATATTAGGACCATACACAGCCTAACTTGAAAGCGGCTCAGATAATCATCAAAGTGCAGTCGAGCAATGTGTAGTACGGAAAGCTCTTTCATACAAACAAGTATGATCGCGAATATGCATCTATTATTTATGTATATATGAGGAAACTTCCGCATTTTATGATGCACATAACCATCATATTGGCACCTTAGACTTGCAGTAGTTTCTTTCTAGTGATCATTTGGGTTAATTCTATACTAGTTAGTATCCTCATGAGGCAACTATGCTGAACAGAGCAATCAAATATTTCTCATTTAGGATCTTCTTCATTATCAGATCCTTTGCTTCCTTTCTCTTCCATGAAGTTTTCATCCATCATAAACCTCCAGCTATCCCCTTCCTGTATTTCCCATTGTTTTTTCAGTTCATAAATAGCTTTGGATGCAGCAGAAGCAATGGCTGGGTTGCTATCTTCTGCCAGTCTCTGCAACACAAGCCAAAGGCATCAACTTTGCCAAAGGGAGAAAATTATGCTATATTGCCTGTCAAAAGTACTTCTTGGGATAAATCATAATTACCCACCTGCAACGCCCCCATCCCTGCATTTCCAAGAGTCCACATGGATGGTGCTGCTGCCAGTGCATTGGCTAGAGCTCGTCTAGAAACACAAAATAAAGAGCAGAAATGAAGATAAACAAGGGAGGAAAAGCATAGTAAGGTATTGATTAAGGTTAATTCATGCTTGTTCGTTATTTGGCAAACTGATTCTTTGAAAGACTAGTATCACAGGAAGCTTACCTAGTGCTGACATCAGGAGAACTAGAACACTCTACCAACAAAGATACACTTTGTTTACAGTCCATTGCATCGAGGTCTATAAGGGTTGTGATCAACAACTCAAGCTGCTCTCAGTAGGTAAGAGAGTGTAACTTCAATACTTAAATAATAGCTAGGACCAGACAGAAACTAAATAGAGAATCAAACCTCTTCAGGATCAGTGTAATCAATCCCATCTGCTTCGGAAAGTGCTGATGCCATACTCCAGTAAGCTTCCTGTACATTTTAAAATCTTACAATATGATTCCTGATTCAATTGATTTAGGGATATATATACACACAACAAAAACAGAATGGAACTGAAGGAAGACCTGAAGAGCAGCAATCCGTTCTGTGGTCACATCCCCAGGAAAGGAATTTGTGGTTTTTCCATTCTTTTCAAGCATTATTCGACCTATTACATTGTTTTCTGAAAGAGATCCTTTATCTCTGTGAAGAGGACTGCACACCAACATCATAAGAAACATTTTAGAGTTTACTATATATATATATATATATATATATATATATAAGCAGGCATTTGAAGTTACTTGACTTACAAGTTATACATCTTGCTCACCATCATGTCATGGATGTTTTTGATGAGCTGCAGAATTTACATAATAGAAAGTATTTTATTCCTTCGGATCTTAAAAAATTGGTATGATATTTTGATATAAGTTATGTTAACAGATTTATTATAGCACATGCAGAATAATGCCTGCGACAAGGGATCATAAACTGTTAACTATAAAAAAAGTTCCACAATGAACACTTGCAGAGCATAAAATATCACCTCCAGAGCCATAAGGGCATCTTCCATTGCACGTTGCTTAGCACGGAAGTCAGCAAGACGTAAATCAGCCTGACAGTTCAACAGTTATGTCAACAGGATTCATATGTTCTGGCTATTCATATGTATTTTAAATAATCAAAGACTCTTGGTTTTTATGACAAAAACTTGCAAAAGGAGCTAGTGATCCACATAAAGATCTACATAGGATAGGAATACATAGGAAACATCTATAAGAACAACAAATTTTACCAAGTCTGATGGGTAAAAAATTTCTAATCCAACGAGACATAGAGTTGAACTGAATAGAGGGATTAAAAAACTAAACTAAATGGTGTCAATAATAGTTTTTCTCAATCCCCCTCTTCTTCTACCGATGGGGCTGCCTACCATCTATTCTACTTTCTTAAATAAGGCTTTTGTAGGACTTCTCCAAGCATGCCTCTACCATTTTTTCTACAATAGTTACTATCTAACCTTCCCCCTAATGAATTCATTCCTCTTGTCTAGTATGAGCAAAATAAATAGTGATAGGCATATCAGCAAAATATGCAAGATAAATAACACATGATGCAAATTGAATCAGTGTCTCTTTTAAATCAAACTAATCACAGATATCATCTTTTAGATTAAAATTCAGAAATTAAAGATTAACAGATTTACCTCCAAGGCCCCATCACTCCAATGCTCATCGGCAGCACTTTTCAATCTGGACTGAGCTTTATCCTTCAATATCTGCAAAGCATATATTATAAAAAAAAGTAGTATTGTATCACTAGTTTGTACTCTTCATCTTCAACCAGAAAATTTAAAGATCTAGATGATACAGACAGTAGCAATACGATTAAGCCGGCTAGCTTTTTCCTTGACATCCCGGTCAATTTTCTCAGTGTCCTCTCTTGCTCGAGCTATCCAACAAAATAAAGAAAATGTAAATTGAAATTGACCATATAATGGGTGCATATGAATAAACCAATCTATAAAGGTGCATTTCTTGAACCTTACCTTCAGAAAAAGGAGGTCATACTATATAGGAAGAGAAGTTCAACATATATGTAGAGAAAGGATAATTACAATAAGTGATTGTCGTGATGGGATTATACTGTCTTATCAGCATCATTGAATTAAAGATGCTGGTTTGATACCCTTCCTATATCCTTTGACTTATTTGTTTCTTCCTTTCTTTTTTGTTGGGCACAAGGGAAGAGCAGGGACAAATGGGAGGATATTACTGTCCTAGGGTATGAAATACAGTGACTTGTAGTTTACATATTTGAAAAGTAATTATCTCTAAGTTCCAACAAAAACAATTGTTTCATTGGATGAAATAAGAGATACAAAGTTAAAGTACAACTCCTCGTTATGTAAATACTGTACAAGAGCTAACCATCAAGCTTGAGAAATTCGGTCCCAAGAAAAGCAACATCTTGGCGTGCACGAGCATCCAGCCTCATTATGCCACTGAGGGAAAAAAAATTAACAGTTATTCTGTGCTCCAGGACAACATTTTATTTCCGTGATGTTTCTTGAATGAGATATTTAATAGGGTACAATATCCAATTACATGAAATGAACAGATATTGAGGTGACAACCAATATTTAAGTCAGCTAGATACAATCCATGTTATAATTTCCCCATTCATGATCAAAAAACTATTTAGTTCAGTTAAATCATGGTTTGTTGAGTAATTGACTGGATAGTGATAACCAAACCATCCCCCAATTAAAGAATCTTTGTTCACAAATTTCTAACATACCTTTTAAAAAAAGTGGACTGATGAACAGTAGTGGAAGGACATTTTAAACAGAAATAGTATTGTTAGTATAAGACCAAAATCAGGTTACCGGCAGTACCGTGAGAGAAACTTTGCATCATTACAAACAAATCTACAAGCTTCAGCTAAGCCATGAACAGCAAGAGTGCCATCATTTTTCTCGTCTTTGGTATGTACTCTGTAAATACGAGGATCTCTAATATGTGAGCTTGAATCCTCAAATATTTAATTTTGATAAAATTGCATGCCATCATCAAAAAGATATGAAAGATAGATGCTAGTTTGACAGACAATAAAATTGGCAACCTAAAGGCAATAATTGTAACAGCAAAAAACTTTAACAGATGGATTATCATCTGTAGTTTAATTTTCTTACCTAGATAAATCAGAAACATCATCATATGCAGTAATACATTCTTTCTCTTCAGTATTATTTGCTCCTTTTGATTTACATGAGATAGAAGATTTCTTGGAGATCAAACCAACTGGCTTTGCATTGATGAACAAAAACCAGTTATTGAACAAGGTAGGTTTCTCTGTGTGTAGACATCTATGGTTCAGATGTACATGTTCCAGTCTATGACTTGACAGCTGTAATCTGTTGTTCCTTGTTGACAAGGAAAAATAATGTTTCTCGTGTGATATACAAAGAGCTGTTCTATTAGTCACAATAGGACTGCTTGAAATTTTGTTTACAATAAGTGCCATCAGAAAGTTCAAGAAAAGAATGAGACAGACACAGCCTTCATTGCACTTGAAATATCTCAATTCTGTAGCAAAGCAAATAAAAGAAAATAAAGTCATTTACATAGAAGCAAGGAGTGCTTTTCCGACCACAATTTTCCATTCTACAGCAGGCATATTACGAAAAAAAAAAAAAAAAAAAAAGGAATAGGATTTGTGTTCTGAAAAATACAGTTTGACAGTTGGTTGATGAAAAAGACAAAATAACCAGCAGTCCTTCAATGTTAATCATGACTGGATCATCATCATCATATTTGTGTTTATGTTAACATCAGACCTTAGACTGATTTTAAGCATCTAAAGCAATAATAAGTTTTTATCGGATAATAACATATTTATTACCTAAAAAATACAAAAATGTAATAAATACTTCCTGCCCCAACAAAAGTTCATTTTTATCTAGTTGCTTAAAATTAGCCTTAAGGGTTGATGTCAACATTTTCCGTATTATTATTTAATGAAAATCAAAACAGGCGTAAATAAACAAGCTTCATACATATTGTGTTAAAAATAAGTCAGACAGGTGAAATCTCATTTGCAGAGAATTATTTACGACAAAACAATCATAATGCAACCAACCAACTCTGGAAATTCAAATTCCAAAAAGAGCAGTCAATAGAGAGCATGCCTTCTTAGGTTATTCTTACGAATATCATTGCAAATGCAGTTCTGGTCTGGGTCATTTCATATATTTGATAATATTCAGCGCTATGCAATACTCTGCACCTAATACCCAACCTCATCAAAACGTTTCTGAAAAAAGAATATCTATTTAATAAAGTGGAATAGCTCAATTAGCTCTCTACATTACCCATAAATCAATCACCTTATTTCAAAGCAACGCCTTATTTGAAAAAAGTACAGGTGGTTAATTGAAGTCAAACAACTAGTGAAACCATGAAGCAGATCAAAATGCTGTTCAGTTCATCCTTTTTCAATTTCCTGAAGTAAATATTGAGCAGCATCAATACTGCAGTGACAACTCAATTCACTCACAATTGACATACCCAACAATTTTCAGCATCGCAAGAGGAACATACTGTATTGGAATTAGACAGATCACCATAGACAAAGAAGAAGAACTGTTCATTACATCAAAATGAGACAGTAAATGACAATTGACAAAAGCCATTAAGGAAAGTGCTAAAAATTAAGACAAAAAAAAAAAAGCAAAGGAAGGTGAGAACTTACTTATGGAAAAAAGAGAAGGGGAAAGAGGAGGGGGGGTAGGAACCAAGAGTTATAGTGGCTAAAGGTCATATCATAAATACATCACCCAGTGAAAGAGAGTGGAGAGTGAGAGAGTGGAGAAAAATGAGAACCACAAGGTGAAGGTGTGGCCCTTTGAATGCCAACAACAAACAAAAACTGGGAATGGGGCGTAATAGAGACCAGAGATAGAGTACTCAAATCAATGTATGGATATGTGTGTGACTCTGAGAAGTAGAACCAAGGTCCACGTCATTTCAGGTTCAGACACACTTCATAATTGCCTGTTTTTCTGGACGGAGACACGACAACCCAATCCGTGAGGGATTGAAAGTTTATTTTTGTGTTTGTTGGGTGAAGTCATTTCAAACCCTCGAGTCTACTTCTTCAACCCGCTATTTTTTGGGCTGGGTTATTTCACATGTAGGTATTTTTGGGCCCAATAGTGACCATAGATTAAAAGTCTTGTTTTTGGACAGTGTCACAACAACCCAATCCCTAAAGGATTAAAACCTCAGCCTGTTAGAACGTCTTCTTGGGAGTTGGATTTCAACCCAACCCGTAACTAGCATTTCAACCCGCTAATTTTTGGGCCGGTTCTATATGAGATCAATCAGCCCAACTCGTTTGGAAATGGGAACAGGTTAACCTGTCAGAAATTTTCCCCCATTTTTTTATTTCTTATTTCTAAGTTTTTAAAAATTCCAAATTAAATCATTTTTTCATCATTTCTCATTGTTTAACTCAATATTCGTACTCTCATCTCTATCCTTAGTAAGAATCACCATAAGTAGAGTCAGAATATAAGATATTATAATGAGTTTTGCTAATTAGTGCATTAAGAATCACAGAAAAAATTATTTTTATTATATTAAAAAAACTAATTTCGATTTTTTGACTAGTGTCATTAAGATACTGATTAGCATTTACCTATCATAATATTCATCTTCATGCTTATATTTTAAGAAATTACTTATATTTGTTATTATATCTATGTGGAAACAACTTTGATACTCATTTTTCTATTCATTAAATATCTAAATCTTTATTGTTGTTTTCATTACTCATAATTTAGTGAACTAAAATACGATTTTCCTGTGCTATTTCAAATTAATAAAATATAACGTGTTATTATAAAATAAAAAATACCAATTAATAGTACACTAAATATGATTCAAAATTATAAACATAAATCCAAAAAAACTCCTATGTTAATAGAGATATCTGGAGTTGCTCATCTCAGGAGTTTAATTTATTCCCCTTTCTCTGTCTAGCCAAAAAAGCAATGATAAAATCAAACATTATAAATTACAAGATCATTTATTTGAAGTCAAGCATAATACAATAAAGAATTAACGTGAAGTTAAGAAAAATGTACATTTTTTTATTAAAAATATGCACTGTCTCCATAACTTTAGTCACTTTATTTAAAAAATGTACATTATTTTTATATTTATATTTTATTATTTAAGTCGGGTGATCTGTCAGTTAAAAAAATTATTTAAAAAGAATAATTCTAAACCCTTATTATCATTATTTTTAAGATAATAATAATAAATGAATATTTTTATTTATTTCTTATTTTATAAAGTAGTAGAAATATTATTAAGAAAATATAAGGAAGCTCGTTTAACAATTCAACTGGCTTGTACTTATTAAATTATTTGGCTAATTAGAGGGAGCAACCTCATGACATTGTGTTAACAGCCTCGTTAAGAATTAGTTACAAAATTCATAAATAAATAGTTTTATTTAAAAGTGGAGTAAAATATATTAATATATTTTCTTAAAATATTAGTAATTCTTTCATATGGCTCATACTAAATGTGTAACAAATGAGGATATTGAGAGTTTTAAGAAACTTCCATATTGTTTGCTTAGTCAGAACAATAGTATTTAGTGTATGTTTATTATGACACCATTAAAAAGGCATTAATTTTAGTGTGAATTTCACACCCCAATGAATATTAAATTCCATTCATAAATATTGTTGGCAGAGTGGCACACCTCACGGGTTCCTTCTGAACGAGAAACAGAGCAGAGGGGTAAATGGCCTTCTTCTGAGGTTGTGAGTGGCACTGTGAGGACAAGCAGGTGACAAGGGACTGGTGGGTGGTCAAGGCCTGACTTGAAAGCCATAACAATGTCACTTTGTCATGGTAAAGTAGACATCTTAAACAACTGGGTTAGTTGTGGGTACTGTTGAGGGCAAAGACTGAATGTTGCAGCAGAGGATTTCAGTGTGAAGGATCATGGCATGGTCCATGGAGAAAAAGGCACAAAGCTTTATTCAATGCATGTAACTTTAATTGAAATACTATATTGCTTTATACGCATCATCAAGCTGGAATAGCTCAGTTGGTTAGAGCGTGTGGCTGTTAACCACAAGGTCGGAGGTTCAAGCCCTCCTTCTAGCGCTTATTGATTTAACTCTTTTTATAATATTCATCACTTCATTTTATATTAAAACCTATGCATTGTATATTAAATTTATTTTTTTCTGTCTATTTTCAGACTTTTCAAATTATGAGATTTTACTTTTATTTTTCTCCCAATTTTCATTTCATTCTTCGCACTTGTTAATTATGCAAAAATGTTAAAGGAGAAATCTCACTATAAAAGAAAAAAAAAATGTAAATCTAAAAGGTGATTAGTCTTCCCCAATTTATTTCATTTGATTCTCATACAATAGATATATAATAATGATCATTTCTCAAGTAGCACTTGTGGAAATTTTTATCTTTAATAAATTGAAGCCTTATATTGTATTAAAAAGTAGGATCACTTTTGAAATTATTTAATTATTTACATAATGCAGGTTTAAGAAAATCTTTAATTTAGGAAAAATGGTTAATTTTGAATATGAGTTTGGGATATGGGATTAAAAAACAAAGCAATATTTCGTAGGTGATATTAATTATTAATTATGATGATGTAGTATATATAATGAAGTCGTAATAACATATATTGAACACTAAAAGGAAAATAAAAACAAAAACAAATGGTTGAATTGTGTTTTGAAACCTTTTAAAATTTTGGTAAAAAAAAATCATAAAAATGTGTTGGAATCTTAAATTGTCTTAATAATTAAGCTATTTAAATTTCTAAGTGAAATTTCACAATATCACTATATCACAATTCAATCCCATATGTTAAAGGGCCAGAAACAAGTAAATGAACTAAGAGAGGGAGGATACAATCATTTTTATATTGATTTAACCTAAAGTTAGTATATATATTAAAAAAATTTACTCGAGATGGTTAGAGATACAAGTATCGCCTTTTAAAGTTTTTTCTTTCACATTCTTCTTCAAATTTAATAACCTAAACATTATTTAAGTTTAGATTCTTTAGGCTTTCCTCCCACTATGTTTTAGAACAAGAAAATAAAACTTAAAAGAGTATCTCTCAAGGTATTCATAATTTTTACGAGGATGTCAAAAAATATTTGTTTAGTGAATACTCTAAAAAAGTATTTACGATCAATGAAAGAGCGAAAGTTGAAAAAATTAATGTCTAATGCTTTTATAGCAAGTTGTAATTACTCCTTCATCTTCTTTTGTTGTGAACATATGAACTTTTTGAATTGTTGACGATTCTTTAGTGTAGCTATGTATTTTAGATGTGAATTTTATCTTTGTACATTTAGAGTATGCTTAAAAGGATCTATAAATAATTTATAAAAATTTTATAATTTTTATAATTATATTTAACTTATTTTAATAAGTTTTGTTAACCTTATAATATAAATATTATTATTTCAAAAATATCATTGAACAAGTGATTACATCAGTAGCTGGTGCAAGTTAATTTTGAGCTTACATAAAAACCAGACTGGAAAGTAGCTTTTTGAAATATGAGCAACACAATGGTAAGGATAACATTGTACTTATATAGAGAAGTTTCTATTTTTGGTTAAAGCAATTTTTTTTCTTTTTCTTTTATCATGTCAAGCAGTGAGTCACATATGTGGTCCATTAGAGTTAACTCATAAGAAATGTTATTTCTATAATAAAATTTGTTATATTTTTTTTTTATGAATTAGAGAAATAAAAAGATAAAGAGAAAGAAGTGATTAAATAGACGATGCCATGTAAAGAGAAGGAGGGAAAAAAAAAGGAATTGTTATAAAATTTATAATAATAATAATAAAAAAAAAAACTCTTAGCTCATCTTCAATCAGCATATCTTAGAAAGCCTTCTCCATTATAAACGGTCTAGAATATGCTTGTTTTTTATTCATGAACTTTCAAACACTTGCCTACTTGACACTTGAGGACAATTATTGTCATTTTTATCTTTATATGCGTATTGTGTTTGGTTTTTACATATTTGACAGAAAGCACATTAATTTTTCTTTGACATTATTTATTTTCATCAAAATTGCAAGGCTAAACAATTGATAAATTTTGACATAAAAGTCATATCAATGTGATATAAAAATATATTACAAAAAATTTTAATACAAACACACATAAAGTTGTTAATAAGTTTATCAAAATTACGCCACAATAACATCCTCTTAAAATGCTCCATTTTGTAACACATTATAGTTGAATTGGATGCCCTCTTCAATTTTCCTATAATATTCTTATCGTATCTACCAGTCCATCAATTTGGGCATTCTTAATCCCTTATAACTCGTTAAGATGAACATTTACAAAATTTGATATTATATAGACAATTAAACTGAGTATCAGAGCACGTTTAGATTGGTTTACTTTTTAAAATTAAAAAAAGTTCCTTTAATAATAATATAAACAAGCAAGCCAGTAGTTTAACAGTGAGAATTAAGATCAAGTTATTCTTTCTCTAGGTCAATGCATGATTGCTCTATTTTTATTTCTCCAATCCTTATGCAAGAATATTTTATATTACTTTCGTGAAGCTTTAAACTTTACCAATAATTATATTTCTATAATATGTAAAATTAACAACTATTTATATACAGTTACTATCAACCCAACATAATTAGGTATAAACAGATAATTACAAATAAAAATAGTATATTCTTTCATTTAATATATAATGTATTCAATTTGTCTATTCAATGTTATAAATATTTATAAAATACATTATAAATTTATGATACATAATTAATTTTTTCTTAATCTTAATAAATTAATTTTTTATGTTTCATAAAAAGGATCAAACCCAGTATATATAACAGGGGCACAAAATACAAATTACTAAAAATATATATTTTCCCTCTGAAGACTGAAGGGAACATAACTAAATGTGCCCTCATGCTACCATACACTAGCATTGCTGAAAAATTATAAGACAACACTGTAATTTATTAAATATGAGGAAAAAGGTTTAAGGGCATTTGGGTCCTCCTTCCTTTGTCTTCCAGCTGTTATAGCAAGGACAAACTTGCTTGTTACCATATGTGCCAGGAGGAACACACAGGCATGTGGCGCAGCACTTCTGGCAAAAAAACATGCATGGCTTCTTGTGTGAAGTTGCAGAGCAACGATAAGTACACCTTGGTTTACAATCTGTTTAATTATTCACATTATTAGCATTTGCCAAAGAAATTAATAAACCCCTTAAAACCCACACAAGGTTACCAACAAACAATGTTAAAATGGTGTTGACTTCTAATAAAAAATGAGAATAGAAGACACCAATTTGATATTTGAAAGACTTTATGAAAAGTTTATAAAACGTTTTTAGTTTATTTTATTGATTTTAGTTTTCAACTTTACATCATAATTAAGCCTAATTGATAAGAGCTTAATAGATAAATATTTAAGTTGTTTATCTCTAAATATATTCAGGATATCTTAATGCACAAAAATATGACAAGACATTGTATACCTGAAGGACGAAGTGTTCCACCACGTCCATAAGCCTGTTCAAGTTTCATATGGACAAATTTTGCGAGTTAGAACAGTTGGAGATTACATATTTCTACTTTAGAGTAAATGCACGAGCATGATTGAGTAAAGCCCAAGAGATTTTCTTATTAAGTACCTCAGCCACATTAGAGAATGTAACCAAAAGAAGCAAAGAGAGGGCCAAGATGGTGCTGTATGATCGTGCTGCCATTGCTAAGATATGTGAAGTGAAGAATGGCTCGCTTTCAGAGGAAAAGAACGAATATTAAGTGTTTGTTATTCTTCATTTAGAAATTAATTGGAGGGATATTTATAGAGATAAGAGAGAGGGACCAAATCATGAAAAATTTGAAGCGTAAAAGCAAATAACAATATAATTTCCGTTGTTTAAGGCGTTGAAAAGGGTGGTAGAGTTGATTGGGAAAATACAAAGGTGGTTGCATGATAAAGTGAGCGATAACTTCGGCGTGTCTTTTGTTTCATTTTGTATTGATTTGTTATTGTCAACTTGGTAACATGGGTAGTAGGCCCTTCCTCCATTTATTTTCTTAGTATCACTATTTTTTTTCCTTTTTTAAGAGAAATTGTTCATTCCTTCACCGTTGCCTATAATCATGACGATATAAAAAATTCTCAAGAATAATGTTTATATGCATACTGTTTTGTTTAACTACGTAAGAAAAACGACAAATAAACCAAACAAACTAGTAGAAATTAACTCAACATTTGCGACATAATTAATTAGTAATAGTACCTTTTACGGGACCTACATTTCTTTTCTTGTTCTAAGATCGATCCCAATACATGTCCTCATGTACGGATGGACATGTGATTGAACATGCATTTTACTGTTTCAATCATTAATTAATTTAGTAAAATGAATTAATGGATACCATTTTAATTTTAAGTACAACTTAACGAATACAATATAGTGAAGTGATGACTAATTCTACCTTGCAGGAAGTGAATACTTTACATGCACATGATATAAATCTGTTTCAGCCTTTAATATCAATTTAAAATAGAGTCGTTGTTTCTTAAAAATATCAAATGGTCGATTTATAATGATTTTTCTTAATATAGATCGAGGATCATAAGCATAATTTATTTTTTTTCAGTGTGAAAACTACTTTTTGGCATATTTATACTATATCCTGTATAGTTTATTTGCGAGAATGAATAATATCGGTGCATGTATGTTACGATGTTTTCTAGGAGTACATATAACTAACCTATGACGAATCTTCAAGCATGTTCGGGTTTGTGTTTAAAAGTTTGTAGATTTATATTTATTTTGCCTTTACTAGTTATAATTCTTTGCATTAAATTTATATTTATAGTATTTTTAATTTTTTCATATTCACATATTTATATTATTATTTTAAAAATTATAAGTATAGATAATATTAATTATTTTTAAATTAATTCAATAACATGACCAAAATAACCTGCATTTATAATTTTGAAAACTTTGTTTCTTCTTTATGTTATTTGAGCGTTGACCTCTCTTATATGTATAAAAATTGATCTGTTTACAAAATTTCGGCCCTCTTCCAAGATTTTTATTCAAGCACCACCATATGTAACTGACACAATAAAACTAAGTGTAGCTTACAAATAAATGTTAGACTGCATCGGCAGACTTTTGATGTTGAACAAATACTTATATCTGCACTAAAAAATTGGTAAAAAAACTATAACTGGAACCTAATTGAAATCAAAATGCTAACTCATTAATAGGAAAATTAAATCAGAAACATAATATAGCAGCGGATATATATATATAAGAGAAAACCAACTGGGTTGGATATGTGAAAAGGCTAGTCCTAAAAAATTATATTGAATTATGGTTTGAATCCCAATTTAGAAAAGTGCCGTGCCCACAATTATTGCTTGATTGTATTTTTGAGTACAAGTATCACATCTTAAAGAAGTGTAAGATTCTTTTGAGAAAATAAAAAAATAGCTATCGTTGATGTAATTTAAAATATATGATAAAATTAACCTATAAATATTTAAAAGTAGGTAATCCTTTATTTTTCTCACTTTATAAATTAACTTACTCCAGAGGATCTTTTTCTATAAAAAATTAATGGAAACAAAAAAAAAATTGTAGAAGAGAAAGGATAAAGAGCTTGCACCGGAAAATTTTAACAAGTTATACTCTCCGTAAATGTGAAACTTAAGTCTAGTCCTCCGCTTAAAGATTTTTACTATCAAACTCAACTTCTCTTGGATCCACCTATAACAACTGCTCACTTTCACATAGCTCAGGTGTTATTTTCAATGACCTAAAATAACTTACCAACTCGAAAGTATATAATGGAGAGGGATAAAAAATGTATTAAAAAAATAATTATGAAAAAATATATTTTTTTACAATAATTAGTATCGCATAAAACGTGATACGAATTTATCGATTTGATACAAATCAATGCAACAGCGATATAAATCAAGTATCGTTTTGGCTTCAGAATCGATTTGTAAATCGCATAAATCGATTGAATCACAAGTGAAATGTGATTCTACTAGCGTCACACAATTTAACTGCGAACTGGGTCACGCAAAAAGTGGGCCGGGTCAGCGTGACTTAGTACAGTAAAATCCTAAAAAAATATCTTTTTTGAATTTTTTTTTTACAGGAAGGTCAATTTGCACCCCAAATTGTTCTGTTAGAAGACCCACTATGTAATATTAAAAGAAAACTCTATATTCTCTTTGCCTTCTCATTCCCGCTCTTTTTTTTTTTCTCTTTTCTCCACGTATATTGTTCAATCTTCATGCTCTCTATTACATTATTGTTATTATTGTGATTCTTCTCTCAACTTTGCACTTTCTATTCAATGTTTCTAGTGGTCCCCCCTCCCCTTTTTTATTTTATTTGTCTTCTACTCTCTTTTTTGCTTGTTGTTTGGGGAGACAATACCAAAAAAAACAAAGGAAAATGATATCACATGAAAACACTGTGAAAATGTCTCTCTGCACAGACTATTAATAAAATGCAAATATTGTTCTCATTCTTATTGGGGTAGAGTTACAAGGATAAAACATCATCTAGCTAGAACAAGGGCAAATGTAAGTGTCTGTATAAGTATTCCAGATGAAGTAAAGGAAATATTCATCAAACTATTGGAAGAGAAAAAATGAAAAAAGTTGAAAATAGCTTGAAATTTTTTGAAGAAGCTTAGATCTAAGATATAAGTGGTCATCAAAAGAGAAGTATGGATTATTTTGTCAACAAAGAAAATGGAGGGACATCTAAAAATTTGAAGCAAACAACAATGAATACAATGTTCAAAGATAGAAATGTTATTCAAGAAATTTGCAAATGCATTTATGCTAATGCCTTACCATTCAATTTAGTTAAAAGCTCCCATTTTATTCAAATGGTGAAAGTTGTTGGAGAATTTGGCAAGGGTTTAAAACCTCCTGCTTATCATGAAGTGAGAGTCTCTTTTTAAAAAAAGCAGTTGATAGCATCCATCAAAATTTGAAGAAATACAAAAATGAATGGGAGAAATGGAGCTGCACTTTAATGTGTGATGGTGGACAGATGGGAAAGGAAGGTCACTCACTAATTTTCTTGTCAACAGTACTAGTGGGATTGTTTTTCTAAAATCTATTGATACTAGTAATGTAATTCAGGATGCCAAGCAAATGTTTGAATTATTGGACAACATAATAGATGAAATTAGGGAAGAAAATATAGTGCAAGTAATAATAGATGGTGCTTCTAACCTTGTGGCAATAGAAAAAATGTTAGAAGAGAAGAAAACTAAATTATTTTGGTCGCCTTGTATAGCCCATTGCCTTAATTTAGTTTTAAAGGGTATTGGAGAGCTTACAATTTTCTATGCTACAATTACAAATGCAAAGAAAATCACAACTTACATATATAAGCATACATAGGTCCTTAATTTGTATAGAAAGCATTCCAAGGGAAGAGAGTTAGCTACCAACCATAACAAAGTTTGCAACCACTTATCTCACATTAAATTGTATTATGCAACAAAAGAGTGCTCTTAGACCTATGTTTTCTTCAGAAGAGTTTGCTTCTAGCTCTTATGCTAATAGAGTCGAGGCTAAGCAAGTGATGAGCATAGTGTTGAGTGATGATAAATTTTAAAAGTTCATCAAATATTGTCTAAAGTGTGTAATTTCACTTGTGAAAGTACTTAGACTTGTAGATGGTGATTCAAAATCAATCATGTCATATATTTATTAAGCAATGGATAGAGTCAAAGAGCAAATTGCTGAAAATTTCCAAAAGAAAGAGTCAAGGATAAGAAAGTGTGGAAGATTATTGATACTAGGTGGAACTTACAAATACATAGGCCTCTCCATGCAGCTACATATTATCTTAATCTTAGGTAAATAGACATTCTTAATATCTTAAATTTCATATAGTTGCCTATTTATCCTAACTCTTTATTATTTGGTTAGGTTCCATTATGACAAAAGCTTTAATCCAGATAGTAAGGTTTTGTATGATTTATATGAAACCATTGAAAGAATAGTTTTAGATAGAAAGACAAAATTTTTAATTGATCAACAACTTGAGAAGTTTAAATAAGCCAAATGATTGTTTGGAATGAATATGACAATAGACACTAGAGACAAGAAGCAAACTGGTAATTCTTCAATCTTCATACTTTGCTAACTTTACATATAATTATAAATCAATAAGTAACATGACATACTTTGCTAATTGTTTATATATATATTTTGTTTTGAATTTTGATAGCTCTTTGGTGGAAGAGTTATGTTGGAGAGGGTAAAGAGTTACAAAAGGTAGCCATGAGAATTTTGAGTCTTACATGTAACGCAACAAGATGTGAAAGGAATTAGAGTACATTTGATCAAGTGCATACTAAAAGAAGAAATCGCTTGAAACAACAAAGACTAAATGCGCTTGTGTTTGTTAAATATAACCTACAATTATAGATGAGACAAAAGTATAGAGAAAGAGGAGAGAGACTTATGATGCCATATGCTTATCTGATATTGAATCAGATAATGAATGGATTATTGAAAAAAAGGATCCATGCTTACCAAATGATGTTTCATGGATGGATATACATGAGTGTTTTACTTTTGATGAGGGAGCTCCAAGCAAGAAAAGAAAGAGAAGTATTTGTGCTGATTTAGAACTTGAACAAAAAATATCAAATATTTAATTACCCAAATACATATTGTCATGCTTGTTCTATTATTTTGGTTTTATACATCCAAGAAACTTAAATGTAAAAGCTGATAAGAAAAAAAAAAATCTATAATAGAAGATGATGATGAAATTGAAAGTATTATTAGAGATGGGGTGGAAGAGGAAGAACTTTTAATTTTAAAAGATGAAGAGGATGAACTAAATGACATAGATCTTGTGGATGATGAATGATCATTCATTATCCATTTGAACTTTTAATATAGTGAGTTGCAGTCATTTTTTGTTTATCTTTTTGAAAGATAATATGTTGAATTTAAACAATCACTTTTTTTGATAATGTGACTGAGTGTTATGATTTGAATCTTAGTTTGCTTACAAGTGCATGTTACATTGTCAGCTACATACTATATACTTCAAAATGTTAATATATAAATGCTTCTTTATGTTATAATGTTCTTATATTTATGTTTTAAATTATTGATCTTAAATTTTACAATTCAAAATTCGATTCAATTCATGATTTAAAAAGTTGGTCTTCCAATTCATAATTTGAATCTCAATTTAACTAGCTTGGTTTTTTTGCATAGATATAGCCATGAAGGTATGGCACTAATATCTAGTAAAAATATGGGTACAGGAATTTTAATAACACCTTAAGCAATACTTAATCTCATTGGAGACATGCCCCCATATTAAAGCTTAAAATTTTTACTAGAATCTAACTCAGGGCACGATTTTGAATGTTTTGTTTTCTTCCTCCTTTTGTACTTTATTTTCTTCGCTATGCTATGAAGCTTGATTTAAAGGCACAAGCTTTATAAATTATTTATGTGCGACAAGGGAATATCCTTCTAGCTATCATTCTTTATTCGATCTCTTAGCATTTTTGCAACTACGCATTAGTTCTTTTGTTCATCAAACAACGGGTTGAGTTAAGTTTTCTTCAACCTTCATTAATTTGATTCTCCTTAAGGTCTTCAAGTCTTCATGTATATATCTTCCTATTTACAAGAAGCTTCAATATAGCATAATATCTTCTTTCAAATCAACAAGTGGCCTTGGACAACTGATCATTGTAATCTTCAAAAGTATGCAGCATTGTTCTTATATAGAATCTTCAATTTCTCCATGTAAAATCATTAGCTGATTGTATAGAATATCCATTCTTGATCAGTAAAAGGGATTCTCGGCTGAGTTAAATCATAATTTTAAAAGTCACTGACTTACTATAAACCAAGTTACCATAAAAAACCATTGACAAAGTTGTTAACATTGTTGATATTGTCATTAACACAGATACACATGCCTAGCCCAACATGACTCTATATGCTTTTATTTTAAATTCAGTTCACAAGTAGGATTTATACCTACACAGGACTAAAAGTTTAGTAGTTTTGAACGATGTGAGACTTCAAAAGAAGGAAGAGATGATGAGACTTGTAGGCATTATACTTACAAAACAAACTGAATACCAAAAGCTTTTTATTCATTTGTTCTCTTTCTTTCCTTTTTCAGAAAGATTTGAATAAAGGAAGTGTTGAAGTCTGCTCGCGAACTGCATTTGCTTCTTTTTCACAAGAGAGATAGAAGGAAGAATGATAAACAAATATGCAACGAAGAAGAGAGAGATCAATTCTGAATTTAATGGAGGGATGAAACTGTCCCCTCCTTAATTTTAAAATATTTTTTTTATATGAAAAAGGTTGCGACTAATAAACATTTTTGGTCCCTTTTATTTAAAAAAAAAAGAAGTGAATTTATTTGAAGCTTTTTTTTTTTTAACAATTTAATAAGCTGAAAATTTTAGCTCATTAGGCTTAGTTCTTCCTTTCTTGATTCAATTCCGTTCTTAATTATTTGAATATGATATTAGCTTTAATTTTAGATGATGATGTTTGAGTAAATTTTAATATAATTTTTTATTAAAAAATTAATTTAAAAATAATAAATTTTTCTTTTATTTTATAAATTTTTAAAGAAATTAAATAAGAGAATTATATATATATATATATATATATATATATATAAGCAAAAGTTGATTTAACTTACAAGAATAGTTTAATTTATTTTATTATTCTATTTTTTACTCCTATTAGTAATTATTAAGAAGATTATTTAAATTGGATCTTTATCAAAGTTGCTTTTGTTTTTTATAATGTAAAGCTAAACTAATCGTTACTTTCATGTTAAAACCAAGCCATTAATAGAAAATTTTCATATCAGCTTTGATAAAAATTATCCAAATTGATGTGTAAGCTATTTAACAAAAATAAAAATTAGAGTTTGTTTTGATTAATCAAACTTCTTTTTATGTTTAAAATAAGTGCATTTCTAAGTATTACAAGTTATAGTAATAATTTTCTCATTTTATTTCGCACCTCAAAAGAACATGACTAACTCTGCCTAAGTCTCAAGCTTTGCTTGTGTGTGTGTGTGGGGTGTCCTTTTTTCATTAATATACGAAATAAAACTTCATATGTAGACTAGGAACCGTATTTTTACTCCAGAAAGATTCTTGACCATTTTTCCCTGCTCTCTTTTTCTCTCCCTTTTCATTTCAAAAGTAATGAATGAGATCCTCGGGATGACCTAAACCATATTTCCACTTGCGCAGTAGTTCAAGTAATCTCTCTCCTTCCTACCTTCGGCAAAAATTACGCAGGTTGAAAACCCCCTTCACTAGCAAATAAATTGTTATGCTGCTAACTTGTTAAGGGTCAGTCTAAACTGATAAGTAATAACTGAGACTAGGTGGAAGTGAACGTTTACACTAGTCGTATCTCCTAAACAAATGTTACACAAATTGTACTCAACTGAAAATCGAAAAACTAATATTCTTACATAAACGAAAATCTAATAGCGTAGGTACACCCGTGGATTTTCATAGTTAGGCTATTACATATACATCACATTATTCTTCTCATTGACTAAAAAAGGATAATTCAAAAATCAGTTTCAGTAACTTTGAAATACCTACATGCAGATCAGTCCCAAGCCTCCAGTGTGAAAAATTAGATGCTCTTACCAATTCATGAAGCATCTATTAGCTGAATGTTCAAACGAGAGAAAGAAAACACCCGATTCCATAATTCCAATAGCAAAACGTTTCATACACTTTATTATAAAAATTATGGAAAGGAAGATTACTAAAAAAGAACAAAATTTGGAAAGACTTTCAATAAATTTAAAATTAATTCTAACTTTGAAACAGAGTTTTAATGAATTCGGCAAACAACACTTCTCGACTAATGCAGCTCTCAAATAGTGAATAGTACAAAGAGCTCGCATTCCAAAACCGTGAATATACTTTGTGTAACGATTAACCCAAGCCTGGGTAATTTAATTTGAAAATTTCTATAATGGAAAGACCCGATCATCTGGATAGCAGGAGTAGATGAGTAATGTTATAAAATATGCATTATTAATTATTTAGAAAAGCATTTGTCCCAAAAAAGAAAAATAAAGAGTTATATATATAAACACCTTTAATTTTCCAAACCCTACTTTAAGTCCAAAGAGTGTAAATAACTGTAAGAAATATAATAAACTAAAATCAGAACAAATGAGGATTCAAATAAGTCAATTTTCTTTCAAGCACAATTTGATTTCCCCTTGATTTGAATTTCTCTATAGCCATTTGGCATTTATCTGAAAATCAATATATAACAAGAAATTGTAAATTTTTTAAGAAAGAAAAATCGCAAATTGACCTAAAACTTGTGAGAACACACACCAACACCTATGTAAAAATGGCCAGCAGAAGCTTCCATGGCTTTGTCCCTACTTTTTTTTGTTGTTTTCAAATTTCACTATGTTGAAGACAATAAATAAAATATTCCTCATCACACCTCACACCTCACTATTGGCTGAAGTGATTCACGATAACAGAGTAAGCCACGGGATAACTCTGTCAACCTAGAAGAGGTTCAACATTTCTGTCAGTTTATTATAATCCCATAAATGCATGTTCTGCGACATGAAAACGGCACCAACAGCAAGTACAACGGAGATAATTGCCATGCTCTTCATGCATCCATGGCCTCGTGATAATCGCCCCAAAATGACTTTGCAGTACTTGTCTGCATCCTTCAATAATGTATGGCGAGCACCATCATCCACCTTGGCCAATGCCTTTTCATTCTACAAAGACAGATTGAGATATTACGTAACTTTTTCTTGCCATTTACAATATAGTAAAATTAGGTTTCAGATAAGATGCATCCTCTATAACTACACTACTGGAACAAAAAATCACCTATAAGATAACTTCAGTATTTAGATTCTACTCAGGCCTAAGGATTTTGAAAATGTCAAAGAAACATAAGGACCAGCTGCAAAAAGATTAGCAAGCTTAAGCAAATTGAGTCGTTGCTCATTCAATTAAATCCCATTTTGGGAGAGTTTTGAAGAGCTTTCATGTTCATACTTTATTTGAGCTTATTTTATCATATAAATACTAAAGCTGCGAATTTAAGGTGTTGGCAAAGCTTATGAAAGCGGAAAATGACCCTCCTATAAGCTCGTCATAAAGCTTATAAAAATAAGCCAAGCGATTACGACTATTTGGCCACAAACCCTTATCTGATAAGAACAGGAACTCAATTGTTTATCCAAAATCACCATTTGTCATACAAGAACAATTTGTAAAGTAGACAAAGCTTCAATGGGCATCCTGACAGTGTTCAGGTTTGCATAAAATGCAGCAGAACAGTTAGAAAGGTTGAGTTTCTCAAACCATCATTAATTGTATTTATTAAAATGAAAATAGCTTTGCTTACCTTTTGAATAAATCTCTTAAGAGTTTCCCTCAAAGGATCTAGAGTAGGATGTTTGACACAGTGTTCCTTCCAATCATCAGAAAGCTTTTTCAATACAGCAATACTTGCCTTAAGGTTATCCATATAAAGTAAATCCTGTTTCCAAGTATTCAACACACGTTTTTGTTAATAAGTCGAAAAGGAGTGACAGGGGAGGGGGGGGAGGGGAAGTAGAAAAATACAGAAAAAAATTGATAAATACTATACTCTTGTACTCACCCAATGCTTGTAACATTCAGGGTTCTGAGTCAAACACCAAATAAAGATGTCACTGGCTTCTTTTGATAGGTCAGGATTGGCTGTAAAGATTCAAGCATGTAAGTTTTCATACTACAGTACAACACCAACTCCTTCAAGTCTCAATTATAAATACTTGAGAGACAGCAGAGATTGCAAATAAGTAACATGTGCAAAGGAAGAGGGAAAAATTGATGACAATCTACACTAACACAATGTTACCTTCTCCTGCAGCTTTGATTACATAGCTTAATATCTGTTGTGCAAGAAGCTTTATAGCTTTACTTCCAGGGGTTCCCACGAGGGCTACCTCTTTTAATGTTGGATATACAGCTTCAAACCTTTCAGTGGCCTTAACAAAATATACCAGAAGAGTAACTCATCTAAACCAATGAATGCAAAGCAAGTCATTAAAAAATGCACAAGATTCTATAAGAAAAATCTACCTTGACCCGGGCTGAAGGAACAGGGAAAGTAACTCTCAATAGAGAGTCAAGAGCCCATGGGGGCACAACACGCTCCCCTTTTCTGACAGCCCCATTAAGCAAGATAGGACGAGCTTTAGGAAATGTGATAATTCTGTTTCAAAGAAGAAAGAATAAAATTGGTGAAAACTAATTAAAAGCAAGAAGGAGCAGCTAGGAATTATGCATTGGTTACAATAAATAAATCACAAATTAGTGTTGAATCACTAAGGTTCCTAACCTCTCAACCAATTGTAATATCATGTCTCTTGACTGTGGATTACAACCAAACTTCCCACTCAGTATGGGCAAGAGAAGAGACACCCACAAGTACAACCCCATCACTAGATCTCCTTGAGAAGCCTACACAAATCAAAGTCCATATAAATGATGTTTGAGTGTTTGGGAGGGGAGGCACTAAACCACATTGAAAACAATTACCTGAGCAACCACCCATATAGTGACAGGGAGTTTATCTTGTGCTTGATATTTTTGACTCTCCTTCATTATTGGCACTAAGCTAATCATGACATCAGGTTTTCGTCGAAGCACCATTGCTAAAACCACAAATATGGCAACCTGCAATTCAAGAGATACACAATATTCACACCAAATACTCACTTCATTATATTTTATAGCTCATCATAACATGTCACTACAGCATTAAATTAGACACATTCTACCATGCACCAAATTAGATGAGGTATATTTTTGTTGGTACATCAAAAGTTCAAGTAAGTTGAGTCCAAGGGATTCACCAAGGTCATGGCATGAATCAAGACTTAAAGAGCACTTATAGTAGTTACAGATGACCTACCAACGAGGTTCTTACAGAAATATATTGATGCACCCAAATTTTTTAACCACAAACTATATAAATAAAAAATCAAGATGACACATTTGCCCCTAGCATCCCTCACCTTCACGAACTTCCCAATGGTACTCCCACCATTCCACCTTCACCCAGCCCCCACCCAACTACCAAGGATAAAGAACTACAATGTCAACATTGGTGAGGAAGACAACGAAGACAGTGAGTGCAGAGAGAAGTGCAAGGGTTTCAAAATTGGAGAATGTCTAGCCGTTCGTTTCTCTCTCCTCATCATTGTTATTACCACTCAGCTCGTTTTTCATGGTCGTTGATTTCATTGCTGTCTCTGCCCATGGTTCAGTTGATCATCAAGTTGTAACATGGTGGTGACAGCCCAAAGACATCCTACAGCGGAACTCCGAGACAACAGTGTGAAATTCATTCTTCCTCCCTCTTTGCCACCATCATCTTCCTCTGTCAGTATTGCCACTCCACCAAAGACCCCAAGCCACATCCAAATCCAACCTGCACCCAACAACAACCATCCCAACCAGAGTTCTTTCCCAGCAACTGCATCATTATTGGCAAACTTCCTCCTTCATCAACTGAGTTTGTAAGGAAGATCGACAAGGTCTGGTGACAAGGAGGGGCTTATCAAAGCAGGATTTGGCCTGGACAGCAAGAGGAGTTGGTTGCAGTTTGTTTGGATGATGAGTTGCTCACTTTGGGCAGTGGACTTAAGAGGTGTGCTGTCGGCTTCATGGTGAAGATGGGGCACTGCAGTTGCGGGGTCTGATTTCAGCTTTGGCAATAGGTGGGTTGGCAGTGGCAGTGGGGGACCATGGTAGTGGTGTCATGGGGGCCGGCAATGGTTCTGCTGTGGGGCAGGGTCTGATTTCAGCTTTGGCAATGGGTAGGGTTGGCAGTGGGGGACCATGGAGTGGTCTAATGGGTGATGGCAATGTTTCTGCTGTGCCTGCATGCAAGGGGTTGGATGGGAGATAGGGGTGAGGTAAAAATGAATTTTCCTCACAGGTCCAGAGATGCACCTTATCCTCTTTGGTGCATTGTAGAATCCATCATTAAATTAACATTATAAGTTTTTTTTACTGATATTTCAATAAATTTATTTATATTCAATAAAATTTGGGGGTCATGCTGCAATCATCAATAAGTAGTAAAAAATCATTAAGTATTATAGAAAGAAATCAAACAAGAGCCAAGCTGATCATAGAATACCAAGAAGTTTATTAAAATGGCATCCATTATGAAATTTCATCTTGGCGATGAAGTACATTTTTCCTTAAAGATATCTGTCTAAATTTCCAGAAAATCAAGTACACAACCATTCAAACCTGACAATCAGATACTCATAGATTACTGTGTGTGTGTAGGGGTATCCTTATGCATATTAAATTTTAAGAAATACAACACCTTAAGACCTATGTTGTCAAATTAAGCAGAGTGTCGTATGATTTCAAAAGGTACCTGAGATTTCGATGATGATTGTTGGACCGACTTCTTAAATCCCTTAACAACACCCTGATGACTGCTAAAGTCTTCAAGAATGCTGTCCAATGACCATAGCACAAAGGAACCAAGTGCTTCAGATGACAGGTGAGCAATCCAATCAGTAGATATTTTGTAAATATCCTCAGAAATATGAGAAAGAGGGATCTGTTCAGAGAAGCAAAATGATAAGAAACACTAACGGTAACTATTAAGCAAGGACAACTAGCAATCCAAACCAGCAAAAATAACGACCATAAAACAGAGTACCAGACACAGATCATTAAAAATTTTGCAAGTCGCGTAGTTCAGCAACACTTTTCACGAACAATTTAAAAGAATAAAACCAGATCAGAAATTGCTCATGCAATTGAAAATTCTATACTTTTGAATTACACGAGTAATATCTGATCTGCAATTCAAAATACTATACTGTACCACCATATGTCATGCGCATCACAAAAAGGTCCAGCATGTTTCCCCTCCAAAACAATGCTGGCGCTCCACAATTGTATATCATAGGAGAGAACAAAGTCGAATCCAGAAAATGATACAATCATTTTTTCAAATCTTAATCCAGATTATGCTTTTCAAAAAGAAAAAAAAATAGAAACAGCTTACATCAACAATCCTTGCAACGGTGGACTCTTTGAACGTCTTCAACCACGGGAATTGAGCTCCACTCACTGACGAGAACACACGACCAAAGTAATCGGCAAATCGCATCAGCTGAATATCTTGTTGCGAATCATAAGAAGCCTGCGCAAACGCGATTCAGATGAACAAAAACTGAATCGCAATTACATCGGATCAATCGGAAAATTGAAATCAAACACCGACACTCACGGTTATTTCGGCTAGAAACGCGGTGAGATCATCGGCATTGATTCTGGAAGCAGCCTCTGCAACCGTCACCTTCGGCTTTTTCGGCTTCTTCTGTTTCACCTTCTTCACCTCTGAAGAACCGTTCTGAATGGCTCCGGCTTCCGGTTGCGCATCGATGTCGTCTTCGTCGTCGGAATGCCGCTTCGATCTGCTCGGAGCGGCGTCCACTGATGTGGCGGCGGCGATCTGAGACTCCAAGAGTCGGAGGCGGCGCTCTTCGGAATGCTGCTGGACAGAGCGGAACACGTCGGAGGATGGATCGCCGGCGGAATTGTCATCGGCGAGGGGCTTCTTAGACGAGGACTTGTTGCGTTTACGCTTCTGATACGACACCGTCTGCCATTCGTTGTCTTTGGCGGTGGTGTTTTGCGCTGTGTGGTTCCTTCTTCTGTAAGCTTCTTCTTCCTCCTCTTGTTCCCTGAGAATGGCTTCGATGAGAGCTGAAGTCTCATCCATGTTTTGAATCAACACACTCCCTCTTATGATGCGGAAGAAGAAGACGAAGAAGAAGATCGAGAACGGCGTTACTAGAAAGGGATCGGAGGCAGAGAGAGACAAAGAAGGAAGAGAGAAGGTTGTTACTTAAGAAGGAGAAGGAGAAGAAGAAAATGATGACAGAGAGACAGATACAGAGCCACTCTGTGAGTAAAAAGACACGTGGGTGTTTCGTTCTGCTTTTCGAGTTTGACATTGTGTAAGTTACTCAATCTGTATTTATATATATACACTGTGAACCCTAATTTTTAATTTAAATTTTAAAAATATTTAAAGTGATAATGATTTTAGGATTTGTTTTCTAAAATTTAAATTTTTTGTAATTAAAAATAATATAATATAATATATTTTTTATTTTTTATTTTTGAAAATCTGTTACTATAACTGTAATATAAAAAAATAGGATAATCAATAACGGCATTATCCGTTTCTTTAACTTATTTTTTTCATTATTTAATAAGTTATTTAAATTAATTTATAAAATTATTTCGGACTGTATCTCCAACGGATTACCTCCCGATTACAGAACAAGTACGTGACCTATTTATATTTTATAAAATTACGATATTCCATTACTCCTAAAAGATAATACTATTATCCAGAAAAAAAATAAGATAATACCATTTTTTTTGTAAAAGAACTTAATTTTTTTAAAGTAAAAATAATGTAAAATGAGAGTTTATTTATTATTTATTTTAATTTAAATATTTTACAACAAAATTATTTTGTACAGTATTATATGAGATAGAAATATATGTATAATAATTTTTTAATAAAAATATAATATTTAAATAATATCAGTGTATTGAAATTTTTAAATTTTAATAACAAATTACTAAATATATAAATATTTTAAGTTTGAAAAAATTAGGCTTAAAATTTATATGATATGCATTAAAATAAATTTATATGATATTTTTTTTTACTTTTATAAACTTTGATTATAATAATTAACATTTTTAATATTAAATATAACTAAAATAAAAAGCTAGATTAATAAAATTTTAAAATTAAAAAAATTAAATGTCATTTTAATGTGTTATGTAGGCTTCTCTCTTTCCTTTTCTTGAAATTACATTATTTATAATGATTTGTATCTTTTTAGGAGTTTGAAGGGAGAAGAAGGCAAAAGGAAGAGAGAGATAAGGAGATTAAATTTATGCCTTATTTAGATGTTTAATATTGAAAAAGGAGTAATATGAAGTTTAATTATATAAATAATTTTAATATTAATATTTTTATTTTTAAATATTTTTTTAAATTATCACTTACATTTAAAACAAAGTTAAAAAAAATTATTTGTAAAATAATATGAAAGAGTAAGAGAAAAAAAACTTCAAAAAAATGCAAAAAATAAATTTTTGAAGAGAAAAACTTCCAAAACCTTCTCCTCCTAATTAAGCAATTTCCAAACAAAATTAATTTCCTTCTAATTTCTCTCCTCCTCTCCTAAATTTAACTTCCAAACATAGCCAAATTTCTATTACCTCTCTATTTTTTCCCTTTTTCTCGAAATTATAATAGACATATTCCACACTTCATCTACTTCTCTCTTTTTTTCTTTTTTTTTTTTCTCTCTAAGTCATACGACTGTAATTTAATAACTAATTTTAACATCATTGTATTTTCTAGATCTGCAAAAAAGTTAAGTTTAAAAGTTCTATGTTTACATTTTTATTTATTATTGTTTGAAGCTCCAACCCTATTATTGCTTTTAGGATTCTATGCATGTGTTTGAAAGAGAAGGTGGTGAGAGTAATTAAAAATACCAAAGTTATGAGGGTGGAAACGTGATGAATGCAGTGACAACAATGATGCAAAATCAATTAGGTTAGTCCTAAAATTTTGTCAAAATGTGTTGTTTTAATTTTTACATGTAAAGTTAATATTTTTTAAACGTTGAGAGAATTTAAATGCATTTGAACTAGTAAAGTGATTTAAACAAATAAACAAAGTTGATCTCAATTCTCAACTTTAGAGTACACATTTAAAAATACATTGTCAATATTAATATTATAACTCTAAAAGTTTTGAATTTAGATATAGGAATACTTACATATATTTTTCTATTTCATATTTTTAAGCTTTGTTTAGTAAAATAAGTAAAAGTATTAGTAATTAACTTTTTAAAGTTAAATACTTCATTAGATAACTTTGTAATAAATTAGTATTTAAATGCTTCAAGCTCCTTTGGTTATTTATTTATTTATTTACTAATAGGTTCTACAAATTTATTAATCTAATGAATAAATTACAAGTTGATACATAAATTACGCAAGTTAAAAAATGCATATCTCATAAAAAGAAACAAAATCAATAAAATTATTTTCTTACATTTAATTTTTATTGTTATTTTTTAAGTTTAGAGCTTTTCATTTCAACACGATTCTTAAAGATGATTTCGCTTTACACTATTACATGGTTTATTTTCAAAGTTACTTTCTAAATATAATCCAAATAGATCATGATGATTTCCAAGATTCAGTCCCTAACAAAGCCACTTATCTACAAAAAGTAAAACCAACGATCCCACTCAAAAAATTATTCCATTTTTTCAGACCAATATACAAACATAGCCCACTCGACAAGCATGACACAGCATTAGGTAATGGTAATTATAATTCATCAACTGGAGATTGCCATCCGTATTACATTTTGCTATTCACCTCACCCGTTTAATAGTAACCTTCTAAATTTAATTTTTAAAGGTATGTTTAATATTTTTTAAGAATTTAATTTTAGATTTATCAAAAACTAAAATTTAAAAGTGATTTTCTACCCAAAAAAAAATTAAAATTGATTCATTAATTATTTTTAAATTTTAAAAAACATTAAAAGTACTCTAAAAATTATTATTATTTAAACAATGATATAAATAATAAAAAAATAATATAAAATTAGAACATATTTGATTTCTGTTTTAAAAATGAATTTTTGTTTTTAAAATAAAATTTAATATAAATTTATACTAAAACTTATTTTTAAAAATAAAAAACTGTTTTTAAGACAGAAATCAAACATATTTTTAAATCTTAATTTCCTTTTTGTTAACCGATTAACGTCTTAAATTAATTTGGGCCTACGATCGGGCTGGGAACTAACTTCTTGGCCCAAAACACTATTCTACAGGTACGGAAAAAACCCGCCCATGGTACCGAACTAACTCCGTCCGTCTAAAACCCTCAACAATAAACTTTGTGCTGCTGCGACTGCTCTGAACTGAACCGGAAGAAGAACCATGGCGTGCGTTGATCCCCCAAGGAAGAAGAAGAGGAAGGGACAATACGGCATCGCAGAGCTGAAAACCCTAGGAAACCAGCTTCTCTCCTCAGCATCCCACATCAACAACCTTCCTCTCCTCCTCACCTTTGTTTCTCCTACTTCCCCTCCCCACCACGTCCTCGAATCCCTTCTCTCTCTTCACTCCTTCTTCCTCCCCCTCCTCCCTCGCCTTCCTTCCTCCGCCGCCACCACCGCACCCTCCGACGGCGACCAATCGGAGTTCATATACCTCACCTGGCTCCGTTCCAAGTTTGACGAGTTCCTCAAGTCCCTCATCGACGTTCTCGCCTCGCAGCAATCCGATGAAACTCTCAAGGAACTCGTGCTGGACACGCTAATGGAGTTCGTGAAGGTGGCCAATGGCGGCGCCTTCCATTCTGCTTTATATCATAGACTTCTCCAGAGTATTGTAAGATATACCATCGTTCTTGATAAATGTATTATTTTTTGTTGTTGTTGTTGTTGCTGCTGCTGCTGCTGTTGTTATTATTATTACTGCGATCTAATTTCTTTCATTTTCGATTGACGCTATCAGGTGCACTCTACTAGTCCCGTTACGTTTTTGGTTGATTTACTTGCATCGAAGTATTTCAAGTATATTGATGTCCGGTATGATTATTATGCTGTCAATGTCTTTCTATGCAAGCTATTCTTTCATCTATTGTTTTGGTATTTGGTATTTTGTTTTTATGCACTAAATATAAATATATATATATATATATTTTATTTTATTTTATTTATTGTAAAGAAGGGTTGCGGTAATTTATAGATTATGTTGTTTTATGAAAAGGAGAAATTTATGTTGTCTGTTTTATTGGGATGAATTTGCAAGTCCTTGATTCACTGACATTATCTTTTTCCCTATTTTACATTTTTGTGTACGTGCATTGAATATGTAACTTGTGTCAGCTGCGGGGTTTAGCTAGTTTATTGAATGTTTTTGTTACTTAGTGCAGTTATTTTACATTCATAAGCCTGAACAAGCTCGCCAGTACTTTGGATGGAAAAGATCTCTCAGGTGCTTTTCTTCCTTTGCGTGCTTTTGTTAGTTTATGTTTGGAAAAATTTATATAAAGCTTTGAGTTAAAAATAGCTTGTGATTCCTATGAGTCTGTTTAGTTTATTTCAATAAGTTTCATCATTAAGTTCATGACATAGGTTATCATATGATAAGAGCTTATTAAAGAAGCACTTGATATAAGTTTTAGTCTTCCATATTTTAACTTGCAAAATTGCAATCATGATATTCGTTTGTTAAATTTCAATTTCCTACTATTTGACTATTCTCCATTGGATAACTCTTGCTTATCCTTGTCAGATGATAAAGTTGAAGGTGCAGATGTTACCACTGAAAGTCAATTGAGTTCAAAGTTAGTAAGACCTATAGTCACTGCTTCAAGCTTCTTCTTATCTTTTCCATTTCCTTCTTTTATCAAGAGCTGTAGATTACCATTGTTAGTTGGCTATCATTAATATTTAGAGATTATTTCCTTTGGTCATAAACCATGCCTTTTTCTTGATAATTCTCTTTTTTTCCAATGATTTGTATCTTGAATGTTTTAATTACAAAAATGTTTGCCCTGTCACACATGCTACAGGTAATAGATTTAGTTTTGCAGCACAATGCTGTCTAGGGAAAGTTAAAATTTGTACTTTTCCCGAATTCTGCCAGGCATACTTAGTCTAGAAACTTGGGCTCTATGATATGTATAAATTTACTATAAATAGCCCTAGACTGTCTTAGTTCAGCAGGTAACTTGAAAGTGTACTCTTTTGCAGTATGGTATGTGTCATCCACAATATGTATTACACTATATCACATGTTCCTCCTCTTCAAGGCTCAGATAATACATCAGATTTTGAAATGTGGAGCAGATCAGGTGACTGTTAGCTCATTTACATTTTAGGCTTTCTGATTTTAAAAAAGTTTATTATCATAGTGAAGATCTTGACATTTCCCCTTTTGAGGTGTATCCCCCCCCCCAAAAAAAAAAAAAATACTCTGTACAATTTTATTTTTTTTTAAGATTAAGAAAATAACGAAGTGTATCTCTATTTGTAATTTGAATTTTTGTCCATAGAAAATGACAATAAGCAACTTTCTGGAGATGTGGACGCTGATGATAAGCAGCTGAAGCCCCAGAAGCATAAAAATGTAAGTTTTTATTCTATACTCATTGTTAAGTTCAATGTTACTCCCTGCTTTGCACTTTTTGTTATCAAGGATCTTTTATCCTTCAATTTCAATGAATTGCATTTTGAAAAACCTTCTAATCTAAAAACTCATGTAATCGTGTCTTCTTTCACATAATTTCCTGTGTACTTTATCTTTGTTGTTATGTGTATAGGTATTATCTTCAGCCAAAATTGCCAAGAAGATGAAGTTAAAGTTTACTAAAGCATGGGTTGCATTTCTTAGATTGCCACTTCCCCTTGACATTTACAAAGAGGTAATCTACTAGTGTACACTTTTGAAATTTGAATATGGCTGTGACATTATATTCTGCAAAATGGTATGAATGTTTGATTAAAGATATCTTTGTCAGTCTTTAGATCCAACATAGGATTAGAAGTGGGGAAGAAACACTAAAATCAAGGGATTGCAACATGGATCATAAGATCCTACCAACAATATAAAATTATAGTATATTATATGTGCATGTGCATTTATGTGTGTCTGTTTCTCTGTGTATATGTTTGTAAACAACTCCTAATAGTTAAATTAATATAAATTGAAAATACTTACAATTGTCAAATACAGCTCATACTCATGTTACAAGTTAAACAGCTCCAAATATGAAAGATGACAACACAAAAAACTTAAACACTGAATGAAATGCAGTCCAACTCCAACTCTAGGTATCTAATCTAGCAAATAATTGAAGTACTGATTGTAGTAGTCATCAATCATTATGAGAGTTGAATGATGAGATTTGGTTGGACTAGTTAGGATCTCCATGGTTAGGATGTCTAATGATAGTTGAATGAGGACACTTCTAGTCAGTTAGGCCATTAGTTGGTTTGACAAGATTGGTTATAAATGGGGAAAATCAGATTGGGGTAATTTGATAATTTATATAAGTGAAAGAAGAGATCCTTTGTGAAGGGGAAACACTTGGGAAAAATTCTGTTATCCATTTTCTTTTCGGCAATAATATGATTCTATTCTTTTGGTTCTTTCTCTCTATTCCATCTTATTCTCTGTTCTTCAGTAATATATGGAAGAGAACAGAGACCTATGCTTTCAAATCTAAATGAGATTGAAACTGAAGAGACAAGTTCACAAAGAAGGTTTACTGCATTTAGATGGTGTTTTGCATGCCTAGACAAATTGGTTAGGGCAAAAATATGCCCTTTTTTTATTCTGAATACACCCTCACGTTGATGGATCTGAAACTCTTTGTGAAGTATCCTTTCATTCTGTGTTTACCCAACAATTCCACAATGATTGTAATTCCTAGGGATCTCCAATCTTTCATGAGTGTGGAAATGATTCAACATTGTAGGTTCCTATGATCTTATGTGTAAGATTTTAGTTTTAACAACAATGGTGATAATATTTATCAATATAGTTGTGTGGTAGCTTTTTCTCTACTTATATGCCATGTCTTGAGAATACTGGTCCCTTGCTTGTAAATATTGAGAACTTACTTTATGTGTACATGTATGTGATCTTGCATAAACAAGTGGCATGATAAAACCTTTTTATAGTAGTCCTGAATTGAGGACTTCCAGCTCAACTTTTCTTTCTTTTTTTATTCTAAAATTAGAAAATTTGATAGACATGCCAGTAAGATTTTCAGGAATCTGGATATTATTGTTTTTCCTGGAATTAAGATGATTCTATGAGTGCTGTGTCCTTAATGTCCCTCCAATTGTACCATCATTATAATCTTGAATCATGGCTAGCTAGAAGTCCTAGCCATAATTCCTGAACCATTTCTTGTTTTTGATAAAAAAAAACAGATTCATTCAGTTTGTGGCCTTCGTGTTTTTTCACGCAAAACCTTTTATTAATCTATTAAGTTAGTATTCTGGTCAGAAAACCTTGGTTGTTAACTTGCTATAGTCAAAACACACTTGTAGCAACTGTACTGAGATTCTTAATCAGTAGTTGTTTTTATGCTCTCATTTTATTTGTATGGGACTGCATGGTTTTACTTTTTCCCTTTTAATTCCCTGAGCTACATGATCTTTTATTTCCAGGTTCTTGTTAATCTTCACCAAGTGGTTATTCCTCATCTGTCTAACCCCATCATGTTATGGTAAACATCAATGCTCCATGAATTTGTCAATTTAGTATGATAGCTAACTGTTGAATCTGACATGTTACTTTATTGTGTGCAGTGATTTCTTAACAAGATCATATGACGTTGGTGGTGTAGTCAGTGTGATGGCTCTTAGCAGCCTTTTTGTCCTAATGACTCAGTATGGATTAGAATACCCAAATTTCTATGAAAAACTATATGCCCTCTTAGTTCCATCTATCTTCATGGCTAAGCATCGAGCAAGGTTTTTTCAGGTGAAGCTTATTTAATTATTTTTGTCAGATATGACAAGTAAAAATGACAAAAGGAGAATTTTGAAGCAATAATAATGTTATCTGTTCATTCAGTTATATGGACATATTAATGATTTATTAAATTGGTACATTTTATTTGTAAACTTTCTATGCTTTACAATTTGGTAATAGTGATTAAGTGAGTTGGCATGTCAAATTTGGAGAGATTTTATCCTTCAATAGGACTAGGACTATAGTAAAATTTCTGGTTAGTCCTTTGACTCAGAAATTTAGGAGTTTGGTGCAGGATAATAAATGTTTTAATCTATTTTATGTGTTTTTGGGGTGGGGTTGTAAAAGAAAAGTTCTATTAGGAACAAGGATAAGAAAGCACATTGGATGGGATTAAGGGATCCTCGTAAGCAATGCAGAAATTCCAATGACAGAATGCTGATTAAAACTGATATGTTATAACATTACAACCTCTAATTTTGGTGTTTGTTGAACAATAGGATATGATAATTTATCCTGTTGAGCTATTCTATCTTATCCTCATAGTTTAAATTCTTATCATAAGAGAAATGATGAACTATGAAACATCAAGATAGAATAACTTTTTTCTATTACATTTTTACTAATACTTTATACCCCCTTTAATATTTTATAAAAGTAATTTTTTAAGAAATATAATCTTAATACATTTTATAAAAATATTTTAAAAAAGTATATTTCTTAAAAAATATTTTATTCATTTTATAAAATATAGTTTTAAATTTTTATAATTTATTCTTGTTTTAATTGTATTTTATTACCAAAAAATAAATTTTAATTGTAAAAAAAATGAAAAAATTATTGTAATTTAATATGACATGTACACAATATATATATATATATATATATATATACACATATTCTATTGAAAATTTAAATAAATAAATACTTTAAAAAATTATATTAGTTTTAATAAAAAAAAAAATTTCATTTAAATATATTTTACATTTTTTTTATGTCAAATATTAAATAAATAACATAATTTTATATGCTTTACTATCTTAATATACATCAAACATAGGATAGGATAAGAGTTTATCCTTCTTTTAGTATATCTTTTATCTTTGATACTCTTCTGTCTAGGGTCTTTGATACTATCTGGAAAATAAATACATCTAAATATTATAATAGAATGGGAAACTTCCAAATGTTTAAACTGAAGGTATATTACAAGCCAAACATAACTAAACACCAGTAATAAGATAACCCTATTTTATAATTGAAATGGAGTTAGATAATCACGATAGGATGAAATCCTCGAATGACAAATATTCCCAAATTGAAAAACTTACAACCAAAATTACGTACTAAAACCATGTGCCCATGTTTGATCACATTTTGTACATCAGATGAGGAACTCCCTCAAAAGGGAACTCCTTCAAAAGTAGTCATTAGGTTAGCGACATAAATATGCTAAAAACAACTATTTCTTTAACCTGGAAAGGAACAATTCCCTTCATATGTAGTATGGAAAAACCAAAATATAGAACATGATAGAGCGATGATGAAAAGTTACTCGAGTGACAAAGTGTTAAAGTGAAGAAACTTTTTGCTGTATGTAAATCCATGCATTTGTTCTTTGACACAATGCAATTTGCTAATTGCAGCTTCTTGATTCTTGCCTCAAGTCACCACTTCTTCCAGCATACCTGGCTGCTTCCTTTGCAAAGAAATTGAGCAGGTTGTTGCTTTTGGTTCCTCCTTCAGGGGCATTAGTTATTACAGCTCTGATTCACAATATTTTGCGTAGACATCCTTCAATCAACTGTTTGGTGCACCGGGTAAATTCAGTTTCCTATCATCTATCTTTACTCTTTCATCTTGTCAAACGTTTAAACATTTTGGTTTCTGCATTGCATCTTTAGTATCTAAGATGTTATCAGGGATCACATAAAAATATTAGGAAGCTAGGGAAAGAGAGCAGTGACTTTGAAATTATAGTCTCTTGGCCTCTAACTATAAGCTTCTCCATTTGGAAGACAAATGTATATATGTCTGGACTTACCTTTCCAATCTGCTCAAGTTAATCTTGCAGTTCAGTATAAGGTTTTTTAACAGTAGCCTTATGTTGGCTCTGCGGGGTCTTGTGAACTGGGTTGTAGCTTAACCATGTAATGGCTCAGCTATGTGAAAAACAAAAAAAAGATTAGCTGTGACCAAGAGCATGTGGACTATGATGCTCCTGCTTTGAAATTAATTTTGGGCCTGGCTTGGATGAGATTATTATTTTTTATCAAATGTTCCATGATTGATGCTTAAATTAATTACATCTTTGCATAGCATGCGTAGTGAGATAGAACTACAATACTAAATGAGAATGCAAAACTACAGAAGATCTAGGATTGAAAAGGAATATCAGTATCTGCCAACTTCTTTCCATTTTTTCCTCATGGATGGAATCTTGTGTTGTTAGTTACAATGGTTTGGGTGAAGTGTCAAAAGTTTCTGTAGCTTTTTACTTGCAATTGCACCATTATTAACCTAGCTTCCTTCTATTCTTAATTCTCTTATTCTTCCCTGTCTCTTATTCTTCCCTTAGTTATTCTTATTTAATATTTAAACCTTTTTGTCATTCTCTTTTTAAACTATGGTTGAGTTTTGGGGGAATGCCAATCCTTGCCTCCCAAATCCACCAAAATCCATAAATGACTCAAAACTCAGTTTGATTATGGTCCCTGATACTTCTGGTCAATAAAGATTGTACTGTAAATCCTGCATGACATGCAGCTGGCATTTGCAATTTTCTGCCAGAGCTATGGAGTACATAATTGACACTGTCTGACTTTTTGTTTCCCTCATTCTTTTTCTTTTGGGGTGGCCTGGAGACTGGACTTGGTTAAGGATGCTCTAATATGGTTAGGGATTGAATCTTCAAGTTGGCCAGATACCATGATGAGAGAAATATAGAGGATTGGGAAGAGGAACTTTCTAAATTAAATGACCTACAAAATATTACTGCCTGATCTATTTTATAATTAAAGGTAGGGAATGCATGAATTTATAAATGCTTTGGGTTCGAATTTTTACCTCAGCTGTCATAATTTCAGTGCTGGGTTTCCCTAGGTGACTAAACCTTTAAAATAGCCAATAACTGTTTTGGTTAACATTTAGAATGGAATTTGTGAAGTGGAATTGTACTAGTCAAGAAACTAATTAGGAATCTTTTTCTTATCTCCTTTTTATCACTTTCTTCTTAAGTTATTTTTTTGTGATCATGTGTCAAATTTCAGAATTTGTTCCTCCAGGAAAATGGTTGAGATGTGCCTGATGAAGTGTTGAAAAGATCTATGTTCTTTCTGTTTTGATTGGACTCATAATTTCTGATATATGAGCAGGAAGATGATGTTGATGAAGGGAAAGAAGATCATGGAACAGATGAAGGAACTGCTGCTAACTCAGATAATGACAAGACTGGTGCCACACCCTGCCAGAAATCCGGCATTGACCATTTTAACAATTGCGAAACTAATCCTAAGAAGTCAGGCGCTATGAGTAAGCATCTTCTATATGTTATCCATAGTCCAGTCTAACACAAGTCTACTTTATGCCCTAACCAGACCTTGTGAAAGTTGGAAAAACTGCTTGATTGTTTTATCTCTAGCTGTGTACATCATACACAGTAACACACACACACACACACACAGTTTCGTAACTGTATTAGAGAGAAACAGATTAAGCATGACATTATGAATCACAAATTATATTTTCTGCATCATTGGATGGATACATTCTGAATCCCCCACCCTTCCTCTGTCTGGTTCCAATTAGCTTGCCTGCATTCTGTGTACATAATTAAGTTTGAATTGTCAACATAGGTCAATATCGTTGTTCTGTATTCAAAGTTTTATTACCACATACACTTGGTTGACTGACAAATAATCTGGGCTGGTTTGAACTTCATGACCTGTATAAATTTTTACATTTATACATTAATTTTATGAGCTTAAGTAATTGTATTATATACTATTTAAATTTTGTGAGCAATAAGTCCAAGTTTTGGGTGTCATAAGGGGAGAATTGTAAATCATGGGGTTGGACCAATTGCAATTCCCACACGACTGTTCTACATTGGATCCCATAGTTTTAATATTTATATAGGGAAATACAGGGAAGTACTCCCCTCTATCGTGGTGGTAGAGTTACTTTTTTTTTCTTCCTAGTCTTCTATGTATCTCTTGCTGAAGAAGATCTCTTGAAGCAGGAAGTTCTCTTTGGGAAATTGATACTATTCTTCACCACTACTGTCCTCCTGTCTCAAGGCAAGTGTTTTGATCTTTGACGCTTTACGCGTAGTTTTCCTTTTCTTACCCCAATTTTTTTTAAACGTTTTCATTTTTCGGATTTTGACATGCTATCTTAAACGTTACATGCTTTTGCTTGTGCCTTTAGGTTTGCTTTGTCTCTTGGGAATGATTTGACAGTCCGGGCTAAAACAAGCGAAGTTAATGTTGGTGATTTTAGTGCTGGTTCATATGCAACAATCCTTGGAGCTGAGGTGACATAATATTTTTTTTCCTTCGCTTATGATGATGTGCTTATGTCGTTTGAACTGTAAAATAAGTAAGACTAAGATGTGTATATTGCTCATTGTCTTGTATCATCTGGTGACAACTTGCACCATTGCAGATATCACGGAGAGTAAAGCAGGTTCCCCTGGCCTTCTATAAGGCAACTCCTTCCTCTTTGTTTTCAGAGACTGATTTTGCTGGTTGGACTTTCAAATGTGAAGAAATCCCCGAAATGATTAATGACAATAACGAGAATGGTGCTAAAGATTTATCGGAACATCAACGCTGTTCTGTGAAAAGACACCGAATAGAGTGCTCGTGATTCATGTTTGTCCTCGAGAATGCGCCTGTTTTGTGAAGATGTGTTACTCCTGTTTTATTTATTTATTTATTCTCGATTAAGCATAAAGAATAGGGGGTGTGGATCGGGGGGTCGATTTGGGGACATGTTGGAGTATTCAATGTTTATCCACACACTAAAAATCCTGACTAAATAGTAGAACTATCCCCTTCAATTTGTAGCTTTTGGGGGGAAAAGCATATCCTTAACCTGTTATTAAATTGAAGTGCAAGATTTGCCCATCAGAAGATAGTTTTTGCCACATTTTCTTTTGTTCGAGTGGACTGATTTGTTCCTCAGTGTAGTAGCACATTATTCAGATCATTTATTGCATGTTGGGTGCAAAGTAAAAAAAATGCCGACAATAGATGGAAATGGATTAAAAGAAACTTCGTTTAACAAAAATTTAGTTTCATCAATAGATCTACAGTGTTTGATTGGAAGAAAACAATGGGAGGCGGGGGGGATTTTATTTTATTTTTTAATTTTATCTCATTTGGTTAATAAGTTTAGTTTAGAGTAGAGAAGGGAAATAAAAGGGTCGAATTCCAATATTGGATTGTGTTGATTAAATTATGTTAAAATTTTATTGTAACTCTCGTCTCTATTAATATTTACAAGGGTAAAACAATAATTACTTATAATTTTCTATTCCTTCATTTGCACATATTAAGCAAGGAGACCTTCTCTCCTCATCACCCCATCCCTTTATCTTGAAACAAACAAGGGGTCTTCTCACCCCTCACCCCTCACCCCTCCATTCTTTGATACAAATGCGTCGTTAAAACAAAGGGGGAAAGGAGGATCTATAAGGTAACGTTGTTAGGGAGCTCTTAGTAGACATTGTTTGGCTAGTGCAATCAAGTTGGTTCAAGGCAATTGACTGATATCAACACAAGAAATTTTAGTGGATGAAGGCAAACACATTGCCAGCGAGTAACATTCGTCAATGGGGAGTTAACGTCAACCATAGAACTTAAGAAATCATGTTAACAAATTTTAACGCTAAGTTTGGTTGGACAGAAACTGGCATGAGTTTTTTTTTTTTTTTTAATTGGATTGAAGTGATTTCATATTTGTTCATTTCAGAAAGTTTGGTTGGACTGTAAACAATAACCTAAAGTGGCTCATTTCAATAGGTCCTTCGATCGTGTATTTCCTTTCTGAATTTAGCATAGGAGACGCGGAACGGTTTTTTCCTTTTAATGCATGTTTGAAAATTATATTTTTTATAAAAAATAAAATATATTAAGAAAAAAATATAGTGAAAACTTAAATTATTGCATACTAGATTTATTTTTTATTAGTATTAAAAGTATCATTTTTTTATTTTTGTTTTTCTTTATATTATCACGTTTAATTATCAAACAATTTTTATTTTTTAAATAATACCATATATATATATATATATATAAAGGTGTCATATTAAATAGTTTGCAAAAATTTAAAAAATTTACAAATTAATATTGTTATATAAAAAAGTATATTATAAAAATAGCACATTAAAATACAACTCGCAGTGGTAAAAGCTTTGTCTCAAATTGTGAGAAGAGCCAACCATGACTTGAAGCATAACTTGTAGTATAGGGAGCTAAATTTTGACAAGCTGTAATCTTTTTATAATTTTAATTTATAAATTAGGTTTTATTTTTTACTAACTATCCAATGTAACACATTTTTTTTATATAGTTTGTGTATTATTTAAAAAATATAATTTAAAAACTAAATATAATAATATAAATAAAAGAAATCTTTTTAATTTGTATAGGGTATTACACCAGACACCCTATACAAATTAAAAGGCAATTACACTATAATTGTATAGTGTGTAATATAAACACTTAAATAGGGTGTTAAAATACTATTTCTCTATGAATATCTAATTTTTAAAAAAAACTTGTCACTTTTATTTTTCAGTACACAATACATTATTCAACAAATAATTTTTTTACACCAAAAATAACTTTATAATTGATTAATTTAATTATTTGATTTAATTTTCAATTATTTAATTTTATAAAATATTAAAATTAAATGTTAATTTTTTTATTAAATTTAATATTAAATGTAGAAAATTATTTTGTACGATTTTTTATTTTATATCATAAATATGATTTTTATCTTTTAAATAAAATAAATAAATATAATCATATAGAATACTATAGAAGAGATATAGCTTACTCTATTTGTGTAAAATAAATTAAAAATTGTAGTAATCTTATAAATTTGTAATAAAATTACTGATGCGGTTAAAAAACTTAAGAACAACTTGCCAGGGTTGCTTTATGCACATTTATTTGCTTTTCACATCCCATTAATTTTTTTTTCTAAAATATCCTCATAATAAAAAATATTTGGCTTGTAAAAGAAAAGGCTTCCAAAAATAAAATCCTAATTCTGAAAATTTACTTTTAGAAAAAGTTAATAATATCATAAATTAGTTGTGTAAAAATTTAAATTTGAAAATTAATTAATTTTTAAAAACTTGTTTTTAAAAGTGCAAAATCCTAATTTTAAAAATTTATTTTTAAAAATAGTTAATAATTCTAGAAGTTAATTTCCAGAAGTGTAAAAATTTATATTTGAAAATTAATTTAATTCCAAAAACTTATTTTCAAAAACAGTTAATAATTTCAAAATTTAATTTTTAGAAGTGTAAAAATATTCTAATTTCAAAAAATTATTTCCAAAGATAGTTAATCATTCTGGTAGTGTAAAAACTTAAATTTGAAAATTAATTTAATACCAAAAATTTATTTCTAGAAAGAATTATTAATTCTGAAAATTAATTTCCAGAAGTGCTAAAACTTAAATTTAGAAACAATTTAATTCTGAAAACTTAATTTTTAAAATGTAAAATCCTAATTCTTCAAAAAATAATTTTTAGAAGTGTGAAAACTTTATCTTATAAATTATTTCCACAAGTGTAAAATCTTGATTTCAAAATCTCATTTTTCAAAAAGTGTCGGGGTTGACAGATTGATGAAGTTGACAAAGATGTCATTTTAACTATAAATCAAGTATTATATAATACAGTCAATACACTAGAAAAAGTAATGATGAAAACAAACCGAAGCTTTAAGTAGTAAAGATGAAGAACAAAATGTGATAGAGATAAAAAGTGAAAATAAACAAAATTCCAAAATATGAAAAAAAATAGAGAAATTTATGAACTTTTTAATTTTAAAAATTATTTTATATTTAATGATTTAAATTGTTATTAGAGATATTTTAAGAAAAAAATTATTATGGTGTAAAAAGAAGGAAAATAAAGGTGAAAGAGCAATCCCCTTGCTGAGTTAATGACATAATAAGAGATTTGAAATGCTGCATCTTAGAAGTTAGTGCGGAGATAAATATTTCATTTTAGTCACGTCCCTTTTACACATTTCTTGTAATTTTAATTATTATTTTTTTTGTGAATTTAATGAAAGATATTTCTAGTTTATACTTTCGTTTCTATTTTTGGCCTATAGAAACGTGCTCAATCGACTGTCCCACATTCAATCTCCCTTATCCCAGACCAGATCTCCTACTTTTGCCATATCAACCATGCCTTCATGCACCGCTGCCCCGCTGTTTCTATAATTTCCTGAGCATCGTTATAGTAAAGGATTTCGAATTGACAACTTATTCTCATCTACTCATCTCTCAAAATTTACTTTAGCATCGAAGGGTGCCTCCCATCGTTGTTCGGCTGCCGTCATTGCAATGAAGAAGCTACTTCAGCCACTCAATTATTCCATGACATCAACTTGAATTAATTTATGTTTAAAAGTATTTTATTTAAAATAATTCTAACTTATTGAATATTATTTATATAATATAAATAAAAATTACTTTTAGGTGACGAAAGATGTGACTTTATACTAACTTGTTTATTTTTCTCTTATGAAGAGAAGTTTAAAACGAGGGAAGACAGTCTCCATCCTAATGTTAATAAGAGGACAAAGCATGCATAAAGGTTTTATAGTCCTAAGCACATTGTATAGAATGGGTTTGTCTAACGATAATTAGGATTTATATACATTATTATTACATGCATAAGAAGACGACCCTACTAGTGGCGAGGAAGATAAACTGCTCAGGGCATGCATTCGTAGGTATTATTATCATTCTACGATATTTTCACTTAATTTGTTGACTTCAACAACGAACTAGAAGCAATTAATATAACGGAGAAAGCATACATAATTTCTTCTTTATGTAGTGAAAATTTGTTACATTTTCCCGAAATCAATAAGTTCACAAAAAAGTTTTAGATTGAAGTTGTTGAATTATTCAAACCTCAACATCAACCGAGTAAACTTATATTCTGGATGAAATTGATAGGATTTATGGCGAACAAGCTATATTTGACAAATTATACACTTCGGTATTTCTTTGCATGCACTCATGGTAGGGAAGTTCGTTAAACTTGGACAGGCGATGAGCAAATTGGCACTGCTCTACATTTTTTTAATGTGTTAAAAGTTCTAATTTAATGCGTTAAAGTTCCAAGTTAATAACAAAGAAAGTATACAATTTATTTATAAAAAAACTAATAAAAAATGTTAAACATATGTTTAACAATATTTTAACAAAAAATTTAAAATAACTAAATATTATGATGCATTTATTTTTTAGAAAAGAAATATTATAATTTTAAAATAAAAAGAGGAGAATGTAAATTTCTCTAATAAAAAACTATAATTTTCTCATTTAAAAAATCATAATTGATGAGGATAGGTCAATGAAATGCATGTCTCTATATCAAATGTGTTAATCCATGTCAAAATTCAAGATGTTTATTTAACTTTTAAGTTTATAGTATTGAGTTGAGTTTATCTCAGAATTTATATATGTCACAAACATCAGTCACAATCCAATCCCAGCAAGAAATTTTCGGTTATATATATTCCAAAACTTCGGATTAATTTTGAAAAGGAGTTAATTGAAACCAATAAATGAAAATAAAATCAAAAGTGTAAATTTTTAAATGACGAAAATAACTAACATTTTAAGTCATTTTCAAAAATAACATCGACTTCCAATCCCTTAAAATTTTACATAATAAATGATAATTTTTTCGTCCAAAGTAAATGTGAAAGGTAATAATCAAGTTATTACTAACCTTCCTACTTATTAATTAATTAAAACAAAAAATAAACACCTATTATATTTTCAAGAATTAGAGTCGTTATTTTTTGTATTTGATACTTTTAATAAAGTATTAAGAGGATTTATAAGATTATATAAGAAAACACAACACTAACGTATATACATAAATGAACATGACAAAATTTACCCGTGTTTAAGATAAAACCCATGACAAATTAAAACTTAATTGCACTACCTCTCATAAATTTTATTTCAAATTCCTACCCTGCATTTATTTAGTATTACGACGACTCAGGCTAGAATGTTTCGCACTCAAACAATAGAAAGTAAAAATGAAGTAAATACTTAATAAAAATTATGAACGCATACTTTTAATAAAAACGAGAGAACAGTTGATTTTAACAATGAGAAAAAAGTTAAAATATTTTAATCTAACGAAAAATTACAAAATTAATTTTGTAAAAGCTTTCATCAACATAAAGACGTAGGTTAATAAAGCAAGCAATTCTATTTATGGAATAAGTTTCTATTTACGGAATAAGTTTAAGATATATTTTGTTTATTCTTAAATTTTTAAAGCAAATTTATATCACAGTCTTTATAATTTAATTTAAGTATGAAATAAAAATTAAAATTATACTGTTTAATATTTTAATGATACTGTTTATAAAACTTATACTTGCATTTTTGTCCCTTAATTTTTATTTAAGAAACAAATCAATGTTTAACTATTTATCACATTTTATCGAATGATTTAATAATTTATTAAAATTAGGGATGCTAGTTAAAATTATTTATTTAATATATATATATATATATATATATATTAAAAATTTTTACATAAGTATAAATTTAAAAAAAATTAATTTAAATTTTTTATTTAACTTAAATCTAACTATAAGTAAAATAATAAATTTCTTTAAATTTAAGTTTAATAAAATATTTATATTAAGTATAAAATTTTTTAAATTTATACTTATATAAAAAGACATCAAACATGACTTTAATTTTAGCGGCTCCGAGAAAAAGAATGGACGATGGCATATCCCGTACGGGGAGAATACCATATACATAATTCAACAGAAAATCTAAAATAAAAAAGGGTTAAGTTTGGAGTTCTTCCTCCTTTAACCTTAAAGTTATTATAATTGGACAGAAAAGTATGGAGGTGTAGACTTAAAAACGCTAAAAGGATAAACACAAATGACCTACACCCATTCCTTATCACCCGCAGTTGCCGGAAAAAGAAAAATATTAATTATTAATAACTACTTATATAGTCTTTTGACTCCCCAAACCCACCGATTCAAACTTCGCGTTGAGCTCAGCACCAACGCCAGTCACCACTCCTTTCACATCATACCCCGATGACGCATATCTACCAATTCATGTTGACCCGACCCACAACCGCTCACGCGTTTTCCGTTTCGTATTCTTGCTATTTTTAAATCAATTTTCCAACCAATTACTACACATTGCAGATAACGTCAAGTGACACACAACACCAACCAATCATTTATTACATTGTTTGGAACGAAAATAAATAAATAAAATCAAAACTTCCGTTATTTATTCGTTATATGGTTTGGAAAGAAAAAAACTAAAATTAAATTACAATTAAACCTTCTGTTATTTTTTCCTTACTTCACGAAACTTATGCGCTACGAGTTATACGATTTATGTTTCCAATATTTAGAAACACAAGAATGTTTTACGATCCCGAATTTGCACAATGCGCAAAAATCGTATTAGAGATTTTTTTTAAAAAAAATCAAGTTAAAACAAAGAATATTGCAGCAGTGCATGAGATTTAGAATTAGCTAATAAGAGGTCAGTTATAAATTAATGACAATGGATTTAAAAAAGTAACCACAAGTTTTCCAAGAAAACAAGAATTATCAGTATATATATATATAATCGGAAACTGAGACCTAAAATCCAACTACTGCTACTATTACTACCGCTGCTCCTTCTTATTCAATCTTCAGTCCTAACCTAACATCTAAAACCAAAGATATTGTCACAGAGAATGTACAGAAGATTTTAACTATTGTATGTGCAATTATCTGCTTAATCCCAAACCCTAGCACAACTGAATGAAGAAACGGAAACGTACCTTTGAAGAATGGAGTTGTTGATTGGAACCTAAGAGCGAGCCATCATCTTTTTGAACTCCTCGAAGTTGACGTTGCCGTCGCCATCTGCGTCGACGTTGCTGATCATCCTCCGACAGTCGCTGAGGGAGCACTTCTCGCCGAGCTTTCTGAGCACGTCGTGCAACTCCTTCGCGGAGATGAGGCCGTTCTTATCGAGATCGTAGAGATCAAACGCGTCACGGAGCTCCTTGGAGTCTTCATGTCCGACGTCATTGCAATGAAAGTCGGCGAACTCCTTGAGGTCAATGTAACCGTCGCCGTTTTGGTCAATCTCCTCCATCATGCGTTTCACCTCCTCAGAAGTCGTTTTGGATCCGAGAGTAACAAGCATGTCCTTCAACTCCGAACACGAGATCTTTCCGTCGCCGTTTTTGTCAAACTTACTGAAGATCTTGCGCACCTCATCATCCATGTCTTCCGTTCACAATCACTGGTGAGAAGAGTGAGGAACGAAAATCTTAACTCTCTAAAACGTTAGGGCTAGTTGTGGATTTTTTTCTCACACGAAATGGAACGGCGTCATTATATTTATAGTGCGCCGTTTCACGCGGTTTCTTCGCAACGCGTCAATGCAAAAGTGGGAACCATGAAAACGGAGTGGGGCCATGGTGTGGTTTATCAACGGCATTTGAGTGTACTGAAAGAGAAGGAAATGGCGATGTGATGTTTCACCATTAACGCTATGACGCGTGCCCCGATGCACGTGATGGAGTGCACGGGAAGTTTATTTATGCACATTGAAGGAAATGTTTTAGAAACAATTTTTATTAAATAGGCAAGTAATTTTTTAAAATGTCACGATTTTTATTTTTATAATTATTTTATTTATTTTCTTAGTGTAATATTTAAAAAATTATCTTTTAAATTTGTTTTTAGATAAATACTAACTACGTTCTTTTCTTAAATATCCTAATTAAAAAATAAATAAAAACAGAAACTATTTCTTAAAATGTTGTAAGGTACGTTTATAAATTGAGAATTGTATGTTATCCTGTAATAATTTTTTACTAATTTTTAAAGTATATTTTAAAAATATTAAATGATAAATTTAATATATTTAATATTTTGAATAATTTTTTAAAATGTTTGTAATGTACAAGGACATTTTAAAATGTACTAGCAAAATAAAGACATTTTTAAAATGTAAAAATATTAAAATTTTTATTATTTATTATATTAAAATATAAAGTTTCTTTGTTTTTTCATAATTTAATATATTTAATATTTTCAAACTACATATCCATAAACATGTCTTAAAACTATTTAAAAAATCACTAATTTCTTCATTTAACAATAAAAATATTTATTTAAAATATATAAATATTTTCATTTGAAATAAAGTATTTATTGTATGATTATTTTTTACTGTATGTTAATGAGTACATAATGTCAAGTTTAGAATATAGATTTCTTATGAGAAAAAATAATATTAACATCATATCGTAAAAGTTGCAAGTTATATTGAAAACTAAAATATTGTTATATTTTTTATACATAAAATATTTTTTAATGAAATCTTATTATGTTAGAACTTAAAATCAACTTTAACGGTCAACATGAATAAAATCAAATACTTATCACATTTTAAGGTAAAATTCATGTCATGTTTATTTTTTTAGTAATTTAAATATTTAATAAAATGCATTTAATTTTTTAGATTGACTATCCATGGACACACAATTGATAGCTCTTTATTATATTGAAATTCACAGAACAATTTAATTAATTAAGTTTAAAATTATTTGAATTAAAAATTTTATCATTTTTAATTATATTAAATAAATATTTTTCATACTTATAATTTTTATATAACTACATTGAAATTAAATTACATTAAAAAGAGTAAGAAAAAAAATGTATTTAAAAATGAGCTTCAAACTTACATTTAAGAATTAATTTTATTCTGAAATTATTGTTTATAAAAAAAAAATAAAACTGAAAAACTAATCATATACTACCTAAGTACTAGTTTTTAAACATTTCCAACATTTTTTATTAAATTTTTAAATTGAAGAAGATATTTCAGTAGTTGGGTGTCCCTGGCCAGGATGTATGATTTGATTTCATTCCTGTTCCACGTGTTGCCCGTACAGTTGACTAGTATTTTTTTTCTTTTGTTTTTTTTTCCTGTAACGACACTTTTTAATATAGAATTAAAAAATATTATATACAGAAATATGAAATTTTAATAAATTATAAAAATTTTAAAATAATTATTAATAATTTTTATTTTTATAAATTTAAATAATTTTATAAAATTATTGATAAATTTTGAATTTTATAAAATTAATTAATTATATATATAAATTGGCAATATAAATTTTTGAATTCGTATATTTCTATAATTTTTATTAAATTTTATATTTTAGTATATAATATTTTAAATTTCATATGAAAAAAGAGTTTAGATATTTCATCTTTTATTTATGAAAATTAATTACTTATATTAATTATAAAAATAATAATTTGTTTAAATATATTAATGATTAATTTTATTCTATATTTATTTATTATAAATTGTATATTAATGAAATATTTATTTATATAAATAAATATATTTATTTAATATAAAAATATAAATATATTTTTAAATATCATTATTTTATTAATGACAAAATTGAAGTACTTTAAGACATATCAAAAGCTTTTTAAAAGTTTTAAAGTAACGCTTAATAAAATAAAATAAAATATTTCATTAATTTTTAACATTGAATAACAGTATGTAAATTTAATTATTTAATATTATAACTTTTAAAATAAAAATATGAAGTTTTAACATATAATTATATTTTATTATTTTTTATGAATTGTATTTCTTATTTATAAATAAGAGTGAAAATAACGTTAATTATTAGCGAATTGGATGACGTGTTCCCTTTTAGGTGTCTCCATTTGAAATGAAATGCTTCCCCAAAGCGCGTGGACTTCCTTGTTGCCAGGTATTAAAAAAACAAAGGCAATTTCACTTTTAAATAATGATTGGTCGGCTTCCATGTGTGATTGGTAATGGATTAATTAATGTACTATCTACTTATGTACGATTGCAGGGTTAATTCAAGAATGATGACAAAATCGTGAAGGCTTGATTAATCATGTTGAATCCTCGTTCCTTTTGTTCGTGTAACATATTCTATAAGCAAAAGGGATTTGAATATTATGATTTTACCAATCTAAATTTTAAAGACTGAATTTAAATATTTTAAAATAAAAATTATATTTATCATATTCAATATATAATAAATATTTTTTAAACAAAAGTTTAATATAATTAATTTGTTAAACTCTCTAAAATAATACAAAAGTTTAAAATTTACAAATGAACAAAGAAATCAAATTCAATATTTATGATGATTAAAACTCCTCTTAAGTTGTGATTATATGTTACATTTAAGTTCAGAAAGGTTGGTTGTTAAGTTTTTCAAGTCATTATAACACAAGAAACATACTTTTAATCAATTTAAATATTATTCACACATGATAATTTCTCTTTCACAATAGATAGTTTAACTAATTTTTCTTTCATATTTTATTTTTTCACTAAAAAAAAACTCTCTAAAACTAAAACATTTTCTTTAACATTATGCAAATCCCCAAAGCTAAAATTAATTGAAGGACGAGCACGTTGGCTGCTAATCATAAGAGTGTTCAAAACGGAACTCGACCTGCCGTGGGCTTTAGGTCAGTTAACGACTATTTGGTTTTGCCGTTAGAAATGTTTATTAATTTATATAAACTTTGTTTAAAATAAAATTTTAATATTATAACAAAAAATTAAACATATTAAACTTAATTTCATTTTTAATCTTTATAATTCAGTTACGTGTGATTTTAGTCTCTCTAATTTTAATCATTTATATTTAGTCTTTATAATTTTTTAATTATTTAAATTAAGTCTCTCACTTAAAAATTTTATTCAATAATTAATAAAATATAATAAATTATTAATTTATATAAATTTATAAGAAAAAATTATATAAAATAATTAAATATAAAAAAGTTTTTATTATATTTTATCCACATCATTCACCAATCTTATTTAAATATTTTTATATATTTTTATTAATTTATTCAAATTAGTATTATGACGCATTTTTATTATACTTTATTAATTATTATATAAAATTTTTAAATGAGAAAATTAATTTAAATATTTTAAAAATAAAATGATTAAATGTAAGTAATTTAAATTAGGGAGATAAAATTATACATAAGTTAAAATGCATGAACAAAATTTACAACTAAGCTAAAAGATAAAAGTGTATTTAATTAATTTGATATAATATATCAATATACACTTTCAAGGTTGGACATTTAGAA